CGAGAAAAGTCCCCAACCCCGATGTTCAAGTTCCTGCGTACTCCGCCGCTGTAATTAAGAGGAGTAAATTTCACTTTGTCTCTCGTCGATGCGTCACACTCCTCCGTACTCCATACTCCATACACCGTACATACTTTAATCATCTCAATAGCTATTCGAGAACTCTACTAAATAAGTACCCGTATGACTATATAATAAGTACCCGTGTGACTATACATAGGTGCTAAAGGACATCTAATTTTACCAGTCAATATATATCCATCACACCAACCATCCATTCCGCTTTAAAAAACCCCCCAAACTCAAGATGGAGCGATTTCGAAACGAACCAGCGGTGCTCAAGAGTCAAGAGTCATCCCCTCACGAACACAAGTGGAATGTGCATTATGTAGAGTATATCAGCCACCATGACTCAAGCCAGGTTTGCGCCTACAAGAATGAATGAATGAATCCAGCCACTTATCATGCCACACCAGTGACACCACGTCTACTAGATATTGGTATTCAATTTACTTGAAAATACACGTATTCCACTATCCAATTCGCCACACGATTGATTATCAAGCAGCTCCGAATCACGGCGCCACAGACTATACATACTTGCATAGATACACATACGTATAAGTTACTAATCACATCACCGACTCTCCGTACGCTCTACGCACCAACTACGGAAAAAATCAAAATCAGCTATTCCCATCTCCACAAACAGGTAACCAAGTCCCGGACCTGCATACATCATCACGTCTACTTACTCCGCTCCGTAATTCCACAACTCTAACACCGGCAATTGCATCCACTACCACCAACTCATCCACCATCCACAATCTTTTTTATCATGCATACGCCATATGCCCGCCACACGCCATCTGCACAGCTGAGACTTGTACAAGTACCGCAATAAATACAATGCAATGTAATACCGGTACTCTATACCTAGGTACTTAAACGTTAACCTATTAAACTATTGCAATCTCAGAAAAGGATTAAAATACTCTATAATCATATTTTTTTACTATCCCCTAGTATAACGGTTACCGAAAACTAACTCCAAAATGATCCGTGTGATATTCCTTAAATAATAAAAGTCTTATTGGTTAAAATGAGATTTTAGTGTTACGAGGTTTGCCGTCTAGATCACGTGGAAGTGCTCTAGGCTCTCAAGGTGGTTTATAACTAGGCGTCAAGCAGGGACTTAAAGTAATGACAATAATGCAATTCGTAACTAATAGTAGAGTATACTAAATGATTGATCTTGAGCACGAAGCTCTATACAAAGGGAATCCATCTTGATTATATAGATCGTCGTACTGTATGTCCCACCGTTCCCCTCGATATAAATCAGTGGGACGAGTGGGACCACGTGACCCTTTGCTTAGTCATAACTGAGTACCGCCGTAACAGTTACGACCAATCTGTTACGACGGCGTAACATAACCCGCATCAGGTAACCAATTAGCTAGCAGGATCATGTGACAAGTGTCACCTGATCCGAAAGCCGACCGATTTCGTGAGAATCGATTGGCCCTGAGAATCGATTGACCCTTCAAAAGTCGATCGATTTTCAGAACACAAAGGTCTATATAATCAAGATAGATTTCCTTTATATAAAGCTTTATATTTAAGATCAATTATTTAGTATACTCTATTATTAGTTACAAATCATATATCATTATTATCATTACTTAAATCCCTGCTTGATGCCTAATTATAAACCACCTCGAGAGCCTAGAGCACTTCCACGTGATCTAGACGGCAAACCTCGTAACAATATAATTATAGATATATAGATATTATATTATAATCTTATATCCACTTCCTCTCCTTCCTCCTCCCTCCTCCTCATCCCCATCTTCTTGACATTTAATCATCAAACCATCTCATTCAAACCAATTAAACTAATCAATCTAATATAATCATTTCCGTTCCTCTGTTCATTCATTCACTATCACATTCATCCCAAACTATCTCGAAGTGACATAACCCGTGTCCTAAAAACAAATCCCATTCCCCATCCCATCCCATCCATCTCAAGCACCAAAATCTCAAAGGTAAATCGTAACCCGTCCCAATCATCATTCCAAAATCATCAAGTAACTCCATTCATAATCCCTAGATGTAAAGGAGAAGATAGAATGACTAAGAAGATAAAAAGAAAGAAAGAAAAATGCACCATTCTCAATGCTCATACAGAAACCCCTCCGCTATGCTTGCAATTTTGCAATATCGCGATGTAAAAAAAACAATGTACCATGACATCAATTTCGAACTGTTAGTTCAGCTTGGCAATCTTCTACCGAAATATCTTGTGTTCTCCCCTATTCTCACTAAGGGTCGTGTAAGAATGATTTGGCTACGTGGTAAAGCTCAATGCTTTTTGTATTTCTGCAGATAAAATTAATAAATCATCATAAAACCAAAAATAAAGCATAACTTACAGCATCAGCTCTTTCCAGATTTCTCTTATCCAAACTGTTCGTAGCCCCCATCAATACCTGACCAGCTCCTTTTGCAACCCCAATTGCAGGCCTTAATATCACAGTAGGAGCATGCTTCCTCACTGCCCTCAAGACCCCTTTGGCACTACCTCCTTCCATGACTTCCCCAGGAACTGCAATGATGGCATCACGGGCCATGACCAAATCACGCTGTAGCCCTGCGTAGCCACCCTTGAGGCCTTGGAATACTCCTACTGGCTGATTAGCGTAAAGAGAGATTTGTTTGCGTTCTTCTTCATCTTCACTAGAGTTACCGTGAGGGATAGAGGCATCTTGAGGGCCGAGGAAATCTTCTGCGCCTTGAAGAACAGTCTGTACACCAATAGCAACCTTGGCACCAAGTTTGACAAGTTCGGTACCGGTTGTTTTGGCGAAAGCGGCAGCACCTTTGGAAATGCTTCGGACGATTCTTCCATCCTTCTTATACTCATGCATGGGTATCACCACAAGATCCTTGAAGCCACCTCCAACATTGACAATTGAGCGTACTGGAGCTAAACCGGCCAAGATACCAGGTAGTTGATTTCTCTGAATATCTGGCATCCAGATATCATTGAGGCATTTGCCCATCTTTTCAAATCCAGATATGCCATAGATAATAGTATGTCTGAGGGTCATATCGGCTTCATCAAGAATGAGGAAGTTCATAAACTCGGTCGTATGGCCTGAACGAAGACCTGCATAATCCACACGTTTTGGTTTGAAATCAAGTTTGACTTGTACAGAATTAACTTCGACTCGTTGCAAGAATGGTTCCTCGCTTGGTGCTCCTGGTATTACATCCGACTCCTCTTTGAACTCGAAGAACCGCGTGATGAAATCAAGGGCATCTTGGTCAACATGTAGACGTAGCGGCAAGATAGTAACCTTCAATACAATCTCGGATGCCGCAAGATAGGATACTGGTTTGACATTCAAGATCTCGATGTGAACCATATTTGACCCCTTCTCCCTCTCACCTGCATCTTGCATGTAAGTAGCAAATTTTCTCCATGTTGAAGTAGGAACATGATCAAAAACCTCGAGATCAAGCACACGAACATCAATAGAACTTTGGGTTTCGCCACTAAATGGTGGGAAAGCCACAAGGTCGACACATACTCCTCTTAGTTCGAAAGTAATCTTGTGGTGTTTACTTCGGTTGAGTCGAAGCTTCTTAGGTTTACGACCAGTTCCTTGTCTGCTTGGAGTGATTGTATAATTTGTCGTGGCTATTGACTCCGTCTCGGTCGCATTATCATTCAGCTCTTGATTAATAGCTGCAGCGAGTTCTCGGGGATCGCGGTTGTTAGGGATACCAACCCATATAGAGTTGAAGAGAAAGTCACCAATCTCCGTGTCTTCATCATCATCAATATCCTGCTCAAAGGCCGGTCGTCTCTCGTTTCGTGCGCGCTTTTCGATGGCTTTTGATTCGACGTCCTGTACAGCCTTGGAAATTGCATCCCTGGTAGCTTGCCAGTCATAACCATCGAATAGGTTCCAGATAATGTGCACATCTCGAACGCACACCTTTAGAGGACTCTTCTTGACCTTGCTCTCGTTGGACGTGTCATAGGTATTTTTAGCCGAATTCCACCTATGAGCCGACCCTTCCAGTACAGAGCCTGTCCCAAAATGATCCTCGTGGAACGACAAAGCTTCATTCCCAATTTCTGAATCTTCAACAAAGCTATCTAGTAGGACACCATCCCGAGTGTCTCGTGTGGTTAGGTTCAGGGATGCCAATGGCTCGCCAATATCTTCAAGCACAGCTTGTCTATAGCCCTCTTCGGTTTCATCCTTGTAGTAATCTGAGTCAAAACCAAGATCGCCCTCATGCTCTTCTGCTACATCTCCGAAATCGCCAAAGTCGTTGTCGAAGTCATAGTTACCCTCAGCAGTTCCAAAAGCATCACCAGATAAAGAAGCCAATAGATCCTTAACTGGTATGACTTTTGTGCGGTACTTGCTTTCCTTGCTCGGAGGTGGTGCCGGAGGAGCTAATTTACCAAGCACACCAATCAATGTTTGAGTCGAGTCGGCGCATGATTCAAGAACGAAAAGATCGTCTCGTAGCTCAACATCAAGACAATTCTGTCCATCATCGTCGACGGAAAGGAGAACGGTAGCCTTCGCAGATGAAATGTAGCTGACCGACACATAACCCATTGTAGTAAGATCTGCGACTTGATTGCTGCCCCCATCAAAAGAATTCCTTTTACGGTTTGATGGCACGTTGGTCGCTAGATGTGCAACGTTATCAATGACTAGGAGCGAAGCCTTGCTCAGCTCAGCAGTAGCACTTGCATTCTGATCCTTTGGCAAAACTGCAGCCACGTGCGCTTCAGTCAATACGACAAGAATTTTCGAAGGCAAGCCGAGAGGATTTAGACCTACGATGCAGTCTGTAAGAACAACATCAATTGTCATAGGCTTTGCAGCGCTGTTACTAGATGCGGAGGCCTTCTCAACGCTCTTTCCCTTGCCCTTTGAAGTTCGGGGTTGTGCCAAATCCCTCAAAGTAGCGACCGAAGCCATAATACTAGCTGACATGTCATTCTCGGTTGCATTGTCAGCTAACCCGAGCAGTACCATTAGCGTCGGTACGCGGTATTCAATCCTCAGATTCCATAGCTTGATCCTTACGATGGGCTCCATCTCGTCGCCGATTAGTCTAGCCATTATAGTTGGTGTTCGTAACGATGGCTCCATAAACGTTTGATCCGTGCCTGCACCAATCAGCTCTTCAGAATAGTTTCGATAAGCAGAGACCGTGGCGACACTAAAAGCTACTAGCGAAGGTATAGGAATTTGTGCCACTTCCAAATCGGTAGCTTTGAGCTGAAGACTGCCCAAGGTGTTGTTTACATCAACATTAACCCCAAGTTTCTTGACCGATACCAACGACAACAGACCCGGCCGATCGTCATCAGGTAGATACTTGGTGACGGTCGATAATCTTGCGACTTCTTCACCCAAGTCTGGAAGATAGCTTAACTCTTGCAGGTTACCCATTTTGACTTGAAGATCATCCATAGTGAGTCGTAATACAGATCCTTGTTGTCGTTGACGAAGAAGGGTATCAAGGAGAATATCATCATCTTGATCGTACTTTGATTTTGACGGCGCGATCAAAGCTAGTAAGCGATCTATGTCATTGTCCTTCGGTGCATTCAAAAGTTCAACTCGTGTTGAAGAGACATCAACCAGAATGGCAGGGTCTTCATTTGAATGCTTGAGATGTGGCCCGGACAACCTAATCTTGTTGATCGCGACTCCAATTCCTTCCTCACGACTGACTAGTTTAACAGCAGAAGTCTCAACCCCAACACTGCATTCAGTGCCCACCAAGTCAAGGATAAATCCTCCAATTCTCACATCTGCTTTATTCTGTGCGGCCGCTGTCTTGTCATCGGGTCCTATGGGCGTATTGAATCTTACGCCTCTTGACTTCGGCTTAGGTACGGGGTTAGAAGTGACGGTCGCATTTGAAGCCATAGAGCTACCGAGATTGAGAACGCTACTCAATCCTCCGAACCAACTAAACGTTTCATCTAGTCGCTGTAGGTCCACCGCCACGTGTAGTGGTAATGTCTGTACTTCAAATCGAGTGCCATCAGAGCTTTGATACATATCGACAGAAACATCGATGCCAGCAGAAGCAGCAAGGTCACGAACCGAAGCTCTCATTTGCAGATTAGCGTTAAAAGAAATAATGTTTTCTTGAGCATAGCCGAAGAGGAATTTCTGGAGTGTTATGCTAGTCTTAGTTATAGAATCTGAGGGCTTGCGGGATACATCAAGTCCCTTTAATGTAGTCCTGAGAAGGACATCTGAATCTAATGTCTTTGCTTGTGATTCTGCAGCCCGAGAGCCTAAAGTTCCCTGGAGTTGTTCTAGAAACCTAAGTGAAATCTCTTTGGCACTGATCTTTAGATGTGGTTCGGTAGAGCTGGATGTAGGTTTACTTGACGCGACGGCTTGTGGCTCTTGTTTCATAGATTCTTGGATCTGACAAACAAGCTTGTAGATTAGTCTGCCTACAGATACGTCAAATCGAGCCAGCAAGTTCCCCACATCAACTTCAATCAATTTTTCCTCTTCAATCTTCTTCGCTGGTTGTACTGGAGTCCGGAGTGCTGGTCTGGGTGATGGCCGCGAAGGCTGTTCCCTTGGTAAATGCGTGGAAAAAGCCCCAGGAAGATCCATTGTTCTTGAGCGCGATGAGTCACTGTGGCCATCGAAAGTACTACCAAACAATGCAGATTCAGCAACAGCATCCACCGGATCAGAAGAAGGATTGTTCATCGCTGGTATATAGATAGCGATCTGGTCGAGGCTGAAAATCTGCTTCGTCATTCGGCTATAGTCATCAGCAGAAGCAGTCGATTCCACAGAAATATCACTTGAGGCTTGATACAATGGCGGGGATCGACGCGGTGTTTCCGGATGCATAGAACTAATGCTCCTAGCTGACTTGTGTAGTGATCCCGATGGAAGAATTGTAGATTGCTCAAGTGGTGTTGTGTCGGAAGCTCCATCTAGAGGAACAGCATGACGAGCATTCTCAAGATTATCGAGCTTTTCCCTCCCAGCATCAGGACCTCTTGGAGTAGCTGGAGGAGATTTAGCATCTTCGCTCTCTGTACCGGAATCTGCCCAGCCACCAGGAATTGGGGCAGCGGAAGTATATGACACGGCACTCATATACATACTCTCCGCGTCTTCGTGGCTAAACAACTGAGACTGCGCAAGGTCATCACCCGCCTCCTCGTTGAGAGTTGAGCTTACTGAGCTATCAGCCTCACTCATCGCATCAACCTCCAAAGGAGACTCCGGTTGTTGAACAGGATAACTTCGATCAAGTGGTGCAGTACTGGATGGGAGTGTGGGTTGTGAGTGAGAAACTCGTTCCAAAGAGAATCTGGTGTGGGGCCTAGGTGGTAGCATGGTAGATTGCAACATGTTATGGGCTCTATTGATGCTAGGGAATTGATTGAATCCAAGAGTCCGACTAGAAGATGGGGAAATATGAGTTGAGGCTCTAGGCGTTGAGGTGCGCGAGTTTTCGCTAGGTGCACTATGCCTCTCCTGTTCGTACTGGGATGGTGAGGATCTCATATCGTCTCCCTCGTGATCATCCAAAAGCTGAGATTCGGTAATTTGGTCAAGATATGCAGAATTATGAAGAATGCTATCTCCCATCTCACTACTGTCGATATCCTCATGCACACTAACGGAACGATTGGAGTGTCCATCTTCCGATGCATCATCAAATCGTCCACCATCACTAGCAGCAATTGAAGCCTTTAACGACGGTGAAATCTTCAGAGGCCGTGGAGGTGTTGACGGACGTCGTATTTCCGGTAATGAGGTCTCAGAAGCTCGTAGGGATGAAGCAGGCGATGGACGGGGGCTAGGCGAAGCTACTCCATCAAATGCACGCACACTTCCAACAGACATGGCTTGTGTCTCTTCTGATGATCGTCTCATTTCGGTGGTTCGCCTAGACTCGGATATATCTGAGTGTGGGACTGCTGGCGACAAAATTGAAGATGACCGGGACAGAGTTTGAAATAGATTAGCTTCCGTAATCAAGGCTCCTCGAATATTGCTTAGACAAATAAGTTTCTTTCCCTCTTTGAACAACGACGTAATGTCCTTCCCGCCTCTTGTTTGAGCAGACTCAATATCGTGTGTGACGCCCTCGATATCTACATCATCAATCTTTAATTGCACTGTAACAGGGTCCGTGGTACGATTTGGCGTTGGTCCTTCCGCGGGAATATCAACATCCACATTGAAGGTAATCCCATGCACCCGTACCTGTAACCTATCTACAATCCCCTGCAAGAATCTAGCCATGAATGCCGGTAAAGATAGAGCTGTTCCAGTCCCAACAGGTACTTCCAAATCTCCATCTTCACTAGATGTAATAGACTCTGATATATCCTGCGTCTCCCCAAGGATTGCGGCCTCCAACTCTGCCTTCTCCTCTCTCGGCTCTGTTTGTAGGAATGATGCCGCGAGATCCTCTGCCGTTGGAAGTGCAGGATCTGGGCCTGGGCTCCTGGATGTAGACTTCTTCCGTAACCGATCATGATTCGTCCTCGAACTGTTTGCGCCCTTCTCCTCCTTTACCCTCAACTGCACATCCACCCCATCAACCTCCACCAATATCGGGCTACTATATACATCCACCGGTATCGTAAGTCGCAGCAGTAGTACTTTAGCTTTACTCAATGCGATCGTAGATGGGAGTTGCAGTAATGTCTCGAGTTTCTAAATATCGCACATTAACATCATGTCCCCATCATCCTTCGAACCCTAGAATGACGACATAATTACCTTTAACCTTAAGCCAACATCCTTAAACTCAAATGTGCTATTCTTTCCCCACGCGATATCCAAGTTCTCCAAATCCAAGGCATCAGTATCAAGAATCTCTAACCTCGAGAGCGCATATTGGAGTAGCCGTTTAGGCATCGAGGATGCTTGAAAGTAACTTTGAAAATAAGACGCCATCTTTGCTTGCGACTTTGTAATGTAAAGGATTATTAAAAGTTGTTAGAAGAATCAAAGCCTCCAAGCAAGAATGTCTTAAAGAATGCCAGGAAGAAAGTAAGTAAGAAGTTCCGGTGTATTTGGTGGAAGCTCCTGTCTTAAGAGGGACGGCGGCTCCTGACATCGACCTCGTGCACTAATAATGTCTGGTGCAAGATGAGCATCATACTTGACTGTACCATGGACTTTATAGTTGTTACGGCTCGAGTAAATCAGTACTGATTAGTGAATGTGCTCACTCACCCGCCACTGTTGAATTGTAATTTCCTACAGGACCATTTGATTGAGTCCCGGTTGATTGAATCAAATGGTTTGTTGGGTTGTAGAAGAGAAGGATGGATGGTTTAGGTAGAAGATTAGATGATTAGATTGTCTGGGTTGCCATTTGTTTTCGGGGTAAATCCTTATCGATAAGAAACAAACTAAATTTCCTGGTGCGGGTTTGACTTCTGACGTGGATATGATGGAGGCGGCACATATGATATCTAAATGATTAAATTCGTATTTATCTCACTACTTTACCATAAACCTTTGTTGGATCTCTACTTCTCTTCTTCTGCTTGTTATCACACAGATCGTAAATCACAATATACAGGATTAGCTTCAGGGGGGCTCCTGCGAGTCAGTGCTGAATGCATGACCGTTATATAGGCGGTCAAAGTCCGGGTGATATCTTTCGAGACAATTTGTACGAGGAAACCTCGAGTACAACCATGATCTTCGTGCCATATCATGTTCATAACGTCAGACGAGATATCAATTACACAAAGTAGCTATGAAATAGAGTTATTATTCTTATCTATTTTCTGGTATGCTTTTAATGTTGAATTCCTACTTTCAGTCAGGGTATTTTATACTTCCCCAATCAGAACCTAAATCGCCGTGTTGAATGCATGTGGTTCCCTAACACAAATCCTCCCAACTCCTGATGGTCCATCATTCTCAGACTTACTAGATTTAATCCTGAGCAGCCAGAGGACCGTCTCCATCTTCTCTAATTATCTTCGCACTATCCTCATCATCCCCAAACTCCGTCACTATCCACAAGCAAAATTGTTCCCACTCCACACTCCATTCTTGCAACCTCTTCGCTCTCACACCATTTCCTATTGAAGCATCCTTAACATCCTCCAACCATTTGGCATTGTTTTGATCCTCGAATGCAGCCCATCTTACACTATTCTCGGCCAACGAACCCAAACCAGCAAGCCCAAGATTATCCCAACCTTGCAGAGCTTGCCAAAAATCATGCGTCATACCATTAACATCCTGACCGAGAATTGACGGGTCGTCATTACAGAGAGAGCAGGAAACTCCTCGAGCGAGAAGTGCTGGAAGAGGATGCGACATGATGGAAGCGCAAAGACGCAGAACTTCGTTTGAGATTGGACAGCTCTCTACAAGGATCTTCTTTTCCTTAACGAAATCAATCAATAGAGGATGCTTGTATAAGGAAAACCCATGACCGATTCGACGAGTTCCGAGTAGGACGGCGTCGAAAAGATTTTCATCTGTATCGCTACCATCACCAAGACACTCCCCAGCATGGAAGAAAAATGGAATCTCCACTCCTTCTTGGGCGCACTGTTTCCTGAACCAGAAAAGTTCGGGAAGTAGATCTTTCAGTGGTCTTCCTGCATCTTCTTGGCCGACAAGATCATAGCCAGATACGAGCTCAGGGTAAGTCATCTTGATGGTCAAGCAAGCGTCCATATCTTCCACAATCTTTCTTGTATCCAAAACTCGAAGACCAGTCCAAATCATCCTCGCGCCCCAGAAACCTTTGCCCTCTTCTGATGCCTTAAACTTTTCAATCTCCTCTCCGAAAGCTCTGAACATATTGCTGTACGTATCATCTGCTTTCTCCTGTCCTTCACTATAGTAAAAGAAAGTGAAAGCCAGTCGTAAATCTACCCATTTGACGCCATCAGCAAGTAGAGATTGCATCATTCTCCTCATGAAAGCTCTAAATATAGGCTCATAAAAGATGACCGTGTTGAGAATCGTGAAAACCGAGTTAAACTTTCTCCATACTGCATCAACACCGTGATGATGTTCAATAGACTCAGTATCAGTAATAGTGCACCGACTCCTGAGCCAGCGCAAAAATCCATCTCGCCCACTACCAGGAAAAGCCTCTGCAGCATCCTTCAAAGGCACGAAACTGAACGGTTTATACTCCTTCTTCCAAATCTCTGCACCATCCCCATCTCCCTTCTTTCTCCATCTAAACTTAACCGGACCCGCCTCTCTACTCTCAGGCGAATCCAAAGCTCTATCACAAAAAATGCACATACCCTTCGTCTTCAACAACTCCTCAAACAAGAAAGCGTAATCAACCATCGCATCCATATGAGCATGCAAAAGAGCACCCTTAGGCATCTTCTTCACAATCTGCCATAATTTCGTCTGTTCCATTCTTTCCTTCGCCAGACTAAACATCATACCTGGATATATATTCTTCCCCGTTTCTTGCGCAACATGGTTTTCGAATTCCGATGTCCAGATCGACGCTTGTTCTTCGAGACGGATGCGAGAGACGATGTCGCAGGCTTCTTGGGCGAGAGGTGAAAGGGTGGATTTAAATGCATAGTCTGTTGTAAAGAGTGTGTAAGTATGCGATTCCAAGTAAAAGTAGCTAGATTACTGAAATGTTACAAACCACTGCGCTGCTGCTTCTCCTGATCTATAAGTGCTTCTCTCCCACCAAGATACTTGTTAATGACCGGCTCATCCTTAGCAGGAATACCAGCAGCTATTTCGGCATATTCATCATCTGGTATTCGCGAGGGCCATGGGAGATCCTTGACTCTTGACATATTTTTGGACAATCAGAAATGAGTTGGCAAACTGCGAAACTGAACTGGAGTGAAGAGGCTGAATAGCTAAGCTTGCAAAGTACGGTAATTGAGTACTGAAGCTATATGAGAATTCGAAAAGCTCAAATAATGAAACTATTCAAATTATCTTCTCTCCTCATCAAGAATTCTTTCAGCCCTTAGACTTACATAAAATCAACCAATAATCTACGTATCTAATCAGAATGAATCATCGGCGAAAAAGTTACAGAATAGGTAGGTAGTTTTACCTAGTAGCTGTTGCACAAAGCAGGAATGGGGGATGGCGGGGTCATTCCCGATAAGAGCGATAAGCATTTGTTAAGAGTTAGTTGGGTTTCTGATATTACCCCTGAACGACATAGATGATGTTACGTATTGGTGTGACTTTGAAAGGTATGCAAATTGAAAGAGTCCGGACTATATATAGTCTTAATGCATGATTCTAATATTACCAATGTTCTGAATAGATTCAAGCTTTGAAATATATCTATTACCTCCAATGGATTCAAAGCATCAGACGAATACAATACATCAATCAAATGAAAGTAGAACTAACCCAACAACCTGTCTCCATTGGCCGCCTAGTACATCACGTACTTCTTATATTTGTATTCACTCATCAAGAATGGAACATTTCGAAAGCCTAAAACAAATATGATTATACTGCGCCTAGCTGCATAGCTCCAAAATGTCGACCTTAAAATACCCCAAAAGGTGCACCGTTCTCCAGATATACCTGTCTTCATACCATATATCTGTACAATTATCTACAACATACTCTTTGGCATATTCTTAAGCGCTTGTCTTACTCCTAGATCACCCAGAACCTCCTCGGCTCCACCCAAAATAGCATCAAATTTGTATCTATAACGTGTCAGTAAAGTCTTTACATCTAAGTTCTCAAAGCATATGTATGATACTCACGTTCTATGGAACATCTCAATAGTCCTTCCCATACCACTCTGTGTAAGTGCACGACCACCAAAGATCTGCACGGCTTCATCCGCACATTCATGGGCTGAGCGAGTAGCGAACATCTTAAGGAGACCAATTGGACCAGCTAGATGAGTGGCTTGTTGTTTGTATGGCATCAGCGTCATTTGATATGTAATGTTCTCTAACCATGCTTGGTTTGCCTCGCAGTGAGATATCATCTTAGCCAGCCTAGAAGGGTCAGTTGAGAGCTTTATCTGGATATGAACAAAACTTACTTTTGACGGATGACTGGTTGATCAGTCAACTTCTTACCAAATACCAATCTTTGGTTACTCCATTTAATACATTCCTCTGTTACTAAGCGCATCATACGAGTGACTCCACCAGACATCATCCATCTTTCGTGGTTGAAGTTACTCAAAATTACATGTATACCCTTATTCTCCACACCCAAAAGATTCTCGACTGGAACCTTTACGTTATCGAAAGTGATAAAGGCTGTCCCAGCTGTAGGAGAATAAGATGTTTTGATAGGTGTTGTCTCAACACCCTCGCCTCTTTCGATCAAAATAACAGAGAGCCCCTTATCTAGAGAGCGTATTAGTATGGGATCCAATACAAGGGATAAAAGGTAACGGTACCTGTCTTGACACCAGTAACAAAGTAATCGCAAAATACTCCGTTAGTAATCCATTTCTTGGTACCATTTACGATATAGTGTTTTCCATCCTTAGTCTTTTCCGCAGTTGTTCGAATGCCTGCAACATCAGATCCAGCAAATGCTTCTGTGATAGCCAAGCAGATCTTCTTCTTTCCACTGAAGACCTCCGCGGCGATTTTGTTCTTCCATGCCTCATCATTGGCAAATTGAAGAACTGCCGTCAAGGAGATAGTCATACCAGCCTAACATCAAGCGTCAGTCATACATTGAGGCAATTATAGCGAGAACATAGAATTATAACTAACCATATTACCATCCGCAAAGCCCCTCGCATTAGCGCGAACCATCTCCTGACAAACAATCATGTCATGGAAATAATCGAACTCCTCTCCTTTCACAGCACCATCCATAAGCTCAACGCCATGTAAATGTTTTCCTGGGCCCAATCTCATATGTAAGATCCCCGCCTTCGACATCCGATCAATCAAATGTTGAGGAATATGTGCACCTGTCTTCTCACACTCCTGGGCAACAGGCGTAACATATTTATCGGTAAAAATTCTCAACGCCTTCTGTAACCTCCTGTGGCTTTCCTTGTAATAAGGACTCTTGAATTGCGGAGTTAACCATGTAGGTTCTCCATATGGCACAACACTCAAATCCCCAATATTCTGTTCAATGACTTGCGATTTCTCCCCTTCGATCGTGCCGATACATAGATTCGAGTATTTTTGTAGGACTTCTTGTCGATGTAGATTATAAAATGCATCTGTCGCGTCTGTGCCGGCAACTTGCTTCAAGACCGATTCTCCACCTGGATGGGCATCGACGAACTCGGTGACATCGTAGACCTTGCTGTCGATTATGAACCAGAGTGATTCCTCAGTGTTGTTTTTGGAGACTTCGTCTCGTGTGAGGGTGTGATGTGGCATTGTGATATGTTGAATGAAGGTAGAATTGATGATAGTACGCTGCTTGAAATAAGACAAAATGGGGGGAATCAAAAGGCAAAATAAGCAAGAGAAGAGAGATATTAAGTGAGCATTTCCTGGGGAACCGTTAAAACCGCGTCTTGATTACGACCAAGGTATGTACCGAAGCTGGGGTAACATACCGAGGCTCAAGCAGCCAATGGGGGCTCTCTGGATTACAACCAAGCATGGTTCCATTATACCTCCGTAGTTTCGGCTAAATTAAAGTTCTCGCGGAGCTAGGTACCCGTAACTACATGGTACTATTTCATTTGTAACATCCTACCAAGTCATAACCTCGACGTCGCCATGATTTTACAAGCTAGCAGTATTAACTGACAAGTGGAAAGTACTTGCATGATGCGTACCACCAAACTCAACCTTGGTCTCAAGTCATGATGGAAGCTCACCGGGATTTTTCCGCACCTCACACGGGATTGATTGCCACTACAATGTTCAAATCACACTCACTGGTGCTCACTATGCTCACTAGCGCTCATTGGCGATGTTACACAATCGACCTGGACAAATTCTATCTATTAAATTGAAATTAACTATGCTACAAGTATAAATACGAGCGCTAGCTCATCCTCCACCTGTAGGTTATCTTCCTCCTCTTTATACTATCCACATCTAGTACCTAAAATTACTCATGCTGTGCAAGATTCCATTCCTCAAATATGCAAACTCCCGATCAACGATTTAATGACCTGATATTGTTCCTCCCTGAAATTCTCCACTATTAGTGTATTATTCTCCGCCCCGAAATTCATAAGTTGCTTTCCCTTATTCCAGAGCGGCCAGTGAATTGTTCCATTTCCACTTCCAGGCCCAACATTCGGATCTCCATTCTCCACGAAATTAAGATAGTAACTCTGGATAGTCTGTTGAGGGAAGCCCAAAGTCTGTCCGTAAACTATCGGCACATCCGATCCATGAGCTGTGCCCATTGTTGGAGTTCCATACCCATAAGTAGCAAGATATGAGTACTTTGGTACATGTGGTTGTATACTTTCTGCGTGCTCCAAAAATAGACGTCGGATAAGCGTGAATGAGATATCACCCGTGATGGCTGCCAAACGCTTGTATTCTGGGAATATGTTGTTGGCAGAACCAGTACCGAAAGGTGAACCAAAGGAAGGATCATCGGGGTAAGCAGAGACGAGGGTGGATATTTGGGAGGCGTTAGCCGAGGAGTAAACGACGGTGTGGAGAAGGGTCTCTAGTTGAGCAGTGTTATTGGCCGATGCGGCTCGGGAGAATAATGTTCCTTCGTCTTCTTGGTCGCCAACTATGATGGGTACGGGGGCGAATTGTCCGCGCAATGCGAGGACCTCGGCGGAAGCTGGGAAGACTCCTCCCTCGTAGTCGGGGCGTGGGAGATAGGGGAGTGAGGTGACGGAGTATGCTGGCAGTGAAAAGAGGGAGACTGTAGCGGCTAGATATGTTTCGTAGGGGAGGCCGCGGAGACAATTTAGGGTGTCGGTGGAATTTGCACAGCCCGCCGCGGCGACAACTAGGCCGTATGATTTTTGTGCACGTGGACCATCAATGGGTTCGGCGGGCGTCAGGGTGCCAGAATCCATGATACCACCGCGGAAAAGTGGTTTGTTCTTGTAATGGTATTTTCCACCATACAATGCCATCTGATCAAACACAGAAATAGATCCGGCAGATTCGCCCCAAATCGTGACTTTGTCAGGGTCACCTCCAAACGCTGCAATGTTGTCGGCGACCCATTCAAGACCGAGTCTTTGGTCCAAGAGTCCTAGATTTGCAGAACCATCTTTGTAAATCTCGGAACCGCCGAGGAAGCCAAAACCACCGATACGGTAGTTGACGGCTACGTAGATGAAGGGCTGATTGCGGGAGATGGAAGTTTGGATGAGCTGAGTTCCGTCGAAAGTTTGGGTAGAGCCAGCTCCAAAGGCACCGCCGTATATCCAGAAAAGAACGGGAAGTTTGGAGTCCTTAGTAGCATTTGAGGGGCGTTGAACGTTGATGGTTAGACAATCCTCTCCCATTGGAGATGCGGAACGAGCTTGAGGGCAGGCGGTGGGGACGCTGGTGGCTTGGATAGTGCCAAGCTGAGTTGTGATGGGCGTAGGTGGCTTCAAGCGTAGTGGTCCGACGGGTGGTTGTGCATAAGGAATACCTTTGAAGGTGTCGACTCCCGCCGTAAGATTACTAGACCCGATGATTTGAGCATTTGATAGCTGGACGCTAGGTGCTGTTTGGCGTTTCTCTGAAGCGGGTAAGGCTGAACTAAGAGAAACAAGCAAGCACGTGGTGATGCCAAGGAGATACATATTGTTTGACCCAAAGATGCGAGACTGTATCTCGAATGTGGTTGCTAGAATAATCAGTGAGATATCTTGATGAGAAAGAGGGAACTATCCTTATTATATATAGGTCCTCAGTATCGTTTTAGGGGCCCTTTCGGCCGCCGAAGTCCGTCATCCCCAGTCGACTAATGCACTCTTCCAAGCATATGTCAAAATCCTAATAGATTGTCTAGTAGAACAAAGCTATACCGGATCGAAACGTCCGATCAGCTTCAAATTCGGTGTGACGACGTTTCTGGAATAAAAACACATGCTCAAAATCTTATACAAGACCTATCTAGATTCTAGACTCAAATTCTATCCCCGATCATTTGATTTTCCAAAAATCACCATATAATAGCTTTATATCAAAAGGCTCAAAAGGGTATTTTCATCGGCAATTAGATTAAAAACCGTTTAATAGTTTAATATATATATAAAAAATCTTTACTTCGAAGAAAAATTAATCAAATCGAGAAAACTTTACAATATAATCAGGTTGTCAATATATCGGAGCCCGGTGTAATCAAATTCTTTCAAAATCTAATGACGAATATTATACAAACTAGAAAATGATATTCATAAGATATCAAAAGATCATCTTCCAAGACCATACTATCGTGACCTGACTAGCCAGTTTAAGCGAAAGTGGAAAGACTAGAGAGTCCTAAATTAGAAATTAAAAGTTTATTTCTAAGTCTTATTTTATATCAAAACCAGCCTCTTATATTTTCCAACATCTATTAAGGTTTTAATCTATAATTATCAAATTTCGGAGATTTAACAAAGTGATTTTTTTTTTCATGTCGTCTGTCTATCTTCGCTATTCATACTTCTAAACGACATCTTGTTGATTTCGACAGACTACTCTACTCTTTCACTTAAGATTCTAAACATGCCAGCCCGTGAAATAATCCAAAATACAATTCCAACCCACTCTTTCGCAATCGTACAAACTTGCATGAAAAGAGAAAAGATAACTAAAACCCACCCACCAAAAATGACAAATACTCATAAATCAAATCCAACTAGGAATAGAGTAGATAGATACTCAAGTAATACCAACTGCCGAAACCTTCCATGCCATCCCAAACCCCCCCCAAAAAAAGCCGGAAAGAAATACCAGACGGGGCATAAAATTTACCCGAAAATAAATGAAAAGAACGCGTCCGCACCCCTCAAAAGTCATCCCCCAAGGTTCAAACCCACTCACCATCAACCAATCACTCGACGGGGAGAACGAATACTGCGGGGGGCGGGCTCGGAAACGCGGGGTGCGGAGTATCTTACTATAGTATAGTATTGGTATCTGCAGTGAAAACTAAATTACAATTAAATGATATTATACACTGTATACTGCGCAGCCCTCCTAGCCCCTAAAAGTGGAAGTTGTTCATCAATCATACTGGATTTGTCAGTTTGTACATATGCCACGCGTCGGGAGCTTTTCTAAGTTTGAGATGGATCTGCAGGAGTATGGATGATTTGTGTGTCAAGATTTAACAGCTCACTTGTCATGTTCGGAGTATATTCCCGTGTGTATTCTTGCAGGGTGGGATATATTTGCAGTATTATCGTACATATCGTACATACATATCATCCAGGAAGATCAGTACAGTAATCAAAAAAATACCCCTACTCTACAGTATCTACGCAATAGATATTTATACGCTAGATATGCATGTCAGGTAAAAGACTCTTGAGTCTTGAGTTCTTGACATATGTAGGAAATATCATTAACCGATAGTTAGAACAGAACAACAACAGGCTGAATTTTGCATCCGAGGCTGTGTTTCTTCTCCTCATTCATTGGTACCGATATGTTACCTTCCTTATTGAATGTTTCTGAAGAGTGAGTGATAACTAATCATAGGTAGTTTCTAATAAACTACCTTGTTGGTTTTTCTATTTGGTGTTCATGAACCATATCGTCGTACTCGCCTCTCGTGAAGCTTTTAAATAAGATATCGACTGATTCTGAAAGTAATACCGAATAATCTGAGCAAGCAAGATTACGTAGATCACTTGGACAAACATGTTCACCGCCGTTCTTGTGTTTCGTGTCGATTTACTCGCTATATTTGTCTACGAGTACATAGAAATCAGTAAATGTAAGGAGGTGAGACCAGCATCACGTCATATATATAGCTCATCTCCAATCCCATTCCATCCGTTCCAATATCCATATCATGCCAAGCCATATCCAAGTGCTCCTTGTAAAACATACGCTGTAAAACGCCACTCCCTCACCCACGCCTGGAATTCATAAATCATAGTATCCAAGCACAACCTATATCTGCTCATCATCCCCGCCCCCTTCTTGATTCTCCCACCTCCTCTTGACCATGCGAATCCATCTCCTTCTCCTCCATTCGCCCCTCCTACCCACACCATCAACATCACTCGATTCCTCCCAACTGACCGGCACGCCTTTCTTACCCTTCACACTTCCCATATTACTACGGCTGCCCGCATCTAAAACGCCCACAGAATCCTCCTCTTCTCCTTCATACTTGATATCATAAACCCATCTCTCTCCTTCAGTTTCGACTTCGACCCCCGTGATAATTCTCTCTTCAACCCACTCCCTACTCCACAAATCCAGCGCCCATTTCTTCTCGCTCCATTCCCAACCTCGAGGACTCTTTACATCTTCGAAAAAGCGACAGCCTATTGGTCTCCCTATTTCAATCCGCATACTACTTAAAGGATCATAGGGTGAAGTGCTGAATAACCAATGTTCCCATTCGCCAGCGCGCGAAAGTTTTTGCAGTTCGAAAATTTCTACCTCGCGAGTCTCGGGAGATGAATCGAGAATTATGTTGTGAGCTATGAAGGTTTCGAGATTAGTTTGAAGAGGTCTAGCACGTGGTTGTACAATGGCAGTGTGAGTTGTGAGCATTTGACGCTGGATGGTAGGATGACCGAGAGACGTTATGGTCCAGCCTATCGTTAGGAAGATGAAGCGCCATGGCATGAGATGAGAAGCGATGAACATGAACGCTGCAGTTACCACAAGGAAAAGAAATAGAGTGGATGAGAGCGGTTCGTTAGAGAAGTTTGTGGAAGGGGAAATTAGGCTGATTATTTTATCGTGAAGTTGGGAGAAATCTTCCATGCAGTTTTGTAGGTCGCGCATATTCCGGAAGAAATCTTTGGAAAGTTCTTTGACTGGTTTGACAGTTGGGGCTGGGGCTATTGGTGGGCCTGTTGTGGAATATGTGAAGGAGTCTGTAGTGATAGTTGTAGGAGGGGCTGGATGACGAGCTATGAAGGAGGGTATGAGGACGGCAAGGAGAAGAACCGCCAGTGGGAGAACGGTAAGGAGATAGGGATCTAAGCAGACGAATGTATACACTGCAAGAAATGAGAGAGTGTGCGACCATTGTTTCCAGCTTAGCAGACGTATCACTTTGGCTTGAAAGACGAAAACCACTCCTATTCTTGCATTGAACCTTCTGAAATTATTCGACATGGTCGTAATGTTAAAGGCAGGTCTTTCGACGAAGTTCGTAGTAGTCGCAGGGGCATCTTTGCGATTTTCACTGAGATCCTCGATTGGTATGACTTGTTGTAATAACCTATTGTAGTCAGAGGAGTCCTGAGATAGAAACGCTGCAGTATAGGATCTTGGCATACCTTTCAAGTAATCTATCTTGTACACTTGCTGATCTTTCCGAAGCTTTACTGTGTGCTTTTTTGAGATTTTCCTTCAGGCCCGATTTATGCTTCTTTGAACCCTCTCGCGCACCTTCTTTGCCAGGCACTCCTTTTGTATCTTCAATATCATCAAGGTCGTCTCTAGAATCTAATCTTATCACCGGGATAGGATCATCACGATTCACAAATGCGTCTGCTGTAAACTCATCCATTTTCTGAGACTCGGTAGTATGAAGCTTATTCGATAGGATTGACGGGTTGTGTCTGAGAGGAAGTTCCGACGATCCTTTATAAAGATCAATGAGGGGACTCTATTCATAGAGCCATGAAGCTATAGTGTTTCGTTTCTTCACCGTCAATAATGTTCCAGTTCATGTAAATAAACAACATGCTTCGGATTAATTAAGTATCGATGGCAGCATTAAAAGTTTAGTTGAAGTGTATCCAGTTCCATATACATTGTCCACAAAGCTCAAACATCTCAGTGTTTGAAGTTGACGGGTTTAGCGATCAATGAACTACGGAAAAGGCATGACGTTTTTGCCGCCGGCCGCCCGCAATTGGGCTGGAAGTTTTGAATCGTTTTGACTGGATTTGATTGATTTTGACTGGATCGAAAAATAGCATCCGTTCTCCCGCGATAGACTGACTTGACTGCTGCTGGACTGACTGCTAGACTGACTGCTAGACTGACTGCTAGACTGACTGACTTGATCCAGGAACCATAATTTGAGATCTACGATGTTGATTATGGCACAGTACGGTACTTCCGTCTTTTGGAAGTAAATTGAAATATTGTTGCTTGTATTGTTTTCTAGATTCAAAATGTTGAGGGGGAAAAAAAAAGTACCCTTTTTTCAATTTTCTTCCCACAATTGAAAGGGAACAACAGGAAGTACCTACCTAAGAAAGACCTGTGCATGATCGATAAAATGAGATGGATGGGATAATACCACTAACACTGCTGTGCGACCCCTTTTCCAGTACGATCTTTCTTTGATTATCAAACAATGCTACTGGAGTATACGTTTGTACAAGAAGCAGTATGAATAGCATCATAATCATATCTTCAAATTTAGGCCGGTTTGTCGTTGAAACATGGGATTAATCTCTAATCTTCTTATCATTATTCCAGACTTCTTTTCTCTCCCAAACACATTCTGCCCACGTCAGGGGTTCATAACAATTTGGATCAGTCAAACTGGTCTTACCTCCTACTCCGTAGATAATGATGGCAGGTGGTCGATGAAAACTACTTTGGAAAAAGGGGTGTGACATTTTCTTTTGCACTGTCGTACACTCTCTATGGCTTGGTGGATCTGTACCTCACAGAATGTGATGTTTAGGTACATACGGGACACAGTAGTGAGGATTTACTCCGTAGCTGCTGTTGCCATGGTGTACAAAAATTGAAGCCGAGTAGGGCAGAGACCTTCATGGAGAATAAAGTCTCCATAAGACTGCAGATTGTACGGAGGATGTAGGAAAAGAGGTTCACACAGCTCAACACAATCTTGGAATGAGAAACATGATACGAAGTAGGTAGATAAGGTAGAACAAGTTAAGTCATAATACAACTTCGCTCCAGACAAGCTTTGCGAATTAGACATATAATTATATCAACCATTGATCAATCATGAACATCCCTATTAATCATCCATCAACCATCAACCATCAACCATCAATCAAGCAATATTTGACACTCGGTATATACTCTGTACAGGAATAAATTGACCCCATAAACAAATTACACATGGGTAATCCTCATTAGCATGCTCGAGGAGTAAAATGATAGATAAAATCATGGTCAAATAATCCTTTCCCATAATAAACAATATGAAGCATTAAAGCATTGACAAGTAATTAATAACTTGACTTGTATTAATGACTATACTGACTGACTGTTGTGAGAGAGAAGACAGAAAGAGGAGATTCAAGTCATCCTGACCGCTAAGATTGTCAGATCCCACTGCTCTGTTCGGTATTTCGACAGTAAACTAGCTTTCATTGGTCCATTGAAGGATTTCTTGAATCTTTCCCCATTTTGATAGGCTCAAAGCATCTCGCTACAGTCCCCAAATCAGCATACTCTGCCTGTTATGTCCTGTATTCTGTACAAAAAAAAAGGCCGTACAGAATCTAGATCCACTTTTAGTCTCTATGGGCAACGGAACGGAAGACCTTGACCTTGACCTTGAACCTTACAAGTTACCACCTCGAATGAATATCCAAAAAGGTACGGGAACAACCAGTCTCTCATCCCATTCGCAGTACTATAGCCAGTCCTATAACCATAACGGGATACGACAGCCCTTCAATCCAACCCAAAATATTGCTCAATATCTGCAAACCTCAACTTTCCACACCCATACGACAATACAATAGAGTACAATACATCAGATACAACATCTACCCACTTCCCCAAATCACCACTTAACATAATCCACGACCCTTGACTCGAGATATTCGAGAGTCACAAGTAAAAATAGGATACGGGTCAATTGACGCGCTTTATTTCGGTGGAGAAGAAAAAAGGTGGTGAGAGACTCAGATAGTTTTTGTCTTAATTTACCGGGTAACCATTTACAACGACTTCCCTGTTTACTATACCCACGACGGCCATTTGAAATGAGATAGTCTATCGACAAACTCGGCCCTTAAACGGACTGAGCTCAAGGAAGGAAAACCTTTACTCAGAGATTACTTTTCGTCGCTGGCTCCCCCCAGCGACCTTAGTTCCTCATCTATGATTCGGGAACAGAGGGCTCCCTCAGGTCCACGACCAGACCTTTCGCCTACAAGACAGTAAGAAAACATGCCCCTCAAGAGAGAAGCCATTAGAGGCGCTCGCATTCACTAATACTTCTAACAGTAGGATCTCTGAGAATTACAATCCCGCTGTAGGAACAGGAGGATCGCGTCTGATAGCTGGGAAAGAGCCTACGCTACATGCTCCCTCGCGGACTAACCATACATTATTTACATTCGGAGGTCACAACGACGATAACTCGTCATCTTACGATTTTTTGCCCTCCCCCAGCTTTGACGACCTTCAAACTAGCATATCCAATGAACTACAGCTGGCACCACAATATCCGGCATCAGGTGGGGGAGATTCAATGCCGAGAGAGAAGCCTTCAATGGGGGAAATTAAAGCATCTATAAACAATGGTCGAGGGCCAGGTCCGGCGCGTGGAGTGTCCGGACCACGACCGGCACGAACCTCTTCTTTTCAACGTCGACAGAGTGTGAGCAATCGCCAAGGTAGCATATCTTCAACGGCTTCCTCAACGGCATCGGGGAATATGGATCCGCCATCTGCTCCTCTCGCTGTGCGAACTCGTCGAAACCAATATCCTCCGATCTCTGGAAGTGCTGCCTCCAATGCGCCGGCCGCTAGATTGCCGCGCAGATCTGTAGGTTCTGATGCAGATCAGTCGAACAAGGCAGGGACCACACAAAGGCAGCGTCCGGGTCTTGCTCCAAGTACATCGTTACAATCTTTGTCTGATGTTGCCAGCGCTTCTGTGAGAATGAACAACACAGGGGTCCCGAGTTATATGGATGGTGCAAGAGGTACAACCGCCTCGAGGACAGCAAAAAGTAAATCACTACAACCTCCGGTGAAAGGGCAACCGCAAGTTTCTCTTCAGCCCGGCACGCCAGATCACAGCAGATCGTTGTCTCTAGCTACAAAATCGCCAGGAAAGCCCAGTGGAACAGCAATAGGCGCAACCACACCATCTTCTGCAACTTCAAAGCGGATGTCAGTCTTGCCAGGTACTACTCATGCAAGTGGACTTGGGGCTAGGACGATCAGCCCTACGGACACTCGAAGGGCCAAACGTCTATCAACTCACCATGGAAATCCAGTAGTTGCGCCAGGTACACCGCCAACTCCACAACCCGACTCATATCCCGCATTTACTCCTCGAGGATCTTCCAGATCTCCGTCAATGCTACCTCGAAAAGTCCCTACACCTTCATCTTCTCGAACTACTCCGGATAGTAACCGTAAGTACAATTCTGCTATTTCAGCTGCATCAAGTTCAAGCTGTAACACATCTCGAAACACTACAGGTTCTCTACAGCCTCGATTATCGTCCCTTGCTCCCACGACATCAAGGCTGCCAACACCCAAATCACGAAATGTCCATAGTTCAGCGGGTAATAATGAAGAGGAGGACGTACCACCAGTTCCTGCGATACCTAAAGCTTATGAATCTCCCAAGGATTCTCCTGCAGAAACTCCATTCTTCGCCAAGAGAAAGTCAAGTATGCCTTTTGATGCTAGTAGTATCAATAGTACTTCAACAAATAGCATTTCTGGTAGGAACTCTGCACGCGAACCGGCCAAGAATGAGCGGGAGTCAAAAAGATCAAGACATGCTCCTCCTAGCTCGAACTCAGATCTCGAACAGCAAAAGCAAAACTCCGCGACTCCCAAGAAGAAGAACCTTCAACCACTTCGTCTCCCGCCATTGAATTTGTTACCTTTAAGTGCTCCAACGGCTGCGAAGGCTAACGCCATATCCAACCCTGAGCCTTTATCAAATGGTACCATTACACCCCCACCAAAACGGATCAGTACCAAAACTCCAAGTTCGCCCATGACAGCATCAAAAACATCATTCTTTTCACGTCGCACCGAAGATAAATCTGAGCGTCATATGCCTCAAAAGCGGAGCAACAGTTCTATTCATCACCGGCCCGCGGAGTCTTCGCAAGTATTTGAGAGTGACGCTGGGACGAAACCTATACCCATAGCCAGTAGTCGACCACCACCACCTAGAGAAACCTCTCCATATTTATCCTCATCTCTTCCCAAAAATAACGCCGGCCAGCACCTCATGCCTCGATCTAAAACCAGTGGTGATTTCATTACGCTGGATATTTCAACTGAAAGCAAGCCGGCCAGGTTGACTGGGCCACGTGCCTTGAAAGTGAACCGGTTAGCTAAAAGCGACACTCCTGCGGAAGTTTCAAGTCCCGAGGAACCGCCAACACCATCCTCAGCAACGTCATTGCGTAGAAAGCTAAGTCTTGGTTGGAAACGGTCTGGCTCCAAGAATAACTCCACCGCTTCTCATGCGGCAGGTGAGAGAGAAGCTAATCATCCACCTCCTCCTCCAAAGCATGATAACATGCCACCTCCTAGATTGCCTGCCTCTGCTACAATGAATAATCTTAGTAGCGACAACAACAAGGAAATACCTAGTCCTAGTCCTTCTGTCAAGTCAGGTACTACTACTTACCTTAATTCCACTAGAAGAAAAAGCTCAGTTTCGAGCCTTAATCTGGTCACTGGTCACGATAGGACAAAGAGTGATAGTTGGGGTTTGCATCGAAGCAGTCCGAAGAAGGAAGCATCAGCAGACACTATGACTCCGGAGAGGAACATCCCGACAGCCACTTCACGAACCACTTCTTCTGTGATGCATAGAATGCTGAATCCAAAGGCGTCTAGTAACAATATTAGGCATCAGGATCATTGGACCGCGGACTTGGACAAGGACGATCTTCTAGCAGAAGACGAAATGAAGAAACTTGGTAATAAACGAAAAGAAACAGAGCAGGCAGCTCGTCAATTGGATGCTTTGAGAAAACGTGCTACTCCTAAGGATCGAGCGAATCCTCAACAGGCTCTTAAACTCGTCTCGCATCTTAACATTTACGAAAAAGGGGAAATAGTCGACTACAAGGATATCTACTTTTGCGGAACTGCCAGCGCAGCTAAACATGTTGGTCAACTTCAATCTGATGCCGCTAATTTTGGTTATGATGATGATAGAGGAGATTACCAAATCGCCACTGGAGATCATCTCTCGTATCGCTATGAGATTATCGACGTTCTCGGTAAAGGAAGTTTTGGTCAAGTCGTCAGATGTATTGATCACAAGACAGGGGGATTAGTGGCTATCAAGATCATCCGAAACAAGAAGAGGTTCCATCAGCAAGCTTTGGTGGAGGTTAACATTCTCCAAAAGTTGCGTGAATGGGTATGTAATTCAAACAGTTTCATCCGGTAATCAGCTAACAGGCATAGGACCCCCACAACAAGCACAGCATGGTCAATTTTGTTCAAAGCTTCTACTTCCGTGGTCATCTTTGCATTTCTACTGAGCTTTTAGATATGAATCTCTATGAGCTTATAAAATCGAATGCTTTCCGCGGTTTCTCTCTCAAGATCGTTCGACGATTTACAAAACAGATGCTCAGCAGTTTGTTGCTTTTGAAGTCAAAGAAGGTCATCCACTGTGATCTGAAACCTGAAAACATTCTTCTTGCTCATCCACTCCATTCCGAGATTAAGGTTATTGATTTTGGGTCAAGTTGTTTCGAGAACGAGAAGGTATATACATATATTCAATCCCGATTCTACCGATCACCGGAAGTCATTCTTGGTATGACATATGGTATGCCGATAGATATGTGGAGTCTTGGATGCATCTTGGCAGAGCTTTATACTGGAGTACCCATCTTTCCTGGTGAGAATGAGCAGGAACAACTAGCCTGCATCATGGAAGTTTTTGGTCCACCGGAGAAGCATCTGATTGAGAAAAGTACCCGCAAAAAGCTTTTCTTTGATTCGCTCGGAAAACCACGCCTCACTGTATCGTCGAAAGGACGTAGACGTCGACCATCTTCGAGATCTCTTCAGCAAACGATCAAATGTGACGACGAGGTTTTCCTCGACTTCTTGGCTCGTTGTCTCAGGTGGGATCCCGAAAAGCGTATGAAGCCTGATGAAGCTGTTAGACATGAGTTCATCACTGGTCATAAGCTTGCTGCTCCACCTCGTGTCAATGCTCGACTCGACTCACCGATCAAGCGACACAATACTACCGCCGCACCTTCCACAAACAGACCTCTCCCAGAACCACCTGCCACCAGTCACAAAAGTGGGACATCTGTTAGACCACCTGCTGCTGGAACTAGTCCGAGTAAAGCTCTTCCTCCTCGACGACAATCCAATGCCACAACATTGACTGGACCTCCTGGGCCGAAACGCACAAGTACTGGAACCGTTACAATTACTGGTAGTAGTAGTTTACCCCGAGTTACGCGAAGTGTAAGCTCGAAACAGGATTTAGCATCTGCGGGGGCATCGGCGGCTATGAGTAGTCGGCGAGCATTATAGAGGAATGTAATGTATGAGACGAAAAGTGTTGAAGATGAATAAAACTCTCACAGCACTCATTGGGTACATAAGGAGCGGATTATACGAATAGATGGTCTTTTATTACTTTATTGCCTTTTTCTTCTTCCTTTCGTTTGAAGTTGTCCTTTATTGCATAGCAGCTAGTTTGGGCGAAGCATTCTCATTTCATTTCATTTCGTTTATACCTTTGCATTATGCATACCCACATGATCTACACAACTATACATACTTCATTCGTTCAAAAGCACAGCGCGAGTCACAAGTTTACCACTACTCAAAGCTTTTCATCTGATGATGGAAGTCTTTTGGCGTTCTTGCGACAGCAGGGCTGTAGGCTGGGACAATCTGGAATATATTAGTGGGCGCAACAAGCATTAGCTGATACTACTATAACACTACTACACTTTAATTTGACGTCTCTCTTTCACGAATTTTTTACCAGGCGTTTTGGGCGGTTTGTCCCTGAAGAAAAGATGGGTGGGAAAGCAGAAGATCCGACGTGGAAGTAGGATACATTTGGAGATCGTGATGGACTCAGATGGCATCCATACATGGAAAAGGGCGGTCGGTTCAGAATAAGGGATGGGAGGGCGAAGGCATTAAATGGGATTGACGAAAAGAATTGAGATGAGTGAGATGAATAAATTATGTATATTAATGTTTGGTATCTTCTTCTTCTCTTCTTGGGCGTGGTGGCGGTTTCTAGATGAACAGAGGAGAAGAAACTGGTTTTATTACATATATGCTGCTGGTGGTGGTGGTTAGATGATCGCTAAACTCATGGCTTGCTGGGCTCTTGTTTGTTGTTGTTGCATTGTTGTGTTGTATGGTGTATGGTGTATGTTGTCGCTGTATTCGCGAAGGAGAGGAGAGGCAATAAGTGGCGTCGTAAAGGATGTTGGGAGATGAGGGGTTGAGGGAATGGGGGATAAGCTAGCATTGTGGGGTCTTGTTGGAGTTGAGGTGGGGAGAGAAGTGGGAAGGAGTTAGTTTTTGATGCGAGACAGGGCGTGGCCAGATCAGGTCAGGGTAGGTAGGGTAGGGTAGGGTAGGGTAGTATGCGAGTTTAGATATCCAATGCAAGCAAGAGTTTATTATTTCTGTGTAATTGAGGTTTGTGGAGGACGTTGGGGTTTGGATTATGTGATTTTGATGTGAGTTTGAGTATGAGTGTAGTGTATATCTATTGGGTTTGATATGGATGTTGATATGGATGTACATGTAAATGTAAGTGTAAATGTAAAAGTGATGGATAAGGTTTCAGATAAAGAAAGATGAGTAGGTGATAAGATGATATTGAGACATATTTTTCAATGAGGATTGGATATAGGTCAAGGATTGGGTGTTAAAATTGATAGGGGATGAATGAAGGATATTAATGGAATATAAGGGATGGGGGCCGAAAAGATGAATAATAATTATAATATTCGAATTGGAGAGGAATTATGAAATAGCTGGTTTACTAAAGAGAATAATGGAAGTAGGGAAGAATGAAAAACAGATGAGAAAAAGCATCGCATCGAATCAAAGAATGAAAAAGATTACGATGCAGTAGCTAGTACGATAGGGAGATATAGATTTCATACACCTTTCATTATCATATCATGTCATCTTATTTCATCTCATCTCATCTCATATCATCTCATCTCATCTCGTCTCATCTCGTCTCATCCGAATAATAAATTCAGCTACTAAACTAAGTTATGTTATCCTCCTCAATCCATTCATCCCCACACACATCCTTCTACATCTGTTCTCTATTCCATCTCCTTCAGCGGTATTCGATTAAATATCTATACTCTCTCTTCTCACGTCCCTCACTCCCTTCCATTCACTCCCCAACTAAGAATTACCTACTCACACATACAATTAAAGCTCCCCGTCCTCGTAGAAAGTATCCTATCATAGAATCTGCTGCCAAAAATTCTTCGTCCATCTCATCCCAATCCATGTAAATTATTCTTAAAGAGAGTTCGCCAACTCATTTAAAGTCATAATATATCATCCGTGATCCGTCGTAGGTGTTATGTATGTGTTCCAAAAGCATCGTCCAAAACTGTGTAAAACATGACCCAAAAAGTCCTCCTCTTCATAAATAACGCCATCATAAGGAATGTATCTTACCTTCTCATTTTCTCCCTTATACCCTCAGCTCATTCCCAACTACTCATAAAAAAGAAATTCATAGGAACCAAGCAAGTGCAGCTCCCATAGCTGCAAGTCCACCCGCGCTAACAGCATTAGCAGCACCTGTATATTCAGGCGCCCCAGTTCCAGTAGCTGTTTTACTTGGTCCTACAGGTGTAGCAGTTGCACTTCCACCGGATCCTAAACCACTAGTTGTTCCGTTGTGGACACCAAAGCTTCCAGATCCGCCAGATCCACCTCCAGAGCCACCTCCGGATCCGCTTCCTGAGCCACCAGTTTCGGCCGCGCTGCCGGATGATAGGATGACAGTGCTAAGACTCGATGACGGGGTGGCAACAGGGGTAGTTGGAGTTAAGGTTGCGGACGGGCTTGGGATGGGTGTGCAATTTGGAAGTGTAAATGTACCGTTGAAGTTTCCAGAGCCGCCTTGGACGATGCAACTACTGTGATGTTATTTAAGTGACACACAAGGTGGAAATCTTGATAAGGAAGAAAAATATGACGCGAAGGGGGTAGGGCAAGATAAAACATACTTCTTTGAACAAGCAGCATCACCACTCTTATCACTAGTCTCCCAACATGGAGAATAATGCACACCATAAGGGAAATAGCCCGCAAGATTATCATCACAGTTCCCTGGTTGACCAATGCCGTTTGTACAACGAATGATAATGGATGAATCCAGGGATGGACTTGCGCAGTAGGCACCATTGGAAATAGGACATGAGAAGGTTCCAGTGGTCGAGTTACTTTAGAGATATTAGATAAGGTGATATTTATGGATAAGAAAGATATTCATAGTGTAGTCTAAGGTTAGGAGGGTAACTGACTAGGTAACCTGAGCAATGCTTATGCCCGCAAGAGCAGCAACTGTTGCTGCAAGAGTAGCGAATGGCTTCATGGTTTTTGGTTTGTTGGTGTCTAGCTTAGGGATTGATTATCTGGTAACCAAAAGTGTCTTCCAGTATATCAGAATTCCAAGAGTACTAGGTATTATTGTGTGTGTGAAGCAGAAACGATTGTGTAGGTGATTGATGTTTTTGTTTACTTGAAAAAATTAACGAAAGTTGATGCGACTAAGTGCTTTCCTTTGCAATATTTCTTTGAGGGTGATAAGTTCTTCTTGGGGAAGGAGCGCATTTCGGTTTTATATGTACATTGCGTGGGAGGCAAGAACTGACTACTGATCAGATGATTGGCAGGGACATATTGTCATAATGGAAATACCATGCCTTCCCCCCTTGTACTTTACATGTGTGTACTTAAGCAGGACGAGAGACGAGGCGCTCCTGAAATTTCCCGTAATTCCCAGTAGAAACGTTGCGGAAATTCATGGGTTTTTCTAAGCAAGAGTGATCATTGAAGCAAAAAACGTGTTGCTAAGTAAGCATATGTATAGAGAAGATGAGCAAAGAACTCAATCAGCCGTGTCAGCTGCCGTCGAACACGATCAAAATCTAAGCCTTCCTGCCCGATGTTCGGTACTTCCAATCATAGGACTAGTAGGCTCAATTTGTACTTTTCTGTCTCAGAGATGAGGCTATTTCTAGAGAGACGGCGATTTGTCTCTTCGTATCACTTGATTTTATTGCGTGGAACAAGGAAATTTTGAAATACACCGAATTATGCCGAAGAGTCATCAACAGTGGCATGGTATGATGTCCCAATTCGTACTGTCATCGTTCCATCTATAGAATGCTCAATATAATCTATACCGGATTAATATACAGATTGATCCAATCGATATATAGGAAGATATCTTGTATTCTGATGATTCGCTGGCGGGGTTATACTGCATCAGAGACGTATAGTATTCCGCATTTCAAGAGGCTGGGAATAATGATGTTCAGAGAAAGATAGTTGGGTCGCTTGAACGGTAGAAGATCTGATAAGTGTAGTTGTGGTGTGGTGTGGCTGGAATCCAATATATTTGATCAGCCACTGGACATTTGATCAGCTAACTATTCATTGCGGGGTAGTTGAATAGACTGAGGAATGGCGTGAGTTGATATTTGCACATCATATCTATATTCCCCCTTCACTTGATTTAAACGATATCTAAGGTTATTATACGAACTACAGTGCTACCCCCCAGGAAGGCTTCAGATATTTTCTTCACAAAGAATTCTGATAATTACTTACATCTCCAGCACCTTTGCAACCCAAATCACTACACCCCCTTTCTCACAAAGAAAAACCCCAGGTCCAACAAACGAACACACACTCTTGGTGACATCGCCCCGACAGAAACCTCAGACCTCGTATTCATCGCGCCAAACACCATGTACGATTCTACAATCACATTTACCTTTGATACCATCTGTCCATGGTGAGTCGTCGTCTCCCGTCTCCGAAAATCCATTTTATACCTTCCCTTTTCATCTTTCCTCCTTCATTCCTTGCCCGTGATTATCCAAGCAATATCATGGAATACGAGGTCAAAGACTATGGCTGATTGTGTTGGTTCATAATTAGGACTTATCTTGCCAAAAAGAGGTAAGGGTATTCAGTAATTCGCTCAGATATCATTGAAATTGAGGGAACTCTGATTACTGACTGAAACAATGTTACATAGATTGGATGAAGGTAAGAATTAGGCTTTTCTTCCAAATTTGACGTCGGCCGAAATGATTCCCAAAGTGTGAATAGGAGATTGTGAAAAAGAGAGACAATCACGTGATAACTACCACCATCATCTCCTCATTTCCTTCACTCTAGCATTGTACCTTTAGGTCCATACACTCATTCCCCATTTAATAACAACCCTCCCAGCGCTCCGTATCGTCCGTTCAACGGATGCAGCTTCGAAAGTTAGATTCACCATCAAGTTCTCACCCTATCAACTATATCCCGAAGCTAGCAAAGAAGGCGAAGATAAATATGCCTGGTATCGTAAATCTCGTTACGGAGACTCCGACGAGAAGATGGAAATGTATATGAAAGTCATGACCGCGTACGGCCAATCCGCAGGTATAGACTACAAATTTAATGGTACGGTTGCCAATACTCTCGATGCGCATCGAGTCATTCAGCACTTCCAACAAGAAGATGTTAAAGGGGGAGGGCCAGAAACAGCAAATAAGATCGTCATGGCGCTGTATCGAATGTATTTCCAAGAGGAGAAACATCCGTCTAGTGAAGAGACGTTGCTTGCGGCCTGTAAAGAAGCGGGAGTAGATGAAAAGGAAGCGAGAAAGATTATTGAGGATGAACATGAGGGATTGGTGGATGTGAAGAATATGATTAGAGAAGCTGAGGGGAACGGCGTGGATAGTGTACCGGTTGTTCGTTTTGAGGGTAGGAGAAGAGATATCACTCTGGAAGGGGCTCAAGATGTAGGCGAGTACGTGAAGTCGTTGGAGCAAATTGTTAAGGAGAGTGTGTAGATGCCTAATGGGATGATACTTTCATCAAGCAAAGGCCTATGCATGTATTTTTTTGGCCGAGAAGTTATTCTTCATGGGAGATGGATACAATATGTTTCCTTCATTGGCGGTTTCGTTATTCTTACTGCGATGATTGGTAATTTACGTAACCTCGAATGACATGGTTTTCATACATTTTCACCGAACATCTTTTCAATCTCTACTATGATTTCTTCCAAGCGGCCACATTGCAAATTAATGTCGGAATCACTTAGTATTACTCCCTTTTACCTCTTCTCTTCTCCTCTTAGTATGCATTGCTAGCTGCAAAAGCCAAGTAGTTTTTCAGCTCAAGTCCCTTTTTTATTCTTCAAAGTTATCAAGCCCCACTACAAGCCTATACCTATCATCGACTCTCTAACATGTCACAATTTATATATTGTAGATCGTGTACTCCAGCTTAGGAAGTGTTTGAAAGGTTGGTAGTGAGATAGGAAAAAAGACTATCTAAATCGGTATTAGATTTTGTCTCCTTTGGTGGAATGTCAACTATCAACCGCTCAGTGTTTGGTGTAAATTTACCCAGGCTATTTCTAAATACTACAAGAATCGGGGTTGCTTGTGGCTTATAATTAGAGTTTCAAAATGAAATGTTGATTGTAGTTTTGTATCTTCTGAGTAATATATTTGTATGTCTTTCTTATATTGTGTTGAACTGTTTCAATTTTAATGTCAAAAAGTAATCTTCGAAATCACCTAGATACACATACATAAAAATTCTGCAGGAACCAAAAGAATTTTCTCAGGAAACAGAATCTATATTTTCCACGTCGAAAGGATACAGGAAATCAACCAGCAAATCCTTCTAATTTCTTTTGGAAGGGGAAAAATGCTCCTGTTTCTTTTCTTTCTTTCTATAATTCTAGCATATTTTAACGCTGTAAAACCTCCTCATCCCGTACTTAGGTATGCCACTTTCAAGAAAACTCTCCTGGATAAGCCTTTCAGATATGCAACAAAACAGGACTTGAGCCAATGAGATCAGAGTTGGGAGCTTCAAAGCAGCACTTTCTCCTTTGATGAGAGAAAACAAATTGACCATTCAATTTATTCACTTATTCTCATCATAGAATGATACTCTTACTTCTTTTCTTATTGACTATCTAAAAATGAGTAATAAAGAATCACTAGTATTAAATTTATACTACTTCCAAAAAAGGAGCTTGGATACAACTTCAGATATGCAACAAATCTTTCTAAAAGAAGTCAAGAGTGGCTGTGCGAGGACCTCGAAACTGCACTTTCCAACTCCAATCAAGAATACTGAACAAACCTTCGAATTTACTATTGTGAAATCTTGTGATAATAAAACTTTTACTTCTTTCTAATACATCTGCACGTTTCAATATAAACATCATCTCGAACTGTTGATTTTCCCATCCATTCAAAATGATACCCCGGAGAGCCTCTAAAATATGCAACAAAACCTGAGGTCGAGATAAGGTTTAAGCTAAGCTTCCATGAAAAGAGGTAGAAATACCAATATTTCTGGCTTTGCGCAGAGATATCTAAAGAGGCTTTCACACACCTCTTTCTATAATCCATTTGAAAGTCACTCCACAGCTCAGATATATTAGAGAACTTGTCAATATGTGTAAAAGAAGCCGGAGAATCCAATCATGAAAACAGATGACAATGAACCCAACTCGCGAATTTGTTAATGATGCTAGACAGGGAAGAATAGCAAAGTCTCGAGAGCAGGATATGAGTACCTAGCATACAACCGTACGCCCTCGTTGAATCATTCATGGTTGGGTGAAAACAATTATCTGTGTCAACAACGGTACGTGCAAAAAATAAAGTTAGTATCATGTGCAGTGTATGATCAGATATGCAACGCAACAGTACTAAGTGGAAAGTTTTGAGGAACGTATAGTTAAGCTCAGACTGCAAAGCAGCTCATGAACTTCTAATTTTTGCTTCTTGGACGTAGTTCCTGCGGAAGAGATTGGAGAGGACCGTACTTACAAAATAAAAGCAAGGAAAGATTGAGGGCGCCATTACGTGGTGACTATAACAAAGCTGTACGGTACCGTGAATTTGAATGTCAATGTGAATGTAAATGTGAATGTGAATGTGAATATACGAAGCCATAGAAAGTAACAACGGGTTTCTTAATACGGCAGTAACGACTAACTAGTACCCTACACGGCTTCAATCCACATCTCTCTTTCCAAATACCTTAAATATCTCAAAAGAAACCAACAATTCTTATTTTTATTCTCATGCTCATATTTTACAGTGACTGTGGGAGAGCCATAAGTGAGTATCACTACAACCCACTTTCTTCAATATTATCGTTGGATTTTCCCTCACAATAGCATCGAATCGAAACATTTCCAATCACAGAAGATATATCTTATCGGTCACTCAATTGCCTTGTCTAACTGCTGGACAAAGAAATCTCCCAACGTTTTTTTCAACCATCAAAAGAGATTTGAAGTTTCGTCTTGGCCAAAAAGCCAGTTGAGGGCGTTGAAAGATAGGTCTCCTGGAAGACGAGGCACACAGCAAATCTCTTGTTGATGAATATGAGATTTGTACGCAACCGAAGCCTCGTCATTGTTTGAATGATTAAATTCACTCATTTTTATCAGTGACTCCTCAACTTCGGTTTTCAATCCAGCCTCGAATATCCCCATAGGAGAGAGAGCCTCAATTTCTCCGCCTTACTTTCATTCACAACTCGAAACTCATCGATCCATAACAATCCTCAAAATCGACATCAAATTAGCGATTCTATCTTTTAAATTCAATCTTACCTCTCGCGCTCAATTTTCACCAAAATCAACAACCGACTCTTCTCAAAATGACACAAAAATCTCCCAGGCCCAACTTCAACTCATCCTCTTGTTTTCACATTCCTCATTCTTCCAATAATTCTGATGTACAGCCTCATTCCAATAAGGCTGGGCACTTCTCTCCAGTGAATTTTGACTATGGCCCTCCACTACTTGATCCCGCTGGACATCGACTCAATCGACGGCCAATAACGGAAAAGAACACCTTCAACGACGTTCCTTTATTAACTGATCCTGCCAGTCCTATTCGACCCCCTCAGCACAGATACAAGAAATATAATTCCAGCTATTCACCTCCCACATCTGATTCTTCCGCCATAGATACACCTCTTCGAACAAGAGAACTTCTCCCGACAAGTTGCTTCGAACTAGCTCCCGATCAAACAGTTGTTTCGCCATTGCCTGATACCGTCAGAGCTCAACATCATGGGCAAAATGAGCAATCTAACTCCAAAAATACTGGGCACTCTGTTAATTGGCGGGTAAAAGGGGTTGGAATTCCAGAGAGTCTGGATTATACCCCAGGGGCTAAAATTATCGTTACCACTGTATCTAGCTCTGTCTTAAAACTTACTGCAAAAGGTACTGGTTGTCAACGTTCTAAATCCCATCACGTCAGGTTTCAACCTTATTCGCAAGCAGGAAGAAGAAATGCTGTGAGTCTAAACTCAGGTAATCCTGGACAGACACCAGATAACCATCCATGGCCAGAATATGTCACACACACGTCCAGCTCCTATGCATGCGATATTTCTGAGCCTCTATCAACCATCGGAGAGTTTTATACTCCCTGGAATTCCAATGCAAATCCACTAGTTGCACCAGACGCAGCTGGAAAATCTGATAATGTCAATCACGCGAGACATGTTCATAGACCCAGCGCATCATCGAATGCTATATCTACACGCGCTAATAAAAAGAAAGATCAGGAGGATAAAGAAGAGATGGACATCGATATTCCAGAACACAGTCCTACATCAATTTCTAGCCATATGCATCCAACAGAACATGAAACCTCAAACGACCAACGCAGAGAAAGTGCCAGGGACGCTTTCACAACACCTAGTAATCCCTTTCCAGAGGATTCACCATTACCGTCTTCCACATCAAATACCGGAGGGCCACGAACCTTTTCCCAATCAGCAGGGACTACAACTACGAGTTCTCGAAGACCAGCTCAGAGCGCAACGGGGAAGTTATGGAAGGCTATGTATGGGAAAGATACGGTTAATTTGCAGAAGGATTTGGTGATGTTGAAAAGTAATGGTGTTGAAGATATAGATTTGAGAAAACTTTTTATAACAGTGGAAGAGCGATGAGATGTGCAAGGAATAGAAATAGAAGTTTTTGATGAAGGGGAAATGGAGCTGAGGAATGCGTGAGGTGTTGGGGAGGATTCTATGGTCGCTCTGCATATTGATAGCTGGTTGTGGGTTTTGGGTGTTAAGATAACTTGAGATGGGAAGGATGGGGTAATGGTTTAGAGCGTTCATTAATTACATATGAGTTTTTCCTTTCCTGATAGATGGATTGGAATGATTGAAATAGCAGTGAGTCAAGGACCAGAGAAAAGAATCTTAAAATTCCCTAGATATCCAAAAAAAAATTCTTATAACATAGTACATATGCATCAAATAGAACCCTAATTATTTAAACTTTCCTACCCAGAAAAAGATAATGAGCCTCTACAATCCACTTCTTCCACCTAACCTTGCAATTTGCAATAAAACATCCTCACACCCCCGAACCATCCGCTCAAATTCCAATAGAATTCCAATAGTAAAGTAAAGTAAAATCAAACAAAACAGTAACCCCTTTCTTTTCTTCAGGACTTTTTTAGGACTATCGTCTCAATTCTCGAGAAGTGCTGCGGTGCAATTAGTGGGGCAACTGTTGGTCGCTTTATAAAATGGGAATTGGTTTAAAATTTAACTTCTAGAATGAAATTTCAGAGTAAGCTACACAAACAATTTGAGTGGTTCTGTGGGAGGTAGTGGGGATTGTGTTGTGATGTTGAGGTATTGAGGTATTGTTGGATTCTGGGCTATGTTGGGGAGAGGGAGATTTGTACAGGTGTGAGGTTGACTTTGTGAGAGACCTTTTTTTTTGTGGAGGGGGTGTTGTTATTGTTATTGTGTAGGAGGGTTTCAAGGTGTTGGGGGTCAAATAGATTTTTGTGGTGGTTGTATTTGGAGAAGTGGTTTAAATGTGGTTGTGAGGAAAGAAAATCAGTTGTATGGGTGGGTATGGTGATAGTAGGTTGAAGAATGGATACCTAGGTTGATGAATAACTGGTAGACTACGAAACTAAGCTTTGAGGTTCTTGAGATTTGGAAAGTATGATGTAAGTCTCAGATTATAATAATCGAAGTATTCGCTTAACGGCTGTAATTTAAATTAAGTGAAGGAGGGGGAGAAAGAAAAGAAAACTGAAGTTTCTTTCTAGGCCTCTGCACTTTTCCTTGGTAGTGCAAGTTGCAACTTTTACTCCATATCAGAAACTCAGATGTTTTTTTTTTTTACCTTACCTTCTAATAACTTTACCGGCATCAACACAACTAACTCATAGGAGCTCAAAGTGGATGATCGAGATAGATCATCTTTTCATAAAACAGTATGAAATGAAACGTATTGCGAATTTATCAGTAATTAAGTGAATAAGGGGAATGATGAAAATAATATCAATACCATGCTTCTTTCCTCTCCGGTGTTTTCGATGAAAAGTTTCAGTATCAGCTTTTTATTCTGGTAGAATCAAGATTTGAAATAGCTTTTCATCATGGTGGAGTTGGCTGATTTTTGCTGGGTTTGTCGATATCTATTATTTTTATTGACTTCAATAGGATTTGTAAGATTACTTTTTCGATAGAACATTAAACAAGTATATATAATTAATGCTCGTTTGAAAAGTCCCTCGCAGTATTGACGACAGATAAGTTGGAAGATTTGGTTTTATGTTAAAGCGGCAAGGGTAGCGGAGCTTCTAATTGTACATCTTTCGCTTCGCTAGAGTTGGTAATGGGAAGTTCTTCATTTGACTTCAGAGATCTTCCCATGTAATTTGTTTTGAAGCAGAACCTGAAAAATGAGAGTATGTAAACTTCACGTCGTCAATCACTGAGATGTCATCATTGAAAGATTAATCTTTGATAATCTCCTTGAAGGAAATGAGAGGAGCTGGTCGAACTGACCTCCAACTTCAAAATTTCGATGTCGATGGCTAATACTTGCTAAAACAGTTACTTCTTTACAGTCTTCTAATACAGATATCATCTCCCAATCACTTGCACTTTGCTCTGCGGTAAATCATATGTCCGACTTTGATTTTGCTAATTATGACAAAAAAGTGGAACAACAGATGACGAGCTATAATTCCCAAAAGACTTTGTGTGCATCGTGAGAACATTGTGCTTTTTGGATGTTCACTGCGACGAAATATTTATATGATAGAGAAAATTCATGCTGGAACTCGGGAAGCAAAGAAAGTAGCAGTGAATTTGACCAAAAGAGAGATGATTGTCTTGAAAGGGAAAAAGTTTTGGAGGGAAAACCCGATTATGTCGGTCAAATAATCCAGAGAATGGCAGATAGCTACTTGCATACCATTGTTGCAATGAACTCCCATTGCCAAGCAATAGCGTGAATCATGATGATACCTCGAAATAGACATGAGCAGTTCAGAGATAGCTACGAAATCAAGCAGTGTGGGAAGACTGATAAGTGAGAAATGACATGATCAAAAGCTTTACTGAAAAGCGTCTGCTGATGCATGAGTAGCAAGACCATGGTTTATTTGCTAGGCAGCGAGATAAAGAAGGATTCCTCAGGTAAACATCTGATATGTTCGCGTATAAAGTAGCTACTAGCAAGTTCATGATCGAATGCTTTTCATTGAGAGCAAAGTGAAGATTGACATTTGCTCTTTAATGTCTGTTCTAAACTTAAACAGGATAGCCATAATCATTTACTTGAATTTTGTAAGATTACGTCGGAAGGTCATTACTGCATATGACATCGAACAAATAATTTCCTTGTTCCAAATGCCATCGAATATTAAACGTACATTGTATAGACTGACCTTTAGACGAAGCTCAATGTTCGACCCAGCTTCTTGGTTGATGTCTCACAAATGGTCTTAAAGGCAATGGACCACCATAGACCACCATAGATCACTATGGATCCTTCGATGGGCCATACAATCAAGTGATATAGCGGAGTAAAATAGAAGTAAACCCCTGTCTCGATCCAAAAGCGTAGCTTCCATTCATGATCCATATGCACATGCATCTAGAAGGCAGCCCACGTTGCAAACCCCAAGAACACAAGCATTCACTTCCACGTGCACGAATCCAGATATCCCACCATCAAACGCATCGATCGATAGGTAGGTATATACAAAAGCTACCGACAAAACGGACGCGGTAAGCACTAAAACCCAAGAATAAATTTTCGGAACCCACCGAGCTCCACACCACACCACATACAGTCTAGCGCATCCAAAAATGATCTGATCCAGCTCCATCGTCACACCACAATCACCTTCCCCTCCAACATTTTCATTCTCGATTTCTTTGCTATCTACTCCTTTTCCGATTTCCTTCATTTCCTTCCTATAATTTCCATGATGAAGGGTCGACGAGTTGGTAAATGCTAGCTTGGGATTGGTTGGTATTGTGAGATTAGGTGAGGAGGCGATCCCAAGCGAAAAATATCAGGAGATGTTGCAAGATTTATTGTGTTGAAGCTTGCTGACTGTTGCTGACAGTTGCAGGTTTTCGTATGATGTTTTCAATGTATGAGACCATCGTGGTTCGTTTTGGTCCTTGGGGGTGAAATTTCTGATGTTGGATGAGGCTGTGATGTTGGGCTAGAAACGTGTTTCGGGATGAGTTGAGGGCTTGATGGGAGGATTTGTAAATAGGTTGGTAAATTGGTCGGTGTCGATATTCTCGTGAATAGAGGTCTTATATATTTGGCCTCGCTGCTGTGTCACTTTTCTTGCATGTTTTATCATATCATCCATACAATATAATCATACAGAGATACAACTCCGCTCAATCACAACATACACACATCACTCAACTCAATTTGACCAATCTAGTCAAATCTCTCCTCACAAACCTTAAATTTTCCACAAACCAATCCTCCCAACCATAGAATCAAAAATCATGTCCCCAATAATTCGACAAGTCGCCTCCCGCCGCACCTTCTCCATCTTTACCCAAGTTCGCCAACTAGCACGTGGTTTCGAGCCCCATCCTTTCGAACGCTATCCCATTTCACAACAAGCTGCTAAAGCTGACTGGAGTAAATTGGTCAAGAGGACTGCTGGGAATGCTGTATTGTGAGTTTTCTTTTTTCAAGCTTGTGGAGTAGAGTTACGGGATTGGTCAGATGGAATGATGTTAAGTGAGATGTATGCTAATCGTGTAAATAGCTTTTTCCCAGGTTTTGCACTTGTGCTTGGTTGGCCTTTGTTGGCGGAGCAGGTTGTGAAGGTAACTCAGTAGTAGAGATCGGAGGACTGCGTACAACGCAAAGGAGGAAAATGGAATGTAAATATAGGATAGATGCTGGGATGGGGAGTGAGGTCTTGCATTGTGCATAGTTGGCGGCGTTTTAGGGCGGCGATTTGGAACCATTTTGAAATACATGATGGTTAGATCGTTTTTGCAGAGAGTGTAGATTAACAATAAAACACATACACAACCAGTTCCTGTGATGCTTGATAAATGTCCATCCGTTAAAGACATTATGCATGTAGATTAAGAACTGCACTTTTGCGTTTTAGAACGTAGCCACTAAGCACGGATATACCAGCCCCTCTATCATACGAAAATATGGAAAATAATATACAAATAGTACACGGTATGATACAATGCCGGAACTAAACGAAGATAACCATCATCTCTTCTTCCGTTTCTGCGTTTTCTCTAATTTTCCAGGTGCATTTGCGATATCTTCTAGAACGGCATCCTCTTTCTCTTGCTTGACGATGCTAGGCTCAGACTCAATCCCAGCTTTCTCTTCGGCATTCAGCGGTATGTCCTTACTATCCTCCTCGGTTTTAACTGACCCTGTGTGCTCCACGACACTACCCTCGGGATCTGTCTTGATCTTCTCCTCTTTAGTCTTTCTTCCAATTGTAACCTTACTTCTGTCGGCAGCTTTGCACAATCCATTCATTCCCAACTCACAACTTCCGCACTTTTTTCCAACCGGTAGACAGATAGTTTGTCCAAATCCAACTAGCAACCAATTGATCTCATGCCATAGTTCTTTCGGCAACCAAGCCTGTAATGCAAGTCTCGTCTCTTCCGGTCCTTTCGTCGTGTGCCACCCCCACATATTTGTAATACGATGAACATGTACATCCACACCAATTCCCTCGGTTCTACCCCAAGCACTACTCATACATAAATATGCCATCTTCGGACCAACTCCAGGTAATGACATTAAACCCTCAATCGTATCCGGTATATCACCATTCCACTGATCCTTCAAAATTTCCGCTGCAGCCTTTATGTATTTCGTCTTGTTGTTGTGAAATCCCACTACCCAAATTAACTCATTCAAGAGCTTCGGATCCACGGCCAAAATATTATCCAAAGTCAGCCCAATTGGTGCACCCTCCTTGTACGCAGGCAATTCTGTATAAAGTCGGTTCATAGCAACAGCATTCGTGGTATCCTTCGTCTGCGAAGACAACATCAAGGCAGTCAAGGTATGATATCTCTTCGTTTTCGGATCAACAGTATCTTGTCCCAATTTGTCACAACCCATTGTATCCACAGCTGCATTTTGCGCTACACCTAATTTGCGCATTTGCATCACTACATCGTAGACCTCTCTCCAGTCATTTGGAGGCTTAACTTCCATCTCTCCGGTATCTTCATTCTTTACTTTGCGCGCAGGTTTGCGCACTCGAGTTGGTTTTGAGGGCGCGGAGAATGTGACGGTATCTTCGATTTCAGTCTTTATAGTTGTTTCGTCAAGAGATTGTTTCTTTACCGAAGCTCTTGGTATTGAATTCCGCTTTCTTTTTAGAGTTGAAGTCGAAGGAACAACATCTTCAATATCTGGAGTTGGCGATTGATCTTCATCCTTGACCGAAGAGTTCAAAGCAAACCGAGACAAAGAGCGAGTGGAACGTCGTGGTGAAGTAGATGTCGCATTAATTATCTTTGCGGTTTCTTTCGATATCCTCGAGGTACGCATGATTGTGATTCGAAAATTGAAGACCAAGTTTTGGCTCCAATCTGGGGATGTGTTTTAGTGGTCATTTTGTTCTAGATTGTTGTCCTTGATCCCCAGTAAGCTAGCACGAGAATGATGCGTCGGCTCGTGCCCTGGCTCGGCGCGTTGCCATGGACCGTAGATTACATAATCATTCATATTGGTTTATCATCCCACCAATGAAATTTATCTCATGGAAATTCATGAGGAAGAATCACAAATTTGAACCTCAATAGCAGGAAGGATAGAATTGCATAGGACTTGGTTATGAAAGCGGAAAATATAGCTACTACAGGTATGATGCCCATTTCTGTTATGGCGCTCGTCGCTTCGTTCACAATACTGCAGGACCAGGGTAGACAATCCGGCAGCTATAGTTATATCAAATGGGAATGCCTTCCTACGGATCATTTCTTGTAACCCTACCCTTTTTAAGTCATTTCTCTTGAAAAAGTAAACCAGGAAGCGGTATTTGTCTCTGTTGTTCTGGCTGTCTGAGAGACGGGCGTGCTCTGCAGCAGTTACTGCTCATCATCCTCGCTCAGTACTAGGTTTGAAGTTGATTAAACCCTCAGAGCAAGTACTCATTTTCTCCTCTTGTTCTTGGGGAGTAAAAATGCTAGAGACCTATTTTGTATAAGTCCCAAACCAATCTTCTCTGGTCCACTGGGCGCTTGAGTTGCCTTCGTCCAGGCACTTGAAACCCAGAATTTTCCCGCAAGGCCCCTCGCTCTGAGCGCATTTTGGTTTTAACCAATATCGATTTGTGTACCATCTTCTGTTTCGTTGTCATGCGTATCTTCTCAATAGCTCACACTGTTTCTCAGACAGAAATTTGTCGAGAGTATATCGAGATTTGTATTCTTGTCAACATAGTCATACACCCAACTCCGATATCATGTCAATACCATCAAACCCCTCAACTAAGGTTAGTCCGAAGTCCAATGAAATCCAAATGTTTGATAAGTCGTAATCCTTGTGTCGTAAAGCATGAGCATGCAAGAGCAGAACGCCGATCCCCATACTAATGTTCTCCTTTCAAGCTACGCAAACAAAACCCTTCATTACCTCCGAGAATCTGTATAGTTGGTGCTGGACTTTCAGGACTCCGGTGCGCCGATATTTTACTCCAGCATGGTTTCGACGTCACAATATTGGAAGGCCGCGATCGAATAGGTGGAAGAGTTCACCAAATAAACCTACCATCAGGTCCCCTAGTCGATTTAGGGGCAAATTGGCTTCATGGTAGTGAGGATCAGCCTTTATTAGATATCGCCAAGAAGACAAACACAGAGGTGCATACCTGGGCTGAAAAGGGTATATGGTTCGGAGAAGATGAAAAGGCCGTTGACTGAGGGAGATGCAATGATGAATGAAGTGTGGGAGATAATTCATGGAGCTTTTAAGTATTCCGAGGAAAATTCGGAGACTATTGATCCAGATAAGAGTCTTTATGATTTTATAGAGGAAAAGCTTTTGGAAGTATACCCTGATGATGCTGAGAAGAGGAGAGTCTCGATCCAGTTTGCTGATATATGGGGAACTTTTGTTGGAACTTCAGTCAAAAAGCAAAGTTTGAAGTTCTTTTGGCTGGAGGAGTGCATTGATGGAGGTGAGTTCACTTTTCTCTATCTTCAGTTGCTAATTGGCATACTCAAATTGACAATGGCTTTGATGTTTGTCTATATTGTTTGAGTGGTAGATCAACATCTGCACATTCGAGGGTTAACAGATGTACCAGAAAATATCTTCGTGGCGGGAACATATAAAAATGTTCTCGCTCATGTAGCCAAACCAGCTCTGGAAAATGCAAAGATAGAATTCTCAACCAAAGTTACTCGGGTGGAAACAAATCCAAATAGCCTCGCTGTATTCATAGACGACGGTAAGAAGCTCGAGTTTGACGAGGTAGTAATGACAACACCCCTCGGCTGGTTGAAGAAAAACAAAGAAGCCTTCCAACCTGAACTCCCTTCACGATTTCTTTCCGCCATTGATTCCCTCGGTTTTGGCTGTCTCGAAAAGGTTTGTGCTCCATGTTCCCTCCCAAAATCCGTAGTCTAACAAGTTACAGATCTACATAACTTTCCCTCGCCCTTTCTGGGGCAACGCTGCCCTCTCCCTCTCCGCACAAACCTTCGACGGTTTCACCCAATGGCTCTCGCCCGTCTACACCCCCACCACAAACCCCGACAAATGGCATCAAGAAATCGTACCTTTATCATCCTTCACGCCAGAAAATGCACACCCTACACTCCTCCTCTACATCTACGGTGCACAATCCTTACATTTCGCCAAAACTCTTTCTACTTTGCAAACACAAATTGAAAAGGATGAATTTTTGATTACATTTTTTAAACCATACTATTCACTTCTTCCAAATTTTAAAGAGGAAGATGAGGGATGCAGACCGCTAAGTTGTGTGGCGACTACGTGGGGTAATGATGACTTGGCGGGAAATGGAAGTATACTAATTTCTAGGTGGGGTTGAGGGAAGGATGAGATGTGAAGGTTTGAGGGAGGTGTGCTCGGAAAGGGACTTTGGTTTGCAGGAGGAAACATACGGCGCCTTTTATTTGCATTGGAAACGACGACAGGAGCTTACTGGAGTGGAGAGGCTGTGAGGAAAGAGGATTGCTGATGCTTATAGGATGGGCGGGAAAGGGTGTGTGAAAGAGGGTTCTTTTTGGTTTTGGATGTATCATGGGAGTTTTTTACACTGTGGACAATGGTAGTAGATTTGATGTGTGTACATTTCACATGCATTTGCATGATATTTACATGAAAATAGTACTGGAGGTTGGATATACAGACTCTGATATTTTGTCCAATCTTAGTCATGCCGTTAACACCATCCAAAAATTATAACGTCACCATGTGAAGACTCTTTTCGGACTACTTTCTCCATTTAAACTACGGAGGGGTTGAAACCGTCACAAAACCAAATATCACTCTTGACAACATCATTGACATGCAGTCGAGCAAAAATAGAAAAAGCAGGATATGTTGCCATGGTATGCTCTGGAACTTCTTCCTCAGTGAAAAAGTTTTCAGTGAAAAGTTTATTTGCTGCATATTTTGATGTACTGCCAGCTATACCTGTCCCGCCAGTTCAGATATGGCTAATGCTGGGGGGCATTCGTGAACACCTGGGGTTATGATTCGAAACAGGTAAATGATACCCGCCTTTTCCATATGCTGCCGGGAGTATTCGTGGTTAGATCGCTGACTGCTCACATTATTGAATGATAGAATTGATCCCCCCACCCGGTCGTCCATACAAAAGGGGAGCAAGGCGATGTTTGGCTCCACAGTGAAATGATGAATTCGGATCGATTCAAGGTTTTCGAAATCTTGAAGATTCGGATGGCCAATAATAGGTTCACACGACAACGTGTAAAAAACGCGTCTTTGCTGATACAGGTTTCATTCACGTCTTCGTGTCTGTACGCATAACAACAAGTTGTACAATTCATGATTGATATTCCTCCTTCCCGTGCTTCCGCCCCTCACTTGAGACAATTTGTTCATATCGTAACTTTGTACTGTGTAATTGCCAATGGGTGATGATTATGTTTCTCCACTGTCGGAGAGCTCGGTTCAAGGGCTTAATAATTCGTGCCCATACTCCGTAAATACTTCGTACCAACATGTATGTGTGTGTGTGTGTACATGATATCTCGGTGCTTTCACCTCACTCGAGGCTCGATAATGTAGGTAGGTATTTACATATGACAAGATGTGCTACTGACACTTGATTGTGCACCCCAGTGGGCCTCAGTCGTAGCTGACTCGTGATATCCACGATTTCAATAATAAACCAATGTCTCGGGTTTGAAATACAATATTCACAGACACTAATAAAAAATTGATTGACCGACTTCTCGTCTCTTCTTCACAAGTGAATAATTTGGCGGTACAATTGAGTTTTCTTGGTTGTGTAGCTTGTGTTACCGAGTACATGCAATGCATTACAGGGATGATTAGGGCCTTCTAGTAGGGAATAGCTGTTTAATGATGGAACTTTTAGCTTCCATTTTCAGGCTTATTCAGGCATTAATCGACCAACTACTCCGTAAAGAATTACCCGGTGCCAATCATTGAGCGGGAGTACCTGATTAAATTATTCAATCATTTCGGCTGCAATTTGTTGTGTTCCGTCGAGACCGCGGCCGGAGTGATGGTGAGTGCGAGTGTGAGTGATTATGGTTATGATTATGATTATGATTATGATTATGATTATGATTATGATTATGATTATCTGATTATATGATATTATAATCTTTAAAGGTGTGTGTGTGTGTATGTGTGTGCGTGTGAATAATTTATTCACATCCCTAGCTACCTATGCTATGAAGACGATGGAATCCACGCACAAGTTTATCCCCATTCATATCCCCATCCACATCCACATCCATCCTTATGGCATATACCCATCCATACCCATATCTTTTCAAAGTATGGAAAATTACCCAACCTCTCCTTACCATCACAAATTCTTTCTCTACACCGTATCGTATCCTTTTCTCTTCCCGCAAAACCATCTCCCAGTACAATCACCGAGCCGTCATAGAAAATCATGCGTACAATGGATTAAGAGATCGCGCTGATGTGACCAGGAGTACGACGCTCCACCAAGAACTCAGCACTCAGCACTACTCAGCACTCAAAGGTTCAACAACAACAACCCACAACCCTGAACACCCAAGAATCCCCTACCCAAAGAGAGACAACGCAGTCACTTTATCTAGCTTCATCCCCAGGCTGCACGAAGAAAACGCCTCAACGCCGCCAATAATGGCTGATTTATCAGATCTCATAGGCCACATTCCAGTCACTGAAGAACAACGTAGTACACTCAAATGTTGTTGCGGACGGAAAGATTGCGCATTTCTCGTTCACAATGGGGAGGTTTTGAATAAACTTGAGGGGGATGTGACGTTAGCAGCTCAGATGGGTCAGGTACGGTCTCTCTCACGTCTCCCATGTCTCTCATATTTTGTGTTTATGTTACCATCGATCTTCTACATTCCTCCATACCCTCGACTTTTCCTCTCCTTCTCTCTACATCGTCAAACCTCAGGGGAAATTAAGGTAGCAGAATTTTTACTTGGGGGAAGTGGATACTGTGATCTGGTTCTTGGGTTATTTACTTTTTACATCGATTTAAATTAAATCTAATCTTCTTTTGTTTACAACCCCGCGTTATCCCACGCGCCTATATAATTAGATGCATGTGAAGGATTTGGGGACATAAACATTACCAAGATGGCTCAATCATTGACTTTTGCTTTGCAGGCTTTATTAGAAAGGCACGAACATTATATGATCGATGCGGAACGAGAGCGGGCAAAGATGTCGGCGAAGATCGAGCAGTTGGAGGTGGATAAGAGGGAGTTGGAGGTCAGAAATGAAAAGGTAATTGCGGAGAATAAGGGTCTGCTAGATCAATTGGAAGGACTTAATGGTAGCTATGAGGAATCGGAACTACAAATCAAATTACTCGAGACGACTTTAAAGAGCACGCATGCCGAAATGAAACGTCTAGAGACTTTAGCATCGAGAACACATCAACTAGAGAAAGATTTGGCGATCTTAGAGGAGGAACAAGAAACTTTACGAAAGACAATTACACGTACGGCAGCAGAAGAGCGCGCTGCGTTACTGAGGTGGAAGAAAGCGGAGCGAGGACTTCGTGATTTACAGGATCAATTGGAGAGAGTTGAGCGAGAGGCACGAGAAGAAAAGGAACGACATGTGGAAATTTTGGGTCGCATGGAGAGACAACGAACAGTCGAAAGAGAATTAGATACGGCCGCTAGTCGTTTGAAGGGAGCCGCTGCCATCACAACCGGGAAAGGCAAGCATGGTACCAATGTTGTATCACATTTTGTTAAGGATATCTTACAAGATAATGCGAACTTGCAACTTGGAATTGTGGAGTTAAGACAGATGTTGATGAGTTCAAATGATGAGGTGCAATTATTGCGGGAGCAATTATCAATGCATCAGCCAATATATGCAGGTGATGTCGTCGACAACGTACCTCAGCAGCGGACATTAGGGGCAGAACTTGAGCCAAGCGAACAAGAATCAGAATCAAGACCACAAGAATCGCAGGTTGTTTCCCAAACACTTCATATACATCATCATTACCATACACCAAAGAGAGAGGAGGTACGGAAGCCGAAAAAGAAACGAACCTCTTTGACTTCCAGTATATTCTCTCCACTCATCCGAAGTCCACAATCACCGCGCACCTCTAGAGGGGCAGAGAATGCTATCTTATCCCAAACAGCGGTCACAGTTCCAAGTCCTATCAATACGAACAATCGATGGTCTGTTCAATCAAGCCAGTTGTCGGAATTTGCTCCTTCATCAGTACCATCATCTCCACAATCCATGTATCGAAACAGTACTTTATTTGATCGGAGTTTTGATGTTGATTCATCACGTCCGACATCACCTACTTCGAGTATTGATCCATTATCACCTCGAATTCATCCTTCATATCACAGAAAACGACCATCGGAAGTCTCGACTCGAAGCTTTGCTGCTATTGCTAATTTTCAACCACATAGTATAATACATGAAGAGGAGGATGATGATATTCATGATGTGTCAGACTTACAGATTACCGATGTTCCTTCTCTCACCGATGATTCTACGAACCCTACCACTTCTGATCTTTCTGACAACACCGTCGAGGAATGGATGCCTTCTCAATTCGGTCCTAGGTTACACCGTTCTTCATCCCGTGAATCTATCATATCAATTTCAGGAATTGATATTCATACATTGAGAGCACGACCTTCACAATTAAATATGTCCTTGGCAGGAACAGTAATGATACCACGATCAAGACTTTCGACTCCAACAACAACTTATTCCACGGAAACTATTACTAGTGCTTCTATTATCACGGCTCAACCTACTTTATCTCGAATGGGTCATAGTAGTACAAGCTACCTTCGCTCAAACATCGGATACACAAATTCATCTAAATCAACAAGTAATGATAGAAGTTCCATTAGATCCAGCTCATCTAATGAAGGGAATAGCAATGAGAGTGGCCTAGGAAAGAAAGTTGGCGGTTGGGTTTTTGGTCGATGGGGAATGTCTCCTGCGAAGTCAACCAGTGATCTTCGAAGTACTCAAGAAGCTCAAATTCCAGTACCTCCACCAACCGTTCGAGCTGTTAGTACACCATCTGTCTCAGTAGCCCCAGAACCAATAAGGGCTATTTTGAGAAGGGCGGCGGGGATCAATCAGAAAGGTCCCATTCCAGGATTTAGACAAACGGAAAAGGCACCTAGTAAAGTCATACCGGATTTGGTTGATCATGATGCATTGGCAGAGGTACTTGAGGAATGATTGTCTTGCCTCTGGGAGATATGGGCATCAAATTTTAACATAATAATACGATATCAAACTGCGGATATCGAGAACTTTACAACACGACACAACACGATTTTAGATATCATTAATTCGATCTTTTCACTATAGTCTGAAAATCTTTTATAGGTGGATATTACAGATTTAAAATAGAGGAGTCATATATTTTTACATAATTTGCAGGGAGTTTGTGGATTGAATGGTTTGGGATATGCTGGGCTGGCGTGGGATAGCGAGTGTTAGATATATGGTTTTGGATTCGGATACCCAAATTTGTACTTTGTACTTTGTGTATATATATATATATATTTTTTTTTTTGTATGTATACATTATATCTATTTATACTTTTTATACTATTTATTATTAAATAAACAAGCTTTTTATTATTAATTCTTTTCATTTATTCACTTGTCTTGTTTGGTTGGTAATGAGAAGAAAGTATTATAATCTTATGTTACGTCGGACTCCACAAGCCCATTACCACGTGATTCAATCATGTGATGGACCCTACATAATATGCACGAAAAATAAAGGTCCAACATATTCTTAGGTCCAGGACCTTTCAGGGTCCTGAAGGTCTATAGCATGAAGGTCCATATAGTCAGGACGGATTTCCTTTGTATAGAGCTTCGTACTCAAGATCAATCATTTAGTATACTCTACTATTAGTTACGAATTGCATTATTGTCATTACTTTAAGTCCCTGCTTGACGCCTAGTTATAAACCACCTCGAGAGCCTAGAGCACTTCCACGTGATCTAGACGGTAACCCTCGTAACATAGTGGTGATGGGATGGGAAGGAGTAAGTAAACTAAAATATTCCTGATGGTAATTAATTAATCTTATGATTAGATTGTAGGATTTTCATAAATCGTCATCGTCATGACCATGATCATCGATCAAGATCAAGATCAAAAACCGAAAGAAATCATACCCATCTAGATAAAAGGTATCCCTAATTATCTATTACATACGTATGTATACCTACCTGCATATCATACGGGTATACAATCAAATCAAAACACATGCAACAGATAAGATATGATGCAGAGCCTAAAGGGGTATTCAATTCAATTCATTCATCACCAAGACGTACAAAATACACCAGGCTCGCTCAAGTGTAAATTTAAAGAGCAATGCAAAAAGTTATCCACGTCCTCATCTACCTACATCTACGCAATCCAGAACCAAATTCTCTCCCAAATATTTCTCGGGGTTAAATCGGGCCATTGTCCATCTTCGGCATCCAGGGCGGCTTTTCCAGTATAGATGTCTGCGTCGGCGGGTGAGATCCATTTTGTGCGTTTGACGAGTTTCCAGAAGCTGTAGAGGAGGAAGAAGATGGGGATTCCGATGTAGGCGGTTAGGAAATCTGTTGGGGTGGGTAAGTTAGGTTTATTTATTATTTGCAAGGCGGAAGATTTGGAATTTGTAGGTAGGTAGGTACTTACTGGTAATATTCCAGTGAGAGTGGTTTTCACCAACGAAGACGTCAAATCCATTGAAGAGAATGATGACGATGAAGAATCCTAATGAGATGTATGCGGTGTATGGTTGGAATTTACTCTTGAAGACGAGGGTATTTCTATCGACGCCTTGAGCTTCCAATGCTTTGTAGAATTGAATATAGGCCACGCAAATGGAGCACCATGTGAAAAGAGATGCGATGGTGGTTAGATTTTGGAACCATGCGAATGCGGCTGATGCTCCACCTGAACCAACGGATAAATAGGTGATGAGGGATATCGATGCTGTGCAAAGGACAGCCCAGTATGGAACACCGGCTTTACTGCATCGGAGAAGAAACTTGGGAGCTTGTTTGTTTTGAGCCAGAGCGAATAAGTAACGAGATCCGGTATACAAGAAGGCATTAGCGGAGGAAGTTGCGGAAGTTAAAATGACTGCGTTGATGATGGATGGCAAAACTGGAATACCGGCATTTTGAATACCAATAACCCATGGAGATCGAGCAGCACCAGCAGCACCTTCTTCTTGAGCCTTGAGCAAATGTTTATCGCTGGAGGAAACAAGGACTCCAATTGCCAATGAACCAAGAACATAGAAGAACAAGATACGCCAGAAAACTCTGCGCACTGCCTTGGGGATGTTTTTGCGTGGATTCTCGGCTTCACCGGCCGCTACAGCAACCAATTCAACACCACCATACGAAAAGGCAGCATTGACCAGAGTTGAGAAGAGACCCAGGAATCGACCTGTGTTTCCCGTAGAGTCATATTCCTTCATTGCTTGACCATGCTTCCAGTAACGAAATCCCAAACGATCATGCTTGGGATTTCCTCCGAGATCTACAATGAAGGCCATGATCAACAGTCCCACGATTGTAATGATTTTGATACTGGCGAATAAGAATTCGGCTTCCCCGTAGATGGAAACGGCGAAGATGTTGAGACAGATGACGAGAACGATTATTATACTGATCCAGGCGGCGACATTGATATGCACTGCTCCGGGCCAGTATTGGATAACGACCGAAGCGGCTGAGATTTCGGCACAGAGGGTAATTGCAGCGGAATACCAGTTCTATTCGACCATCATAATCAGTATGAGCTCATGATATCCGATCTCGGGTAAATGATAGTACTGTATTATTCTCAAGAGCCTGTTGCGGGTTTCTACGACAAAATGAAAAGAGTGACACAACTTACATTCCATCCGACCGCAAATCCAAGCGCATCATCAGCATACCGAGCACAAAATTGTGGAATAGCTCCAGGCAAAGGTAACCACGTAGCCATCTCACCCAAACACTGCATCATAGCAAAGATAGCAATACCAGTAAAACTGTAACCCAAGAGAATAGACAGAGGACCAGCTTGCGTGAGAGCACTTCCAATACCCAAGAAGAGGCCCGTACCAATGGTACCACCGAGGGCAATAAATTGAATATGTCTCGATTTCAATCTACGGGCTCAAGGTTAGCGATAACTTTCGTTGGCGATGAGTTATGTGAGATGATTCGAAATCTTACCCTCGAGAAACATAACCATATTCCTCAGCCGTTTCGATATTTCCATAAATCTCACCGGCTTCTTGCAAACCTGCTGTTTTAGTTGCATGACCGGTAGCAGGATCGACATATTGCGCGCGCGCATTGTTACCATTATAGTCAGGCGACTCGTCGACATTATAGTGTTCCTTCTCCATTTTTGCAGATGAGAGAGAAATGGAGGATCGATATTGACAGAGAGGAGATAGGAAAGGAAAAGAAGAAGAAGAAGAAGAGAAAAATCGATACAAGAGGGGAAGATCAAGCGACTTTATACAAACACTACAAACACGAGCTATTGAAGATGAATATGAATGTGAATGCGAATGATATCCTCCGAAGCGCGACTAGTGAATATTAAAATATTTGGCCGCTGCAAAAAAGAAACTCCCCTGCTGCACAAAAACGCCATTTTACAAGCCTCGCTGCAGCTGGCTGTAAGTTGGGTTTTCCCATTTTCCAGCTCGTCGGCCCCTTAACCTTGGATGATTTGGATGGACGGATAGATGGCTTTGCTTCACTCAACATGCACATACATACATACATGCACATGGCCAGGATCGAAAAATCAATTACCAGGATTTGGAAACGGGGGTGCCGTATACATAGCATACCTAGTTCGATGAATCCCATTACGAATTAGTCGTTATACGTACGCATTTCACAATGGGAGTGAATTTTCGATTCGTTATCAGGAAATGGATTCGAGGGGTTCTTGTTCTGGTTCTGGTGGAAAAGCCACAAAGCACCAGGGGATTACAGAGACGAAAGCTCATTCGTGCGTTGTCACCAGGGTTGCTTCGCCATGTATTCTGTAAGAGCAGTAGGCCTGGTAGGGCAGGTCGCACAAGCTGTATTGGATGGTTACAGTACATTGCTGATGCCTTGTGTGCCACCTGTAATCTGGGTTTTAGCATAGATATGATACGGGACTATTTAGGCATCCGTTGCGCTCGAGTTTGACAGTTGTGAGAGGGAGGAGAAGGGTGAGGTATTTGGGAATAAATAAATTATCTAGTAATAGTACTGTGTACATGGAATGGCGTGAAATGGAGTGAAATGGAAGGAAGAGATGATAACTACCTACATACCACATATTTTCTTTTCTCCCACTTCCAATGAATATCGAATTTCCATCATCCTCTAGATCTAGATCAAAGTCTACCTCTAGCTCTAGTCCTAGTCCAAGATATTTATTTTCGGCGAGTCCGCCGACAAGACCTGCCGTTTCTGAGATGCACCCGAGATAATAAATGTCCCTTTTTTTCATTCTCGATATTACAACCTTTCATACATACCTAGAATAAGAACAAGAAGAAGCTTCGATTCAGATTCGAATTTAGCCTTTAACCTAGATAAAGCATAGACATTTCCATCTGTCCAATTATATTTTAGATACATGTTCACTCGCGTGGAATGTTGCATGGGATGGGGTATGATAAGCTGGACTGGGGAAGGGGGGCGGGAAAAGGTAAGTCAAAGATGGAATGGTGGAGTGATGAGAGATGAGAGATGAGAGATGAAAGATAACGAATCAGAATGATTCGGGTGCAGATACTAGGTAGGTGGGTTAACTATTTCGTTTCTAGCGTGCTTGCTTTTGTTGGTTGGTTCGGGGGTCTATATGATCCGATTTTGATTTCGATTGAATTACTGGTGAATGGTTGAATGGTCGGGTGCTTGCGGCCCAGGTTTATTGTGCGGTAGGTGTTGTTCGATTTGATTTGATTTGTTGATGTTTCTACTCGCTCGAGGATAATCTTTATTATAAGATGTTCTAGGTCTTCTGAGTGGGGAGTAAGAGTTGAGAGTTGTGAGGCGAGAGATGATATATATCTACCTAGGTAGAATCCTTCAGATTATTAATCTCAAATATTGATATGATATGATGGATAGCGATACTCTATCCTCTGTACTGATAGACTTCTCTCATTCTTATCGTTCAATTATATATTTTAAATGGTTATATAGTTTTCTCTTTAGAAGGTAGGATGTATAAGGGTGATGGTCCGAGTTCATATATTCAACATAAGATAATAAACACCATCACTCACTCACATTACAGATTCCAGACCATAGATGAGATTACTAATATCTTCCCTGATCTACTCACAGTTACACTCAATAAAGTAATCTTCTAGAAGTCATCTTATACATCGAAGATTATTATTTTTATTACTGTTTTGTTATTTATTAGTTTCATAACAATACCGTCTGAATATAAGATTCTATTCGAGCACTAACAAATGATAAAGATCGATAGGATCTAATTATTGATAGATTACTCGGACCAGGGAATCTCTCGCGAAAAGCTTTATACCTCAACCACGCCAAGAGATAGATGATAAGGATGAAGTAGCGAATGATAAGAAGGATAGATATAAATGATATAACTATATTATTCCTTTATTTTTTATATAATAGAGATATTAAAAGATTGGGTGGAAGAGGCCTCTATATTGACTATATTACTACGTCTGTAGGCATATTAATCTCCTCTTGGTATCCTCGGAGGGGACCAATATGCCTGCTTATGGTTCGTCTAATCTAGCCTGTTTAGGTAACCGTATTACTAATCACGACACGTGATTAGTACCGGTAACTTCTATTCCTTTTAACAAGAGAGATATATATATACTAGATGGTATACAAGTAAATTATATAACAGAATATAAATATCAGTAAGTATATATATTCACTACGATATTTAATACTGAATTAATATATTAAAGTTAAAGATAGATTTCTTAATATTCAACATTAGAGTTTAGAGTTTCTGGGGACGCACGTGTCATGTCGAGATAGACCCGGAAAACAATCGCCTGATTAACGTGCTAGGTACAGTACCTAGTTAGCTTTAGACTCTAGAAGGCTAGAAGACGAGAAGGTAACCGGGCTCACTATTCGTTTCCCGCGTGGAAACATTCATTTTCCTTATCTTTGGAGATCGGAGCCCTGGTCTTTTGGGGACATGGATGCTTACTACCTACCTATGCTTATTGTCCCGTACCGCGTTTTGGATGTTTGTGAGGTGAGTAGATGGGATGGGATGGGATGGGATGATTGTTGCTTACAGTCTTGATTTGCTCTGATTTGTTCTGGTCTCGTCTGGTCTGATCAGATCAGATCAGGTCAGGATATCAATCTTAATAGGTACTTTAAGCCTTAAGCCTTAAGAAGTTAACCTTAAGGATGATGAGTGTGGGTCCGATAAGGAAGGTCCTTATTGTTTGTAGCGAAGTGTAGCGTGTGTTAGTTTGTAGTTTGTATTAACTACATGTAGATCAGTCAAGTACTCTAGACCTAGACTCAAGCTATATTTTTATCTTCAGAACCTTTATTTGAGATATTCATCCTTTCTTCTTAATCAACAGTAACAACTGTAGATTTACTAGAGAACAAAAATATTGTACGAACTTATAGTCGTCTACTAGAAGATGGAGAACCCAGGTAAGGCTTATCTACAGAGTATATGTCTCATCTGGTTAGTTGTACTGTAATCATTATCCATCTTCTATATATAATCTTAGCAGGTACTACTTCTATCTACAACGTACACTTTCCTTTCTGTATATTTATTTTTACCTTTGGAAACAGGTATTTAATCAATACCAACATTATCAATTATATATACAAATCAAATCAAATCAAACCACGAAACAAGAAAGATATAGCCTATAAGGTTAACCCTTAACTTGCCCCCTTCTCAAAAGAGAGCCTTGGCCGATGTAGAAACAAACAAGCCTTACACAAGCTTACGCCGAGTTTATCCGGTCTTTTCCTCTTTTCTACCTAGTAATTCTGAAGGCTTGTTAAAACTCCAAGATTTGTTATCACTTTATTAGATATTGGGGCGGGAAATGAATATGATGGTAGGTAGGTAGGTAGGTAGGTAGGTAGGTAGGTAGGTAGGTAACTTTATTTCATGAATCTTATATTTACCCTCTACTCTGTGCTTTGTACTCTGTCCTAGGTATGTTTTCAATCAGGATGTATATCGGGGATATTGTTATAGTATTATATTATTCATGTTATCTATCATACTACCATACTAATACATATGAGCATGAGCCACTACCAGCCGCGGTACAAAGTACGTACTTGTATACTTAGTCTTGTCTTAGATTAGGCGTTCTCATTGATAGTGGGTACATATTCATTGCTTATATTATGGAGTGAGGAGCTAGGATAATGATAACAAGGACTTGAGATTTTAGAAGATAGAGTTAACGAAATATATTCTCATTTTATCCAGTAGGTAGGTAGGTAGGTATTAAAGCTTATTACACTCCCTTTGCGCAGAGGATTATTAGATCAACTAAGATGACCGAAAGAGAGAGAGATTAGTTTATCCGATCAAATCATTCTGAATAAACTATTCAAAATATCAACCAATCTCCTCCAGTTCCTTTCTCACGGTGTCGCATACAGACCTAGCCTTCCTAATCCATCCATCTCATCGATTGATGCGCGTTACCTTCGCATGTCTACTAGCTAGTTAGTAAGACTCTTTTTTACCTCCAACCTAGAACTATGCGAGTAATAGTATGTAGTATGTACAGAATACTGTAGGTAGGTACCTAGGTATCCATAATTATATAAAATAAATAGATTCCTCCCTTATTAATAACTTGGGCATTCCCCTTTCCGGATTTACTATTTCCACCTCCACTCGCAGTATTTCCACTTGAAATCTTCACATCTTCTCAAGATAGATTCTCCCGGGAAATTAGATCTAATTACTGAATAATATAGTATTATCATGATCAATCGTGAATCTATCGAATCCGGCGAACCTGAACCTCTACCTCTACCTCTACATTCACTGGGTTTATATCATAATCACTAATCGTACAGGCTCATCACTTTAACTACGAGACTCTTATAGCTTTGTAAGTTCGGATAGCAATTTATAGAAGATATCGTTCGAATACAACAAATCCCCTCATTATCATATTGCTAGGACTTTTATACACTCGTTGTTTGTATGTGATGCTGGTGTATGTATACCGATATTCTATATCACTAATCTTGATCGTCTTTACCATTCATCAAAGGGATATACATACATACATATCATATCATATGAATTAAAATTTTGTTTCATGCAATGTTATTGATATTAGAGAAGAATTTTGGACCAGCCAATACATAAATTCCTAAAAATCTAGACCTGTCATGAATCGAGATGTCCAAATAAACGCACCATTTAAAAAAAAAGAAAGGGCGGAATCTTAAAGCAAATCGACACCAATTCTATGCACCGAACCCAGTGGTTAAGCACGCCCAAAAATCACAACCATTCTCATCTCAAATGTCCATGCCCATGCCCATGCCTATCCCAATCCCAATCCACCCAAATACCAACAAAAGCTACCATGAAATCTAAACAACGACAACCGAAGAACTCTCACTATCCCTGTCCTTCCCATCACCATCCTCTCCAATCGAGACCATCCTCTCCTCAATCGGAGTATCCACCACAATTTCCACCGCCTTATCCGCCGCATCTGCGGCCGAATCATCCACATCTAATTTTTTCTCCCCAACCTCCATGGGATCCTCATCTTCATCTTCATCCTCATCACTACTAATCTCCTCACCCATAATATCTCTCTTCTTCTTTTTCTTCAGCGGTTCCTCCCACTTTCTCTCTCTCTTGACCCTAACCGTCACTGTGCTTTCTTTACTATAGACCCTAAGCCCGACAACCAAAACTGCATTCCATGGATCTTTCTCAAATTCATCTTCTTCTTCGGGAGTAGTGGTTGGTACAGGTAGAATTACTTTGTTTTCGGCTTCGATTGTATCGTCGAGTACTCCGACGCTGATGTCTGATATGTCAGAACATATGGATTCGAGATCAGAGTCATCTGAGTCATCTGAGTCGTCTGATTCGTCTGATTCGTCGATAGGAGCTTTAGGCGGATCTGTGACTGTTGATGTGGAGGTGGATGTAGACGGATTTGTGACTGTAACTGATTTGACATCGACATTTATGGCCTTGAGTTGAATGACTTTGTCTTCTTTTGATTTGCTCCCAGTTTCTGTGTCGACCGGTCCACCGATAGTCGTCGTGTTTCTGGACCTTTCCGATGTGGCCACAGAGATTATCGCTGGTTTCCCAGTGTCTGATTCTTTATCAGATGGTGCGGCATCGGAATTTGTCTTTCCATCATCTTTGGCTTCAATTCCAATGAATTTAACTTCCACAACCTTTACTTTAGCCTCCGGGTCTTCATCACCAGCTTCTTTCGCAGTTTGTTCTGAAACCACCTCAGCAACATCTTCAGCTGTCTTTTTCGCCTCTTTTTCAGCTGCTTTCTGAGCTGCCTTCTTGGCCTTCTTAGCTTTGGCCTTAACCATACGTTTGATTTTCTTCGCTTGAACTTTGCGTTTCTTCTTGTTATCATTATGAACTCTCTTCTTCTTTTCCTTCATCAATCTCTCCTTAACTTCTTTTCTCGCCTTATTCTTTCTCTTCTCCTCAGCCTCTTTTCTAGCCTTCTTCTCTTCAGGGGTCTCTTTGACAATTCCCTTAGCATGAGCCAAATCATAAGAAAGACCGATACGGGAAAGCTTATCACGACGTTTTTTGGCGTTATTACGAACAACATCTTCTACTGGTAAGGAGCTGCCGTCTTTGAAAGCTTTAACTTTCATCAAGACATCGTATTCACCCGCTGGGAGTTCAAGTTCAGCAGTAACAGAGCGACGCATCCAATAATTACCATGACTTCGAACAATGTAATCTTCTTCACCAGCCTGGTGTATACGGAAAGACAACTCAAAACGATATTGCCCTTCGAGTCCACAGAAGTAACGGCTGTCGAGTTGAGAGAGAACGATCATAACAGGAGCTGCATGGTCGAGAGTGAAAGAAAATTTGGTGTCATGGTAATTGACAGTCCATGGAACTTCCATAGAAGCCCATGATTGCGTAACCTTCCATTCTTCAGTGAAAAGTCTTGTGCGATCGAAAGTTTGAAATTTTTTGAGAAGATCGCCATAGGACATCCAGAATGAACCATCATCTCCGAAGCGATGCTCAAGTTTCTTCATCCATTCTGGTGTCCACTCTTTGCTTCCATCACCTACCACGCGTTAGAACTATAGATACGTATGAGTGAGAAGTGTGACTTACTCCATGCTCCTTTCCATTCGCCCTCACCCCACGGATTCCTCAGTAAGACAAGTCGTTGTCCATCCATCTCCACAGCTCGTAGAACTGAATATGCATGACCCTCATAAATACCTTTTCTATAACCACGACCGCAGAAAATACCGGCAGCACAACCGAATAGAAAATCTTTATTGACCTTCAATAATTCTTCTTTCCAGAAGTATTCCTTATCGAGAATATCGGTGCTGAAGATTTCGGTTGTCACACCACCAGTAAGATCCTCAAGCCCTTCACCCGTAAAACCTCCTTCAATCGCGGCATAATCCTGTGGTTCGTTAGTGAATAACTTTCCCTAATTCGTGTCGGTGGACTTACTCCATGAGCTTTTGCATATGCCTTTTCTAGCAACGGCAACCAAGTCTCATTTGGATCTTCGCACTGCGCAAAGTACAAAGCACCAGAATTACTCTGATAAATCTTGCGGTAATCTTCTTCGGAATTAATACGCTGGCGATCTTCGATTAGATTACGTTCAATCCAACTCTCATCGTAGTCAGGCTTCGTCAAATAAAGCTTATCATCAATGATTTCAGATCTCCACTCTCCATCCCGATGGAATACGAATCCATAAACACCAATCTTCTCATCTCTGGCAACACAAACCTTTTCAATCAAGCCAGGCTTATTTCCCAATGTGCAAAGAGCTGCCATGAACCAACAATCACCATCACGTCCTTGTCTAATATCATTTGCGGTCGCTCCGCTGACATAAAATTGAGGATTGTCGAATATATCACCGACTCTTTTGACAGACCCAGGACTGAATGTTGGAGTTAATTTCTCGCTTGTATTCTCGAGCATTTGTAGACAATCTCCTTTTCCCCACTTCAAATCGAACTCAATATCGAAGTGCGGATCGCGATATTTTTGGTTTACTCGACGACATTCTTTGACGATTTTGGCAACTTTTGCTTTGCATAGTGCTGCCGCTTCTTCATATGATGCAACGGCATTCTTGCCTCTTGTGACAGGCTTGGATGCCTTCTGACCAGCTTTTGTTGTGTATAAGTTCTTGGGTAGGACAGTGGAAGCTAGATTTCAGGCATAAATCAGTATTTTTTTGTTATAGTTCATAAGTACATTGTTCATAACATACCTTTTCCTGGTGTCTTGCTATTGAATTTGACCCAAAATTCATCTATCGCATCTTGAGGAGAGATGTGCTTGGACTTCTTAACATCCGCTGCTGGAACAATCATAATATTTCCTCCAGGTCCTTGCCTCTTAACCCATTGAGGCTCCTCGTCAGAGGAATCGTCGCTGCTAGAGTCGTAGCAAGGAGGAGAAGGAGGGGTAGCCACTTTGTTGAACCTCTTGCTGAACTTGCCGAGGCCTGGAGATGGTGGTACAGCCATATTTAACTTCCCAATACCAGGTACTTATCAAATGCACGTTCTATGTAATCAATGGGCTCGTTCAATGTTTCAATCGCTCATTCCATGAAATGTATTGTAAATTGTCAAACAGGAACGAGTTACAAATAACAGCTGCTGAGACAGAAATGAATATAAATAAGAAATCAAACTGCATGAAGGAAGAACTTCTTTATATCATATTGTACAACTTCAGCATCCCACCTAGCGTTGAACAGCTGGTTGGCGCTTACCCTCCATGGTCAGCGGCTGAGGATTCATATGGTCTCGCCGCGCGACAACGACTAATCGAGCATACGCCTAGACCAGTAATACCAATCATCTCTGCATACATACACATGATTCACCCATCGACAGTACAATAATTCTGATATGATAACAAATCTGCGTACGGTGGCTGTATCGCCCCTCGTCTGAAGTTGACCAGAAGGTCAGGATTTCTTAGGTGCATGACTAATCGCTGTAAGCTCAAAGCCTCATTGCCTCACCGAGTATACGGTGACCCAAAAAATCTCGGATCTGTGGAGAAATAGAGGTTGCGGCCTAGAAACTGCCACAATGGATGACTCTTATGGCCAAAATACAATAGCAGGATATACTTTTTTATATCAGGTGAACAAGACGACGATAAGATAAAACCCGGTGGTTAAATGGTGGGGTTCGAGGTGGGGTCGCATGGACTTCCTGGATCTAGACTAACCCCGACGTTGCTCAAGTATCAAGAAATCATGATTCTCCCAAGATTAGCTCATGGCTCCTAACATATGTGTATAAATGGCCATAACCTATATAGGTAGAAATACTCAAGATAAAGGTGTCTCATTAATCTCAAGTGAAAGTTAAGTTGTCGCAATGGTTCACTCCATCATCCCATTTTTGACATTTCTACCCCCTGTAATCGCCGCAATTGCTCCTTCAGGGCCGTACCAGCGACCATTGAAGCATCCCAAGAACCAACATGAAAATTTTATTGCCTCTTCTATTTTTGGCCCTTACCAACATGAAGTACTCGGATTTGAGGAACCCGTTGCACTGAAGCCTTCGTTTGAATGGCGAACCTTCGCGGAAGACCTGGATGATGTGATATCCAACGCAGGTGGGACCTTTGCCCATCTACCTGCTGCTGACTGTTTCGATTCCGAGAGTGATGGAACATTCGATGTGGCAATTGTAGGCCACCCATTTGACCTTGGGGTTACATATCGGCCTGGGGCAAGATTTGGTCCCAATGCAGCACGACAAGGGGCCAGAAGGATGTCGCCGAATTTCGGGTGGAGGCAAGTTTGGTCTCTTGCATAGGCTATCAGGACTCAAATTCTGACTATCAATAGTATTGATAATGGCGTGAATCCTTTCCGTAGCTGGGCTACTGTCGTTGATTGTGGGGATATTGTGAATACGCCGTTTGATAAGCACCTTGCGCTGAAACAACTCGAGAATGGCATGAGTTCTATCAATTCGCGCCGTCCGAAAAATGACACGGAAGGAAAAGCTATTCGGGCCATCAGTATAGGTGGTGATCATACCATTAGTAAGTCTATCTCATTGTTCTTGCCTTGAAAGTCCTTGAATAATGATTTGTTCTCAGCATTGCCTATCCTCCGAGCCCTTCACTCGACATGGGGACGTGTTGCTGTTTTACATTTTGACTCCCACCTTGATACATGGGATCCAGCGAAACTTGGGGGAGGGTTATCAAAGTACACTGATGTTAACCATGGAACTATGCTACACATCGCACACGAAGAAGGACTTTTGTCCAATCATAGCAATATGCATTTAGGAACGCGATGTCCGCTCATGGATCAACATTTTGACCTAGACAACGATCTCAGATGCGGCTTCAAATATATTCGAGCAAAAGAGCTTGATAAACTTGGTATCGAAGAGGTGGTTCGAAGGATTGTTGATACCGTTGGCGATGAGTATGTTTACTTGAGTGTGGACATTGATGTATTAGATCCAGCCTATGCACCTGCGACTGGAACGATCGAACCTGGTGGATGGACAACAAGAGAAGTAATTTTTCAGTCCTCACAGTTACCTCACCTCACAATGACTAATGTTGCATCCCAGCTGTTACAAATCATAGGTGGACTGTCAAAAGCAGGTTTGAAGATCGTAGGGTCAGATATCGTGGAATTTACTCCAGTGTATGATAATTCGGCTGAAACTACTGGTATTGTGGCTGGAGAGATCATTTATGAGATTCTTCAATGGATGGTGCATGTCCCAGTCACACCTAGGAAGTGATAATAATCAAGAGCTTACGAGCTTGGCGGCAGTTGAACATTTAGCAGGAGATGAGAATTTAAAAAACATAAAGCTTAAACTATGATATGCATCATGAATTGGCAGAATTTGAAGTACTAGGTAGATCTTGAGTTTCTGTACGATCCCCTCTAAACGATCAAATAGATCGAAAACAGGTTGTGAGATGAGTGAGAATTAATAAAGCTTAAATTGCGCTAGCTTTTTTTGAGCTTAGCAACCTTGACAGCTCCACCAATAAAACGGCACGTTCCGTAGCTTTCCCACTGAATCAGTGACGACATTACTGGTAAAGAGCTCAAGGTTCTCTTTGGTCCAATAATATGCTCTCAATTACCATGCCGCGTACTCGAGTAGGTACTTCTCAACTCAATCGGTAATCCAACCCCTCATCATACCACATTTCCCCGCCGTGTTCACCTGCAACACAAATTGATACTTCATATCCTTCACTGCCCCCTTCTTTTGTACTTTCTCACCAAGCGCATTTGAATCCTTTTCTTCTCCTTTCATGTACTCTCTCAAATCCGCCGTCCCAAGAACCCTGAGACATCTTACAAGTAAACGACAAGCTTCGGTTCCCCGCATTCTCAACTTTACAAAGCATTTTGCAACTGCAAAAATCACAATGGAACATCAATATAAACTCAAGGATCTCAATACCTTGGATTTGAAGCCAGGGGAGAAGAAAGAAGTCGAAGTTGAGGGTATTGAAGGAGGAAAGGTCTTATTGTGTAATGTCGGTGGAAAAGTTACAGCTTTAGGTCATAAATGTACACATTATGGCGCCCCACTGGTAAAGGGTGTTTTGACTGGAGATGGACGTTTAACTTGTCCATGGCACGGAGGTATGCAATTCCATCATATGAGATACAAAGAAGATATGCTAACATTTTGTTGGCAGCTTGCTTTAATGCCACCAGTGGAGATATCGAAAATGCTCCCGCTCTCGATGCCCTTCCTTCATTTGAGTTGTCCGAAAAGAATGGTTCAGTATTTGTGTCGGGGGATAAAGAGGCTATCAAGGGCAGCCGAAGAAAACCAAATATCAGAATTACTGGTGGGGTTTCACAGGAAAAAGTCGTAATTGTCGGTGGTGGAAGTGGTGCCATTGGTACGGTTGAGGCACTTCGTGAAACTGGTTTCAAGGGATCGGTCACCATCATCAGTAACGAAGGTTACTTACCCATTGATAGAACAAAGTTGTCAAAGGCTCTTATTGATGATGAATCGAAAATTGCTTGGAGGGATGAGGCTTGGTTCAAAGACGGATCGATTGATGTTCTCTATGATACTGTCAGTGGGGTTGACTTTGAGGGAAAGAATGTATTAACAAAGACTGGTGGCTCGTAAGTATTTTCCTACTCCATATTTTTGATACGGCAATCCACATGGAGTTGTAAATTCTCCGATATCATCCGAGAAATCCAATGAATATGCTAGCCCCATATTTCAGTCAATACTAACACGTTAATCATCTAGTTACCCGTACACAAAATTGGTACTTGCATCTGGTGGAAATCCAAGGAGTCTACCATTACCTGGTTTCAAAGAATTGGGTAACATCTTTCTCCTTCGCAATGTTTACAATGTGAAGAACATCGTGAAGGCTATTGGAGAGAAGAACAAGAAGATTGTCATCATCGGAAGTTCATTTATTGGAATGGAAGTTGCTAATGCCACAGCCAAAGATAACGATGTTACAGTCGTTGGCATGGAGTCCGCACCACTTGAGAGGGTCATGGGGGCTGAAGTTGGCAAGATCTTCCAGAAGGCTTTGGAAGGGAATGGAGTTAAGTTTTACATGAATGCTGGTGTAGAAAAAGCCGTTCAATCAACGTCTGATTCCACTAAAGTTGGTGGTGTGCAACTAAAGGATGGCACAACCCTCGAAGCGGATTTGGTGATCCTAGGAACCGGTATCAGTCCTGCAACCGAATATTTGAAAGACAACAAGTCGATTGAACTTAGAAAAGATGGTTCATTGACGACGGATGAACATTTCCTTGTTTCAGGTTTGAAGGATGTTTATGCCATTGGAGATATTGCAGCTTACCCATACCATGGACCTGGTGGTGAAGGAAGCTTAACACGAATTGAGCACTGGAACGTGGCACAGAATGCAGGGCGAGGCGTGGCCACACATATCAACAAACCAACTGCAAAGCCAAAACCATTTATTCCAATCTTCTGGTCAGCTCTCGGCTCACAACTAAGATATTGTGGCAATACTATCAACGGCTGGGATGACCTCGTATTACAAGGAGAGCCAGAGAAAGCAAAGTTTGTGGCTTATTATTGCAAGGGAGAGACCGTAGTTGCTGTTGCTACAATGCAATTTGATCCAATTATGACGCAGGCATCAGAATTAATGAGAAGAGGGAATATGCCAAGCAAGAGTGAACTGAAGAAGGGTCTCAAGCTTGAAAGTATCGATGTTCCAGCTGAGGTTAAGATGTGAAAGCCCATGACCTAGGCAAACAATGGAGGATGGATGGAAGGATGGAAGGTCAAGGACTATCGGAAATATATGTACGTAGTAATGAGGGAACGAATTCCAATAATGAAACAGCAAAGCATGAATAAATTATGTTCAAATCTACGCACCTCGGGAATGTTTTCCAACGTTCCAATCTGGCTTTGATAATGAAACGGTAGTATCTCAAACCTAAAATCTGGAAAGGACACTGTTCTCGTGCGATTCATGCCGCTCGATGTATGTAAGCGGAAAGGCCATTTGTTTGTCAAATCTCAATGGAACATTTAAAAATATTACGAGGCCTGAGTATATGCATTAATAATGCGTTGAATTGTAAAATGTACCCAGATTTGATTGGGTAGTTTTTTGTTCAGCGGGCATTGCTGGGCGGAAGGCGGGCTCAAGATTTAGATTTCCCTTGAACGATGAAAGCAAGAGCTTCGAAGTGTTATAGTCAGAAGTTATTTTGTGGCAGAATTGCATCAAACATGCTCTACGCGCCTGCTTTTGCTCATTGAAGTATATCAATGCGGAATCTCAAAGCCTGTTGTTTTAATTGGAAATGTATATGTATTTGAAGACAGCGCTCCTGAGGTGCTCTATGAGAAGCCTCGATCGGGATTACTGATATTTTAGTTGTGCGTGCAGTGTTTCTCAATGGCTGGATACGGAGTGATGATGAATGATATATCGTGGAAAAGTCTTTCCTATACCTGGTTGTTCCTTCCTCAGAGAATATGGATTCTACCTTCTCCCAACTTTGTCTTGTTGTGTTTATCTTTCACCCTTTGATTTATTTCTCGTCATTCTTGATTCCGTGCATATAAACCCAAACGAACCATGATTTCACTCGCTGCGACGTACAATTTCTTGGGCTACATAGTTGTTGCAAATGCGTATACCACCTTTGATACGACCTGTGCAATTCCAGCTACAACTACTAATTATGTCTCACCACCCAACAGTCGAGGTACTCTCAACATCCTCTGGTCCTGTCTTTTCACAATCATCGTCTGTACATGGGTAATTCAGCATCTAAATGTACCCAAGCAACGAGCATGTGGCGAGTCTGGTTGGAAATACAACTTTATTTGGAAAGTGACAGGTTTCCTGACCAGTTTTAAATGGATGATAGCCACTCTACTTGCTCCGGAGATATTACTTGCTAAGGCTTGGAGTGATCTTGACGTAGCACGGAAACAATTTGAGAAGTTTAAGCCTTGGGCGGCGGATGATGATGTTGAGTGGACATTAACTCACACTTTATTCGCAAATATGGGTGGTTTCGTCGTTCGAAGTAATCCGCCATCAAATATCGACCAAGACGTAGAGGCTAAGCCAAGCGTGGCACTTGATATACTCGCAGATCAACCACCAACCCCTCTTTTGGCAGAAGCTCTAGCTCCGCTGATGGAACCATCCTTAGGATGCGTTTCTTCCGATGCAAATGGTGTATCGAATCCTGTTAACATTGCGCCCTTGAGTGTTGTCATCGATAAGCCTACCAGTTATCCCAATCCATATCACTTGACCGCCAGACAGCTCCTCTCACTTCGAAGATGTGATCATATAAGGCTTCCAAACATCACGTTGGACGAAATAAACGACAAAAGCAAAAGTGACACTCTTTTGAGAGTCATCGCGATATCTCAATTCTTATGGATACTTGCACAGATCATTGTTCGTGCAATCAAAGGATTGGTAATAGCACAACTAGAAATAGCAGTAGTAGCTTTTTCAACATGCGCCATCATAATCTACATACTCAACTGGAGTAAGCCCAAAGGAGTCCGAGTACCTTTCACGATACTCCATTACGAAGGCCCGATTCCGACAGAGTTACTCGAATTCATGAAGAAAGACTTAGATCGTTCATCCATGTCGACCACCATGCTCAACTCCAAATGTCAAACCATCGCTTCCGGCGACCCAATCCCTAACGATGTGATATATCCCTACGATGAAGACACATGGCTCATAGGGTTCGAATTCGGCAGCATAGTGTTCGGATGCATCCACGTTGCAGCCTGGAACTTCATCTTCCCAACTCGAATTGAACAGATTCTTTGGTGGTCAACAAGTATTTGGTGTACGGTTTTCGTTTTGATTTATACCCTTATTCCGTATTGTGGAATGATATGTTTTGGGGATACCAAGAGAATTGCAACACCGAAGGAATTGGCTTGGGGTGCGGCTCCATTGTTCTTTTTGTATGCGCTTGCTAGGATTTTTTTGTTGGTGGAAGTTTGCAGATCGTTGTATTTTTTGCCGCCCCGTGCGTTTATTGCTACCCCGTTGGAGAATATTCCTTATATTGGTTGATGTTCATAAGAGTCTGCTGTGATGATATTTTGGGGCGTTGAAGAGAATGTATGTAGTATCAACAGAACATTTGTAGTATGATAGAGATAGGTGTCCGGGAGAATCCATGCATGATATTCATATGGAAATAATACATCTAACTTTTCTTTACCATAAATCATCTTTCACCACGTGTTTCCCCTTTCAATCCGAGTAGACAATCTGGACCGTTCAAGCATATCCGAGCAGATATATGTATATATATCAATACAGTCCACGCAGCTGAGGCGGCAGACTTATAGCTGGTTTTCCCATACTGACTAGCGCACACAACCGTCCTTGATGACTGTTTCGCTTTAGGATCGATAAAAAACCTTCTCTAATTCAAGGTTCAAACCCTTGAAGAGAATACCCAGTTGCCACGGAGAATACCCAGTCAACTACTCGTACTCTTCACCGACTGTCATCAAGCCGACAGCATCGAAAAACATTGGTAGGTATGATGAGACTCTGAACAAGTTTCATACTTACATGTGACATGTCATTTCCCTACAAAACATTTAATGCAAGATATTCATTGCCAACAAAGTGATCAACTTGAGCCACTTGATATAGATCGTTGAAATTCCGACAGATAATGAATTCCCGCTGTTTGATTCATGTGATTATCACATGATAATCCCTCCCATTAAAGTTCCGGCTTAATTTCGTTAGACATTTAGCTTTATCGTGAGGAATTTTGACCAATAATTTGATAAATATTATCTCATAATATCTTCGCTACTCGACTCCCCACCGCGGTCACTTTTCCGGCCAATTCACCAATCATAATAAAGGGTTTATCAATGGAAATGTTTCGTGCGTAACACAAAGAAATGACCGACCATCATCAATACCAACGTTCATTGATATTAGAACAAGCACTTGTTATCCAAACATAAAATTTTGTGTGAAAGTTCATACTGGAAATTCATATTGCTTGCATGAATAGTTCCATGAAAGCTCTAGGTACCACAATCTTGGTTGAATGCGGAGGTACACAAACACGTGGTCGGGTATATCTTCATTTTTCCCCCTTTGATTCTTACCTCTCATCAAAATGTTCTATTTTGTCTTTAATATTCTTTTGACAACGGAATTATTCAAGTGAATACTCTCAGCGATTCAACAATAATCTCTTATCTTTGAATCTGCCGCGAATACCCATTAAGCAGGACCGAGAGGTCATGTCCTTGCTGTGGCCGGAAGGCATTCCGGCCACGAAGAGAGAACATAAAAAGGACAGAAATCTCGCACTTTCTGATGAAAAGTTCTTTACCCTTTAACAACACAACTTCCACAAAACTTCAAGAACTCTAAAATCACTTTTCTCTACCAATTTCTATCAATTTTTTGCTCCATAACAAGTCTTCTGCTCCTCTTTTGAACTCATTTTCATCATGGGTTCAATTACTCCCGCTGCTCTCCCATATTTCGAAGTCCTTAGGGATACCAAACCGGAGGACAACTCATTGCCAGCTTTCATGGTATCAACAACCAGAGGTTTCCTTCCACGTACCGAACCTATCATCAGTCTTCCCTCCGAATTTGACGCTCTGGAGTCTATTCTCCAACGTATGCCCATTAAGACTCTTGATGGAAAGCCAGGTCTCCTAGCTACATTCACCCTTGGAGAGACAGTTCTCAATGAGCTTCCAGATCTTACTGGTGCTATCAATAAGTATCAGGATAACTTACCACTTATGAATGCTCTCTATCGCGACTACAGTTTCTTGGCTAGTGCGTATCTTTTGGAGCCTTGCCATGAGAGATTTCTTAAAGGTGAAGAGTATGGACTGGGTAGACAGACTTTACCTAGGGTTATTAGTTTGCCTATTAGCAGGTGTGCTGAACTGTATGTATATTTTTCACTTTCATATCATCTATGACCAGTCATCTTCGATACTATTCTTCACTTAGAATCATCTATCCTCAAACCTCATCGCATCAATTACTAATATAATTCCTCTATAGTGCTGGCTTCAAACCATTCATGGAGTATGCTGGCTCTTACGCTCTATACAATTATCGCCTTGAGGACCCAGCCAAAGGCCTTGAATATGACAACATTCGCCTCATCCGTGCCTTTGAACATGGTCTTGATCACACTTCCAGTGAAGCTGGCTTTGTTCTCGTTCACGTCGATATGGTTTCCAATTCCGGACCATTAGTCGATGGTGTTGTCAGTGCTTTGGAAGCAGTTGAGAAGCATGATCGGGATTTGTTCGAGGGAGGCATGAAAAAGGTCTTGGGGGCAATGACTAAGGTTAATGCAGTTATGGAAGGTATGTTTCCTACTTCTAACCCCTTTGACTTTCTTCTATTGTTAGACGACTGAAATTGACACGTCATGAGGCATGTGGCAGAAATCGAAGCCTGGTGATTATACCTCTTTCAGAACATTCATCTTTGGTATTACCAGTCAATCCATGTTTCCACATGGTGTCATCTATGAAGGTGTCTCTGAGGAACCTTTGAGTTTCCGTGGTGAATCTGGTGCTAATGATTCTATGGTATGTTCTTCTTCCCTCTTTTCATAAACTCCACTATACAAAAGTACCTTACTAACTCACCTTAGATCCCACTCATGGATAACCTCCTCCAAATACCCATGCCAACCACCCCATTGACCTCCATCCTCAAAGACTTCCGCTCTTACCGCCCAGGAAACCATCGCCAATTCCTCGAGCATATCCAAAATGCCTCTCTAGCCGTTGATCTTAAATCCTTTGCCCTCTCCTCTCCTACCTCCACTGCTCTCTACCTCCTCTGCATGGACCAAGTCCGTGATTTCAGATGGCGTCATTGGTGTTTCACCCGTGAATACATTCTCAAGAAAACCTCGCATCCTGTTGCAACAGGTGGCTCTCCAATCGTTACTTGGTTGCCCAATCAACTTGGTGCGGTTTTAGGCGAGATGACGAGGATCTGGAAGGAGATGGGTAATGAGGGTGAGGGAATGGGTGAGTTGAAGGAACGTGTCAAGGATGTTATGGAGGCGGTTCTTAGACAGAAGGATCAGTTGGAGAAGGAGGTCGAGAAGTATTGTAAGGAGAGAGGGGTTAATACTGCTGCTGCTGCTTAGATTTAGTAGTCTTCTCTCTTACGACGGATGGTGTTTCTAGGTGGTTGGTTAGTTGGTTGGTAGGGATGGAAATTTGTTTTAAACTGCATGCTAGATTGCGTCTTAGTACACCTATGCGCGGCTGGACTTTCTCGTCCCGAGCTTTTTTACCCGTTTGGTGGCAGGATTGAATGGAGGTATATATGATGGAAGGACTGATCGGGAAGATTCTTTTTTTTTCTTTCAAACTTTTTCCCAGTAGGAAATTGCATGGATTTTCTTTCCTTTTCTTTTATAGCTTGAGTTCAACCTAACGATCGATGCATATATATATAAAATAGAATGATATTATACACTTGACTGACTAATCTGATAGTAATATCTCACACATATGACTTGTGAGTAATTAAGGAAAATACTTAGATTTAAATTTTGTTTTCTCATCTTGAATCCTTGCTAGTGAGCTATGAGTGAAAAATGAGTTTTACAAAAGAAAAAAATAACAATCTTGGGTTTTTGTTGATTTTTAATCGTTCTTAGTGATAATGTATATATAGTTATAGAGAGAGAAAGAGAGAGTTTAAAGAAAAAGGAAAAAATCGTTGTAAAAGCTCAATTCCTGTTACTGCTAAAGCACCGACCTAAAACCTCTATCACCACAATTTTAAGTTCTTATAATTCTAAGTAAATAATTAATTTGATATTTTCTTGTGTTAATATATGTTATATAAGATCTTATACAACTAATTTATATGATTTAATATTTATTAGATTCATATCTAGTTCTACTAGACAATTAATCTATATAATTAAATCTTAGTTTCGATTAAATTAAGTATCTAGATTTCTATTCTGTTTTATTTTTTTTGGTCAATTTAGTCAATTTGGGCAATCACCCCAATGTCAAATTTCATTACATTTCATTTGTTATTCCTTTTATTTGAATACGAGAGTATCTGTAAGGCGGGCTTGGTTCCCTAGTATTAGTTTTCACTTCCCCCATTCAAACATTAGAAGATTGAGGCTTTCAATCTCCCCAACCTGTATTAGCTACGGTCGAATAAGGCCAGCCACCCTCCATTTATTATTGTTAGAAGCCTACAAAGCTCCTAGCCGTCTTATTTACTGTATTTTAATTATTATTTTGTGTGCCCAGGTGGCTAGGCTGCAAAACAGGGCTCTGCAGGGCGGATTATTACCATCGAAGGGTAACCTATAGATAATCTATTTGTGAAGTGGATAATTGAAGAATCTGAATAATCAACCTACAAATAATTTATCCCTTAGAATACTGAAAACGACCACTATGTTACGAGGTTTGCCGTCTAGATCATGTGGAAGTGCTCTAAACTCTCGAGATGATTTATAACTAAGTGTCAAGCAGGGACTTAAAGTAATGACAATAATTTAATTCGTAACTAATAGTAGAGTATACTAAATGATTGATCTTAAGCATAAAGCTCTATATAAAGGAAATCCATCTTGATTATATAGATCTTTGTATTCTAACTCTAGAGAATCTAATTAGAGTCATTAAAGCTAGAATACAAAGGTCTATATAATCAAGATGGATTTCCTTTATATAGAGCTTTATGCTTAAGATCAATCATTTAGTATACTCTACTATTAGTTACGAATTAAATTATTGTCATTACTTTAAGTCCCTGCTTGACACTTAGTTATAAATCATCTCGAGAGTTTAGAGCACTTCCACATGATCTAGACGGCAAACCTCGTAACATATAGATATCCATCAATCTATAAAATAATATATAAATTCATAAATGAATAAATTATTTATGAAAAACATTTATTCAAATTTTAAAATTATTTTTATATTTTTTAGTAAATCTTTATAATTTTTATAAATTATACAAAATATTTTTATTTATAAATCAATAAATTATTTCAAAATCCTAATATATAATTTATAAGACCCGGGTGGGTTATAGATTTAATAGATAACTCATGAAACAGATTACTAACAGATATCTATAATCCGCGGGTTATTTTTGCGCAGCCTACAGGTGGCTATGGTAGGGTTTGATGTTTTGTTATACTCTTATCTATATATACTCCTACTACTATTATTATTGTAGAGGTTGAGATACCTAGTTCAGCAACCTGATTCAACTTTACAGCACTCAATTTATTTCAGATATGCAATAAAAGCTGTTCTAGTTTTAGAAATTCACTACCGAACGAGAATGGTTTTATGGTTTGTTTTTTACTTGTTGGTTGGAGCTATAGCTAGGTACCTAGATTTAGAACTTTAAAGAAGTAGGAAATTAACGGTATTTGTTGACCTGAAGAATGATTATATGAACCCAATTAACCACTCCTCAAGGGTGGCGTCACTTTTGGGCAACAGTATTCATATCTATGCAGGAATTATATTAATTCTCGTTCCGAGCTTCCCTGATATCCACCCCTCAGAATGGAAATCTGTAACACTTCACACATATATCCACGCCTTTGTCCCTATCACTTCATCGATTTTACTGTTGAAAATCCTCACTCTCGCCCTCACACCCAGATTAAATCCCTCGTACCTCTTCCTCAAGTCCTTATTATACTTGTCAAATCTTCCCTTAATAATCCGGCCTAAAATCTAAGATTGCATCAGAATCGTTACATCCTTGGAATATACCTCCATTTGGTTGAATTTTGTTCCAAGTCACAATAAACTTTCCAGCATACGGGGAGAAGATCACTAGTTTCTGATAGTGTGATGTCACCCACGCTTCCAGTATGCCAATCGCTAACAGTTGGAAAATCTAGAAGCTGGTTTTCGAAGTTAGAGTTAAACATAGAATATGCTAGGGTTATTCGACTGACCACATTTGGTATCGATCCTGGAGACGCATGATCCCTATATGTGTTGTAATTATCTTGATTATCTATGCATGACAAAATGCTGTGAGACGAATCATGACGAATACTTATAAAGGCATCCTTTAGTTTGTGTTTGACCATTGGCAGTGCTTTCACAGATAGCGGTACAAAATGAAGATGATTACTTTGTATAAATATTTGCGCAAGAGGACCAGGAACGTAATGCTAGTATATTAACTTCTACTAAGATTAACTCCTCACAATCACCTCAAAACTCGACTTCGAGAGATTGACTATTTTGGTGCTTTTTTGATCATAGCATCTTTCCTATCGGGCACAATGGCTGTCTTCTTCGGTTGTGTCATATGTGCTTGGGAAAGTGGTCAAATCATTAAATTTCTCAACTGTTTCTGGTGTGCTCCGGATATTATTCGTGGCTCAGCAGCTTCTGAATTGGGGGTGCATTCATCTGGTAGTACCTTGTCAACTTGAAAGGCCCATATGGATTTACTGTCCAACAATGAATGTGTTTTCTTGATAGGATCAAGTGAGTGTAGGTAGAAGGCGGATACATAAGAGGCAAGGTAATCTGTAAAGTTTCTACGTCTGGGAGGTAGGTGAAGTGCGATGTTGAGGATGAAGGAGTGGGGTGGAATATGATAAATGCACGTACACACGTGATCCGCTCTAAAAATAACTTTCTTCTGTTTGCATTTCTGGAGGTTTATACCGCATTTGCGTTGATGATCTCACGATTCACAGGTAAAATACACACGTATAGAGTATGGCAGCGTCTCACAGGGATTCTTATACGTCCCAGCTCATATACTACAGCTTAGGAAATTAATTGTTATTATTATTCATTATCAAATTAATATAATATTTGCAAACATAAGTGCACGACGAAGCATCTTCCTTCACAACATCTTCAAACCATATTAAAACCATCTTAATTAGTCTCTCCAGGGATCGATTTTAAAGCCGAAAGTGTATAGCCAAAGGGTCGATGAATCATGCCTTGACCATCTCCTGGAAGAGGGAGGAATAGTAAACGATACTTGAAAGCAAATGGCGAAAGGTAGCGATTCCAAGTAGTAGTAGGCTATGGAGTAGGGATCCCGAATGTAAGATGTGCGTTGAGTTCTCATCCCTCATTGGTACAACTGGAAAGGTGGGTTGAAGCGGTACTTTTTGTAAAAAAGTGGGACGGGAACCCCGTTGTAGAGACAAATAGGCGTATATTTTGGATGGAGTGACGGGGACAGAGTATGCGAAGAATGGCGTAAGCAATAATACTGGACAGTATGATGCTTGCATGAATATTTGGCCATGTTTGAAGGACCAGGTTGCCTTGAACGGAGAAGTGGAAGGACGGGAGATATCTAAGTAATGGTAGGAAGCAAACGGACATCAACCATGCACTCCAAGCTTTATATGTTTGTGTGTCCGCCTCAGGGGTCCGATGTAGAAGAACCTGATAGGTAACAAACAGTCCTAGAATAACTGGAAGGGCAGAACCACTGGTAAAGAGGTCAATGGACCAGTAACGAGGGGCAGCCAATGACCAGGTCAGAACACCAAAGACGATGGTATATCGACACGAAGAGTCACCAATCGAAAGAGGAAGAGTATCTCGATTAGTGGCTCTGTCACCAACTTGATCTTTCAAGTCTTGCACCTGCATAGTGCTAAAGACTATCGCTGAAATTATACCAAGCCATATACTTGCGTCTGTGGAGATGGATGTGGAAGTCCCAGCAGCTACCCGCAGCGCACCAGATCCATAAACGAAGTATGCAAGCGAATTGATGGCATTTCGTACAATGAAATGCTCATCAGATCCGCCGAGATCATTATACATCCAAGTAAGCAGCAAACATAACACAGTCTCTTGACATGCCCCCAGAAAATAGTGAGATACGAACAAATCGATAGGGATCAAGATGAAAAGAAGTCGGCGGGCGGCACTGGAAGTAATACGACCAGAAGGGATAGGCCTCCAGGACTTGTTAATGCTGTCTTCCAAGACAGATTTCGGAGAGCGCTGATTGGAAATCGCAAAAAGAAGAACGTTGAGGTAAACCCATAAAAAGGTTCGAGGAATGGAAAGCAGGTGCGTTATAAGTACGTTGGTATCTAGTAACGTATGAGATGGAATGGTGGAGTAAGAGTCTGTAAGGGCGCCTAAGAGGCCGATGATGGTTACCGGTATAATCATGGTCTGGACGTCGTTGCTCGGGAAAAGGTACAATGTTTTGAGAAATGAGCCGACGCCTAAGAGGAGAGTAGTAAAAGGCAGGCTCCGACTCCAGTTGAACTATTCGTCACGTTAGCGTTCAAGATCTTTGTTTGCAGACAAGTACGGATCAACATGCCTTGAGATGGGCATGGTATGATGCCAGTGGATTCGGCCTATTCTGTTCAGTTATAGGTACCAGCACTGAACAGGATACTACTTGATGAACTCGAGTGGTCATGGTTATGGAGAACGAATACAACAAGATTATGAGCAAGGAGGTACTGGTAGCAACTTGATGCGCTTTTGAAAGGACAATTTAGATGCTTGATATCTTTTGGTGAGTAGGTCCAACGAGTGGTCTTATATAGAAGAGCATAAAGCTATTTCATGGCATGACTTCATACCATACTATACTAACGACTACGCAGTTTGAGACTTCTATATTCAAGTTAACCTGAGGAAGAAACACGTCCGGAGGAAAATTTCCTGTATAATTACCCAAGTAAGGATAGCGTCAGACTGCAACTCCCGGAGCAAGGGCCCTAGTTCATCCGATTTAACTTTTTACTATGTGTCGAGAGCTGCTAGGATACGATTGCGATTAGAGCGGAGTGCATCTTCAACTTTTAATACTCTCTGGCCGCATGAGTACTAATGGCGAAATTAGGCCAAGTGAGGCCTTGCCTAAATCTTTAAACATTGGAAGTCTATGCACATGCCGCATAGTGGTACACTATAAGAGGAATAGCTCTGGTTTATTTAGCTTTGGAGTTGCATACATTAGTAGCTCGAGTAGACACATCTTGGTGTTCTGTTTTTGCTTTCTTTTTTTCTTTAACATCTCTGCCCTAATTTACTTGCATACACTTGTGTAGAGTTCATACCAAGAAACGATGCCATCTCAATATTCTTCTAACCACGAAGGTTATGCGCTAGGTGCTGTTACGTCACTCTTCCTTGCGCTCGGAATCATAGCAGTGCTTTTGAGGTGTTATGTTAGAATTGTGATAGCTAAGAGTTTTGGACGAGATGATTATTTCATTGTCTTCACACTGGTAAAGCTCGTATATCTGCCTTAGTTTGGGACACTATACTGACATAACAACAGAGTCTCCTCATTGCTGGTGATGTTTGCATCTATAACATGCTTAGTCTTGGAGTCGGACGTCATCTCGACTCTCTTCCTGAGCCAGAAGCCTCAGTACTCGCGATCTTGAAGTGGAATACCTTTTACCAAGTAATCAACGTTGTGGGCGCTTTTTTCACTAAACTTTCGATCGCACTTTTCATCCTTCGCCTCAAAAACACAAAGAGACTGAGACTTGCAGTCTGGCTCATTCTTACTCCTCTCGGTCTATCGACTCTAGTCCTCTGCTTTATTGTACTTCTGCAATGCATTCCTCTCGCGGGACTTTGGACACCTGCTTTGTCAAGTCGATGCATCTCCGCTGAAATTCCTTTACAGGCAAGCTATGTTCAAAGTGGCTTTGCAATAATTACAGATATTGTCTTAACAGGAAGTCCAATCGCAATTTTGTGGAATGTACGTATGACGAGAAAAAAGAAGGTTGCCATATGTGGACTGATGAGCCTGGGTTTAATTGCTACCGTTGCCAACGCGTTGAGAAATGCTTTCATTCCTGATCTAGTGGCATCAGATTTAAGTTGTGAGTCGCCATTCCCCCTTAAAAAAAGGCAATTTGAGTTTATTGCTAATTCCAATCCTTAGATACCATGGTTCCCATTGTCTTGGTGGCCGACCTCGAGTTCTCGATTGGTGTGATAGCAGCTTGCATTCCTACAGTTATGCCTCTCTTCACCGGCGACAAAGCCAAAAAGGCAAAAACATATGAAAAGATGTATGGTGCGAAACCGCGAACAGTTGGGAGTTATGGTGGGAAATTCAGAAAAGCTGCGAAAGTAACTGATATCGAGTTAAGATATCCGTTCAGTGTTACAGCCAAAGATACCACAATTTCCCAGAAAGAGGTCCAAGCCAGCGATGCTGACTTGCCCCTAAAATCGACAGGCACAGGCGCTGAGGAAAACCCGGGTTTGCAGATACCAGTTTCGACCACCTGGAAAGTAGAGAGCCAGAGCATGGTCTAGTGTAAGGTTAGGCTTTGGCATTTCTGACTGGGTGTTGGAAGGACTGCTTGAGAGGCGCATTAATGCCTCCCAGATATACCTTGTTCTGACCGAATTTGAGTACTAGTGTTATGGGCAGGGGGGAACACTGGTCAAGAATGTGTATAGGAGATATATAAATTTTCTTTTTCTGTGACCTTGACTTTTCAATTTTGATCCGTGTTTCCATGAGTGCCAGGAATTGACCATAACAGGAAAGGTTCCTGCAGCCACTATACGTTGAAGCTGAACACGGGCTGGTATTCTCAAGGTTAGTGAGACCTATTGGATTGTAATGGTTGCCGCTAAATCCGTTTATGTAACTACCCGCATTACTACCCCTCTATATCTCCACATTTACAAATTGGAACTTTCAAATAGATCCCTGCTTGTGCATCTAGTTCGATCTCTCGTCAGGGGCGAGATAAGACAAGTGAAGCTAGCGATCTAGCCTTTGGTAGGGCCTTGGTAGTACGACTTACCCTATACATACTGAGGTAAGGCAATAACCACTCATCGTCGCTTTAATCTTGATCATCGCAACTTTGAAGTGCTAAATCAAAACTGATTTCAAGATTTTTTGAGCCGGATCATCCCGTCGAGACACTTTATTTCAATCAAAAGACTTTGAGCAAACCACCAAAGATGTGGCTATTAGTGGCATGGCGATAGTCCTAACTTACTCGGAATTGTTGATGTTGCATGAGTAAGACTCAGTAGTTAATTAAATTGTATAATCTAGGCCCAGCTACCGAGGAGTGCTGGCACCGATTATGTATAAAAGACTAAGGATAGCACCTCAGTATGCTCTCCACGATTTCCATTCAAACTAGTCCCACCACCCAGAAATAACATCAAAAAGTTTCTCAAAATGCCCACTCCGACTTACTTTTCCAAATACCCCACTTTTCCCCCAGACGTTCCTGTGGCTAAGCTTCCCGTTATCTCTTTGTCAAAGCTCTTATCCGAAGACAAAGATGAATCCAGCTCCGTTTTTGAAGCCAGTCGTGCTATGGGGTTTTTCGTGCTTGATTTTTCCGGTTGCCCAGCTGGGGACGAATTTTTGAAAAATGCAGAGATTATGTTCGATTTGAACGAGGAAGTGAATGCACTTCCTCAAGATGAGCTTATGAAATATGCTTACAATCCACCTACTTCCTTGTTCGGGTACTAACATTCTTCTTAATAACCATATTCTTTCTCTCCCTCTCCGTCAAATTTACTCGAACTGATACCTTGTGACGATTACAGATACAAGCAGCTAGGTAACATGAAGATCGAGTCAGGGCTCCCGGATCGAGTTGAGTTCTACAATGTTGGTAGAGACGATATGACAGGTGTCTCCGCGCCACGATCCAACCCGCCCTGCATCGAAAACGCTCGCCCACAGATAAAGAGCTACATGGAACAGGCTAATAGGATAGTGGATATCATCTGTGGACACTTGGAAAAGCAGCTACGATTGGGGAAAGGAGCATTGACAAAGCTTCAACCGATGACAGACCCAAGTGGAACGGCTTTGAGGATGCTGAGATGTGAGCCACAGGTGAGTTGAACCTCCATTAATTCCCGATCATTGCGAACAAAATTCATTATCACCTTGAATTTGTGTCCTGTCGCTCACCCATGGCCTTCTGATTTTTAATCTGTTGATTACAAGCTAAACATTAATTAGCCTATTAACGATCGCCGCACTGCCCTCCTTGGTCATACAGACATTGGTTCTCTTACCCTGCTTTTCAACATTACTGGGGGCCTACAACTTCTCACACCAGATGCAGGTGCGTAATTCTAGTCAATACCGACATTTCAGGAAGACTGAAAGAGCTAATTACTTCTATTTTAGATCCATCTATTGAATCTTCCTGGAACTACATAAAGCCCCAGCCCAACACCTGCATTGTCAATCTTGGCGATGCCATGGTAGAATGGTCGGCCGGGATTCTTCGTTCCAACATGCACAGGATCACTTACGCTCCCGGTGATCAAGGTGCTACGACCCGTTACAGTTTGGCTTATCTTGTCCGCCCCTCTGGCAATGCTCCGATGAAGCGACTTGCTCCCCCGACCTATCCTTCCTCGCTCGTACCAAAGATTATTGAGGGGGAAGAAACTGAAAATGAAATGAATGCCAGAGAGTGGGAGATTCATAAAGCACTTGCTATCAGAGCTGGTAAGGATAATGCGAGGAGTAGAGGCGGCAGGCCGCTTAGAGTCGGGGGAAAAGATGCGCTTCCTGCAATGACTGCAGTTGGTAATGCTTGAGGAAAGGATACATCCCCACTGGACAATTGCATCTGGGCACCACAATGATGTTTCAGCTCTTCTGTGTAATTATTATTTTGCATAGATATTGCTGGTTCTCTAACAACTATTTTGACTATCAATAGCACACATTATGAATCCAAAAAGCTACCACACACGCTCATCAGACATTCAATCTTGATGATTTCTACGTAACTTCAAACTAATCTTATTAGAGTAATAAAATGCTATACCGCCTTGTTTCTGCCACCAACCGGATCGTCCCGCCCGTGTAAACTAGACCCTGCGAGGACGGTTATAATAACCTACACCTTATTCCCAGACCCTCCCTGAAGCTTAAAATTACGCATAAAGTTTAGTCGAGAGCACGGACCATGTGATGAAGGGCTAAAAAGAAAGTTCTTCTACTTCCTTTTGATCTTCCTCCTCATTATATTCGCTTTCCCGCTTCCGCGACCCTTACAAAATGTTAAATGTTATCTGAAATACCACAGACATGAGACTGACCAATCTGCTGTTGAAAGGGGCAATATGTGTGTGAAACTGACATAGGTTAAGTAGACTTGGTGTTCCAAGTTTTTTTCAAATTAGCTTGCGGCCCAAGTCCTTGGGTTAATCCCATCTCCGCCGAACCGATCCGAAGGAAACCGAGTACCAATAAACAAAGATGTCTGACTACTTTAGCAGTGTCAATCTATAACCTCTTGAATTCATTTAGCATCATGTCATCGATAGCACTAATCATCTTATCCACTTAGAATCTGCTGGCGCCGAAGAAAGCACTGTCACTATCTGCGCTGCATCTTGAGCGATCATGAGGGTCCAGACAAGTCTACATTATCTACTAGGTCCAAATGGATCCAATATGCACGATAGTGGAGACATATGGGTCGATATTGCATTGGTTCCAAATACCCGGACTGTGTTATATCGATGACCAGCCTGCAGAACAAGGAAGGTTTGTTATCTAATAGTGTACGAAGATCTCTGTGTCACCTATTTTTTCTTCAGTACCAAGCCGATATACTGGACCGCCAACACCCATGCGCCGGACCGACTTACGCACTCGTCACCTGACTTTGTGTAACGTTGCTTCACGAGCAGATACCGGTTTTCATTGCGCTGTGCTCATTTCGTCGAGCCTATCAAGTACTTCACCGCAATACCGGAGTATGTGTGATTGCCACGCCCCCGATCTGCTATCGATCACTCCGTAAACTACATTTAGCAGGTGCTCGAGAAACTATTGTGTCTGAGGATTCAAACTTTCGTAGCCATATCGCATAGAATGATGCTTATGTTAGAAACGTAGGTCTTGCCCCAAAGCAAATCACCACAAAAGCCTATGCCTATCGCCGATACAAGTGGGTACGTAGAAGAATCGATCTGATCATATAAGGTTTTGCTCTAATATGTTCTAGAACTTCTAGTATCCGGGAAACTAGCATTTTATTTATATGGGATAGCCTTACGCTCAGTTCTAGATCATTGAATAAAGGTTGCACGTATACACGTGATGACGCATCTTACTACTATTAATATGATCTACTGTGCCCCATGGAGTCATTCTCAATACCCTTCGAAGTGTAATGCGGTGCTGGGAGTGTTTCCGATTGATCTAATCATTTCTGAAAGTCATCATATTTGTGCTGAATTGAGTATGTATTATTACTTCTAAGTTTCAGGCTATTTGATATTAGAATTTGACTTCGTCTCAGGGTTGGGCAAAGGGTAGGGTATACACTGGGTGATCCCGAATGAAAATACAAGGGCGATCACCTTGTTTTATCTTTATACGTTAGGGTAAATATTTATTCCATGTTGTATATGAAATTTATATGAGATCTAGATTTTATATAGAGGTATATAAATATATAATTCAAACTAAATGATTTGAAATCAAATAATCTAAATCAATTAATCTGAATTAGATGATTAAAATTATACAATTGTATAATTATCTAATCATTTTGATTCTTTATTATGATTTAGAGTAAATTTATCTTCAGATGGTCATATAATGTATATTTGAGGGTAAACATGGATTTGAGACTTTACAGAGCAATCATTCGACTCGGTAGGGTAAATACCCTATAGGGGTCAAATACCCTGAGTAGGGTATGGTTGTTTATACATGCTCCGTCTAATCAACACCATCTTTGATTAATCCGAATCACACACACAAAGCTTCCATCCATTAAAGACTGGCAAATCTGCATCAAGAAGCCATCAGAGTGTCTTCAAATACCATACAAAACTCACCCTACACCACTATGTGAGCGGGGCAGTATGTTTTGGGGGTTGTATACTGATGGTACGGCATGTTCGCAAGCCATAGTCAGTAGGTCAGCTTTTTATGCCGACGTTGAAAAATTGTATGGGGGAATCGGTGAGAATTTTGGTGATGTCTTGTGGTCAGTGATATGAAACGGAAATGGGATAAATAATCTTTGTATAGATAATATCTGAATATCATTAGTACTAACGCGGCCTTCATCGCCGAGAAAAGAGAATGGAAAGAAAGAAGAAAAAAGTATTTAAATCTAGGTATTTTCCAGCTTGGGCTCCATCAAGGTATTAAAGTCATTCAAACTCCATGGAAACAATATCTGGCTTCAATCCTTACACTGCCATTCTGATTTTCAACCTTGTTCCCATCGTCTTCCTTTTTCCTCCCTTAACCCATTCTTTCTCAGCTCTTTCCCTCCTCCATCCCAGTCCCCATTTCATCACAGCAAAACATCCACAATCAATATAATGACGGCCTGCATACTTGCCATTCACGTATACCCAAGAACCAGCAAAATGACACGGGGCCCCACAATATCAACTCTGAAATGCAGGAGCGATCCATAAGCAATAATACCAAGCTCGCCAACAAGATCATTGGAAATCCTACTTGCGATCGTGCCTTTTTTGATAAAAAATGAGAAAGATCTTGCTGTTGAGATTCCACAACCGTGATTTTCAAACTACGGAGCCTCACGGAAATATGATCAACCAATAGCATTTCCTTGTGTGTGTGCAGCAACTAGACAACCGCTACTGATTGGAAGATACATAAGCTCGACTTCCAAACTTTCGTAGCCGTATATATCGTGGAATTGAGAGTGCATTCACAGAGATGATAGCATAGAAGCCTGCGTAGAAGATTCCGGCATAAAAGAGTAGAAGTGCTGCTTCTTTTCCAGATACTATTCGTAAAGTGGGTAACGAATTTGGGAAACGTAGTTTCCGTGCTGCAGCTAGCTCACCTCGTTTCGTAGACCAGAATAATACCGCGGTTGAAAAGTTTGTGTCCATCGCGGAAATTTGTCAAGCAACGACTCCATCTTAGGAAGTGGCATCGATCCGTCGCCTACTATCTTCCTACAAGTTTCGGGCATGAAGAGTAGAAGAGGAAAGAGAAAAGGGTGGGGAGGATGGTTAGGAATCCGAAAATCCACTTTCAGCTGGTGTACTGTGAGATGATTCCGCCAAGGATTGGACCAACTGGCTGTCGGATGATAGCCAATGTAAATACTCCTTTCAACAGATGTTGCAATATCTGCCACAACAGCATTTGCTAAGGCGACAGTACCAGACCCCTCTGCCGATTGTACCATATGTAGGATGAGGAGAGTGACGTAGTTGTTTTGTGAAGCGAGAGCTATATGGGGATGATGTATCTTGTGAAGCAGATAAAATTTGCGGGTTGACGACCTGCTGAACCAGAGAAACCACCAATGAGGGCAGGAGCTATAGCTTGTATGATCTAGAATTCCATGTGAGAATGTTGAAGAAAAGATAGCGAGCTTTACCATGTATGTCGGGCTACTTGTAACATACAGATCAATAGCGATAGTGTTAGTAGCCGGGAAATATATTTGAGCAGTAAGGGAGAAAAGAAACAAGTGAATGTGGCGATTAAGATGAGCAATCTCTTCTCTCATGTGGAGAATGATGTATATGGAAGAGCTTCTTGTTCCGGGATCTTGTTCTCGTCAGAAGGGCCAGTCATCTCCTTTAGAACTTATTTCTGCAATGTTGTGACTGAATATCATGTTCAAGGTAGTTATCCTGAAGCGTAGATCCACTAACATTTTTTTTTTGAATGCTTCCATTTTACTTCGTTTCATTAGTCCCTTATTCATGATTTCATCGGATACATGATTTCCGTCCTTTCTTCTCCTATTGCTAGTCAACTAGTTTTGTTTTGACTGATCCATTACGAACAAAATCGGTCCAATATAAAGGGATTCAACAAACGGGATTACGGAAGATGAAATAGAATGTAAAAATGAAATACGCATCTTATTCATGCTACCACGTCGGCGCAAACAATGATGTTGATCTCAGTAATAGGGACTTACCTCCCGGTATTGAATTCTTGCAAGTACGACGTCGCAGACAAGTGAATTCTTTCCATATGATATCGAAACAAGCACTTGGAGATGCTGTTTAAAAAAAGATTATCTTTGTTACATAAATTTTCCTGTTGTGTGATTTTGCAGACTAATTCATCTCATGTATAGATCCAGCTATCTAATACAGACTGGGAAATTGGCCAGCAGTCATCTTATTGTCCAGCAGCTACACTACTTCAAACTTTTTAGTATCCGACTTCTGCACCAAGGATGAGACATACTATAAAAATTTACTTATCTAGATGATGATACACAAGACATCGTTTTAGAGCTTCTTCATCCTCCACCCAAAATACTCAAAAGCACCACTCTCTCCACCAAGTATCTCCATTTCCGTCTCCCAAATACCTTCTCTCAAGAGGAATGGCTTCATGAAATGTGGTTGTCGGTATGTAATGTACAGCCATTGACCTCCTGGCTTGAGCACCCTAGCAACTTCATCGACATAGCGACCAACATTTTCTCGAACCTCTTGAGGAGGATCCCACATCGATCCATGAATCATTGCATCAACTACAATACGGGATTTCAAGTTAGCATAAATCCCAAAACCTTGCCATCTCTTCACGTTCAACCCATTGAAAGCCGAAGTAAAACAAAGGTAATAAATAACCTACGAGTTCCCTTATCGATGGCAACATCGATTTCTCCATCTTCCAGCTTCATATTCCTCACATCCATCACAGTCCACGTGGTATTCAAGTTCGAGTACTTCTTACTCATTCTCTGAATAACTACTTCAGAAAAATCAACTGATATTTGATTGCTGTATCCAGCTATATGGAGGTCGTGTGTCAATGTCTAGTATTTTAATTTCTGTCAAAATATTGCACATTTCTCGTCATCTCTCACATTTGTACCTGCAACAATGGACTATTGGATACATACACTATTTCCACACCCCAGATGCAACACCCTGGGCCCTTTTCCTTCTTCCCCATTCTCCCCTGGACTCGGTAGATGTTTTTCAAAGAATGGTTTCAACGACTGGAAATCCTTGAACCATTCAAAGCTCTCGATTTCTTTCTTGGCTGCCACATCTCCTTCACCTTCATTCTCGTCACGTATAACTACCTCTGTTTCCGGATCAAATTTTCCTGCATACCTATTGTCCCAGTATGAAGGATAGGAAAGTTCTTCGAGGGACTTACTGCCTGACATTCTTGACTCAATGTGCTTTAGGTTGGTGTGGAAGGTGTATGTGTGGTAGGATAGAAATTAAAATATCCTGATGCGAGCTTTGAGTTTGGCCTCGGTACCGGAAAAATAATTCTCCTTCATGGTCGTAGAACAGAATCATATTTCTACCTCAACCTCCAACTATGATTGACTCAACAATCCTCTTTCTTTTAAATATGAAGAATATATCATTTGAGAGACCTAACTTTATACTCATTTTAATATCTTCAAATCTCAATCCACTATATTCCTCATTGATCTGTACTAATAAGAACAAACTGCATGAAAAACCCTTATTTGACCCACTTTATCATGTGATGGGGACTTTTCAAAAAAAAAATTATAGCATGTTGGCGTGGCCGTAATGATTATCTTCACACTAGATGTATTATATAAGAAAAGATAGTATCTACAGATCAATATGTAAGAGTGACAAAAGAAACATCTATATCCTCGAGTCGAACCCAAAGATTGATGAAGTGGAAGGAAACGTTTTCCTACTGGCGGGGTGATAAAGTCGGGCAAATCTCGTTTAAGGTTATTTACCCCTCTTCACCTCGAGCTCCTTCATCAGACCAGCTAACAGACCAGAATACTGCGCATTTCCAAATAATCCCAAGGAGGAATTGGTTGATTGACGGATTCTCCCAAGGAAATGGAGCTGATGCCAAGAAGATAGGGGCGTTGTTGACGCCGCTTCGATGGCGCATTTTAGGAGCTTTAATGTGCTCCGCTGGTCCCTCATATCGATATCCCCGTTGTGAAGAAATGACGTTGAATACTCTGCAGCAAAGGTGGAGATAGATTCAATGAGTGCTATGAAGCTATGCTAATTGGTCTCGAATCATTGGATAACGCATTTTGGTTGAGAGGTGGCAGAACAGTGGTTTCATTGGAAGTCAATGGAGGCGAGGCCGGAGATTGATGACGCTGGGAACAGTATAGGGATAAGAGGTGAGAGAATCATAAGGAATTTTTTCGCTTCCAGTGGTGGCTTTGACGTTCTTTGGGAGGGATATGAAGTGGTATCATAACATGTATCCAAAAAAAACGTTTTATGATAAATTACAATATTCTTCAAGATGATTATTCTTAATTAGAATAGTTTCTATTTCCATGATATCAAAAAAGATGTTTGAGAATCGTAGTCCCTTGCTAGACATACATGATGTAGGGCTTCAAACATGATATGGAAATCTTAAGTGACATGAATAACAATACATGATAGACAAGCCGGAAGGTTTGCATGGTTATATGAACCATATGATTTGCAGATATCAGAACCCCGCAGTTATATTATTGTTGAGGTATGTTATACCTCAGATGATACTACCATATCATACAATTCCTATAAATCAAAATATTTTAAATGATTTTGATTTCAGAATACATATATCTTCTTGAAATGATCGATGATATAAAACAATTAGGGTGATGTGATATGATATGATGGTACATCTTCAGGTGATGACGATTAATTCGCATCCCTAGGTGATCTCAGTACGAAATTCCACCAAAATCACGGCAATCACAATTGATCAAGCACACATTATTGATAGGAAATGAGAAGCCTTTGCAATAAGGAGCAAAACATATGATAAGTAAGATAACTTGAGAAGAGTACAAACAGCTAGCTACTTCCCAGATGAAGCACAGACCTGAATATAAACCTTTGCTGAACTACAACCTAGAGATCATTAATTTTTGGTTGAAATAAAATTGATAACCATGTATACCCAGTAATGAAGTTTGAAACAAAGTATATCTTCCCTTGCAATTGTTTCCAAGCTATGGAAGTAAGATACAGGGATATATGAACTTCCTGCTGATCATTTCAGTGCTGATTTTACGGTGCTTGCTCAATACGAGAGACTGGCTGATCGTAATAATATTCTAGAAAACAATCCCTTGGAATTACACTACTGAAAACTATAATGGAGTAATGAGAGCTCTCAACTGGATTGCGAAGAGGAAGTCCTCTGATTTTCTTCTATTCCTTGCCCCGCTTTCTTTCAATCCCATTTCTAAGAAATAGAAAGCTCAACCTCACCTCAACACAATAATGGAAAAATTGAAAACGGATTAACAATTTCTACCTTAGCTCAAAACACTATATTCCCCGAGAACAATCCAAATTGACCTGCTTTGGAAAGTTCCATGATGCCTCCCAGTGTTCTCACCAACAAAATTTCTAGATATATGAAGGCGTATGTGGGAAGACATCAGCATCATCTAGAAAGAGGCATGAGTCCTCACGAGAAGTTGTTGGGATTTGTGAGCATGCTCGCCCTGCTGATCAACGTCCAATCTCCATAAATGAAACTGCGCACAGTCATAATGATTTCTGTATATCCGAATATCCTCATGTATCTCACACTCCACCATCCCATCGAGATACTTCCTCTGGATACAAACCAGAGCCTGTGGGCCTTGGATTGCAATTATCCTGTTAAGAAAACTGAGATGTCGATGGAAATGGGAAGTATGGAAACAATGATTTTACCGAATCTTGTGAAAAGGGCCAGTCCAGTGGATATCTTGATTATCAGACAGCGAATATGTATTGAGTGACCCAATTGCAATGGAAAAGAGCTACCAGGTTGAGTTTTCATTCCGTACATGCTGGTGCATGAGAATGCGGTTATGGGGTGATGTTGCTTTCCTCGGATGTTTTAGAAATAGGCTCAATAACCGAATGCTACTGTACTCCGCAGACATGAAGACGACTCCCCCCCCCGCGAAGCGGGGACGAAATACTCATAGTGACTGAACTATATATTTTCGTTTCTCAACCATAAATATAAAACTTACAATGTGCAACTGGAAATGGCTTTTGTATTGTCCTGGTCTCCAAGGAAAAGACTCATGTCGGGCTGGAAGATGAATCAAAAATAGGAAATAGGAGTTGAAACAAAATCGGGCTCCGAATGATAATCATGATATCGAACCCGTAAATCCGCTTTCCTATGCTGTTGAATCAGATTGATTGATTGGAATCTATGTTAAAGAACATGTGATAGTTCTTCCAAAAATAAGTTGGAGCGAAAGAGGAGGATTTACTTCAATAGCAAGAATAATGCAGGACGAAGGAATTAAAACTAGCAATCAAAATGCAGTTGACAATTGCAACTGCTACAGGGGAATAGAACTCGAAAATTCTTTGGTTCTCATGATTGCTGACATCTGAGCATGTATATGGTTAAAAAGATACTCCCAGCCAAACTCTATGATATTTGTGGAATACTGTGAGGACAGTTAGCGAATGATTTTTCCAAGGAGATTTCTGGCCCCATAGTAGATCTAACTCGAATTCGCATAAAATGATAATAAGAGAACAAGCGAAGGCTTATGTGCGATTCAATCTGAAGTTAAAAATCAATGTTACCGTTAACGTACATTCATCAGGGAATAGGTATTTTTAGGCTGAATGAAAAAGAAACCAAGTTTTGTACGGGAAATGTGGTTTTCTACCTATTAATACGAAGACATTAATAGGTGGTTTATTTTGGAATGCTATTACCATTAATGATCATATTCAACCCCTTGCCCTACCCTCTCGCCGACAGATCGGACATCAATTCAACGGTGTGTGTAACGATGTTTTAACAGTTGTTGAACGGTGTGTTAAAGTGAGACTCTGAATAGTAGTATATGGGCAAACCGCTCGTATTGACCAATATAGACACAGTTCAAGTGATAGGATACACAAGAACCCGCTACTCTGTACCTCGGGCTTGAAGATCATGGAGATCAGATGTCAGTTACAAGTGGGCAGCACGGAGGTGCCGGTAACACCAGCTAACCCAATCCGTAATCTTGGTTTTCTTGCTCGAATAAGGCAATTCCGAGGTCTTCCACTGCCAAGTGAGCGGGAAAAATGCATTGTTCATTTAGATACTTGGTCCTTCATCATAGATTCACAATACGGGAAGTGGATCTAAAAGGTGGAGTGAGTGAGGCGAAAAAGGGGCTATGCGGTGTGGCTGGTGGTACATTTCTTTAGGTAATGAGCTTGGTCCTACAAATGAAGTCAGTACATATTTACTATCTACGGAGTACTCGGTACATCATTGAGCTTTTCCGACTCAAAGGGGCTCGTATACGACGGCCACGTTGTCTATCACTATTAAACTTATCGTATTCTCTGCAAAACTGGGGTGCTTTAGGCAGGGATGCTTAACTTTAAAGCCAGTTAAAGCCCATTTATTTGAGGCTATTTTAAGGTTCTCTCGCATGAAATAGAGCACTGCTACGAAATATCAGGCATTGCTACATTTCGCAGGGTCTGTTAGATGTACATAGACAATAGATATACATAGATTTTCAAACTTTTCACTCTATAAGGCATGAAATAATAGGTATTACAGCTTGCTATCAGAGTCACTTCTCTGGGAAAGAGAGGTAACAATGAAGTTCAGAATGAGTGATTATGTACTGGGTACTACATAACTTCTATGAGTGTAAGAGCATGATGATAACCTTAATGCTTAGCTTCTCATAGAAGATTCCACTCGTTCCAAAATCGTTCCATAATTACTCCATAGAATTAATTCTGCTTTGGGACTTCTAATCCAATCAAATTGGACCTCTTGAGTCGTGTTAGTCAACTTCATTAAGCCACCCAATCAGTAATCCAGTCATTATAGGAGTGCAGAAAATAAACTTCAAGCCGGGCACCGCAATATAGAAAAGGTTATACGGGTGTACAAGTGCCGTCAACCTTAATACAATGTACTAATTAATACAATGACGTTGAATCACCTACTCGAGGCCAAGCCTTCGACGATCCTCCGAATACGAGACCCACAATGGCTGGCTCCACAAATCATGATCATAACTGCACAGAGGGGTTGAATTATCTTGCAAGCTTCGAGATATAAAAGACTACGATATTCTTGGTGTATAGTCCATCATTCAGACAAACAATCACATCTTCACACTCAAACAACTCAACTCAACAACTTCCAACTCTTTACCAATTTCTCAAAGAAATCACCCATCAACAACCATCAAAATGCAATTCTCATCTGCTCTTATCTCTGCCATCACCGTTGCTCTTGCTTCGGCTGCCACCATTGGACAACGTGACGAGGCCGTCTTCAAGGTCTCTGACTTCAGCGCAGGCTGTATCCAACACAGCACCCAGTGCCTGTAAGATGCCTACCTCTCAATTCTAGTCCTTTATCCCACTAACACATATTCAGCTACCACTTCACTCTCATCCAACCCGGTACCATGGAGACCGTCGGTGTTGAATGTTCCGCCCTCGTTAGCGCCTACACCAATGGCTCCCTCCCCAACATCGGCAAATGGCAAGGCAAATGCAAGGATTCTTCCCGCACTTTCTGGGTTGTCCGTCAAAACGAGGGTCTTAAGCTCTGGGCTTCTCAACCAGTTACTCCAGCTAGCAACCAAACCGCATCCCACCTCCTCCCAGGCACTGACTTTGAAATGATCAAATACTCTATCGGTAGCGTTGACAGCTACACTGGACCAACTGCTTTCGACTTGACCTACGACTGGTAAATGGATTGCATGGATGGAAATCGGAAGGTGACGCTTTTCCGGTTGTGAAGTTGTTGAGCGATGAATGCTAGCGAAGTTTCTTTCTGGAGTGTTGGATGTGTTTTAGAGGAGTAGTATTGAAGGAGTAGACTAGGAGTGATAAAGCTTAATATAATACAAATTTCCCAATATCTATTACTGTGCACTTTACCCCGCCCTTTTGTGATTTCCAAAAAGCAGAACATTGCAAAAGTAAAAAAAGTCGTCGAATATCTTGATTGATGCTTGGCAATTATAATACAATAAGTTCTTCGCTCGTAGTTATTGGCTCACTCATTGATAGTTTCGTTTGTTTAATATATATTAGTCTAAAACATATTAAGAATCTAGCTACTGATTAGCGTTAGCTTATATTATGGAATGATCTAATCATATATCAATAAATCTAATCAGATCAATCAAAAGTAAATCTAATCTAATCTGATCTGTTCACATCAGCATTTGTCATTCAATTCTTGATCTTGGCTTTTTTTTGCATATAATAAAACTTAAATATTTGAGAATATACTTCTCTGCCTAACTCGTTTCAAGATGACATAAACAGCTCAACTCATTAGATCATTAATAAGAAATGATACTTAATATGAAATTAAATCGATTTTTCTGTGAAGATTCAATGCTCCATCTGATTAATTCATCTTCACCGAAAGACTGAACACTGAACACCTTTTTAAACTGCAAAACTGTTACATAGCTTCAATTTCCGTTTGTTAAGTTGAGAAGCTCATCGCTAATATTTTTACAGTGAAAAACTACAGCTAGCGCCTTGCCGTCTTGTAAACTATACTAATTATAACTTATATCTAAATACATACTTCGAAAAAGAGCATTTCCATCATGAGATCTAAAAGAGCATGATATTCCCATTAAATAATCCCTCCAACTAAAATTACTCTTAACTTTTCTTTCCCCCAAGAAATCATATATTACCATCTCCAAAATGAAACTCTTAGCCACTTTAAATTATCTCTGTAATCATTATTGTTATTGCATAAGCTACTACTATCAGAAAAATAAAGAATAACCATGCCACGTCTATCTGTATTATTACAAGTTCCAAAGTATCCCGTGAACTAGCACCTCAATTGCAAAATGCATCTGAATATACAAGCTTTCCTCTTCCTCGCTCCCTGTACATCCAACAAAGCTAGTAATATCTTCTTCGTCGCCGACCGAGCAAGAGACGAACTATCTGAGTATATAATCAACGCAATCGAGAACGATATAATTATCTCCGATATATACTAGCATAGCTATCTATATGATAAAACGCTTCCCATTTCTTTCTGGGCTACGCATTCTCAAGACGGTAATGGAAAATGGGTTTCGAAAACCCTGCCTGGTTTTATCAAATACCATAGACTTGCCTGCTGTTCAATGATCTCATTCTCATTCTCATAAACACACGAATACTGGACTTAATTTCAGTACAGGAATGAGAATGAAAGTATTTCTCGCCAGATTTGCCGTCTTGTAAGAGTAATCTTAATGTAAATAATTTTTAATATCAAGATATCAAAATAACATGTAACAATATCAGAATTCTAAAGTTAAATATTTTAACAAGTAAGCTTTCACTATGAAATTTTGTATTGAGATGAGAAAATTATATATAAAGGTTGCGCTTAATCTAATACTCCCGGAAAATGTAATAGATAGAGTAGTGATTTTGAAGTAAGGAATGTACTGACAATTAAGTCTTATGAGAAAAGCTGAAAGATTTTGAATGAGGAGAAAGATTGATCTTCATTACGAAACTCAATTGTTTCATTGATAAATATCTCGGAAAAGAAAATACATATTTGTTATATGACTTGATGTATCCTTACATGTTCCTTGCCTATGCAAATCGGCATCACTTATTCTCCAGTTGAGTATTATACCCAGATGCTGCCGCCAAAAGTTAGGCAACAAGCTAGAATGGTGAATAACTTGGCGCTTCACTCCAACTCAGTAATTCCCTCCCTAAACTTCCCGTCTTTAACATACTCCCACCCCTCCCCAGGCGTCGTAACCATACTCTCACTTTTCTCCATCTCTCTTTCCCTCCCTCCAATCTCCACCGGTGCGGCAATATCACTCGGACTCTGCGGTGTCGCCGGTACACCCCTATGATTTACATGACCATACGCATACCCAGGACTCGTCGTCGCATCTATAGTTCCCTCGGTAAAAGGTCCACTTGGCGCTGTTGCACCAAAATAATCAGAATCTTTTCTCATATTTCGAGATGGTTTTGATGTCTTGGAACCTGCTTTCGAGGCAGCGGTATGAGATAAATGCGAGCCAGAGAATTGGGACATGGCTGGAGGTATATCGGCATTGGGGTTTGAAGATGTTCTTGGTTGAAGGGAACGTCGGCGGTGGATGGTGAAGAAATATATACAAGCTCCTATACTTGCTAGTGCGAGAATTGATACTCCGACGCCGATTCCGGCTTTGGCACCTGTGGATAGACCATGAGAAGTGGATGTGGAATTTGAGGTACCCGTGGCCATTATTCCATTACTACCTGTACGAATAGCAGATAATGTACCGGTGGTTGCGGCGCAATAATTCGTTCCACTAAGAACTGTACATCCGAATCCTACATCGCAACATCCTCCACCCATTGAGCTCGCGCATGCGACTTGGTTAGTCGTGCAGCCTGAGGGCACAACTGATACGAGTGCTGTAGTTGATGAACTCGATAATGTGACTGCGCAACCAGCGGAACTTCCTGAAGAAATGCATTGAGCATTGTAGTTACAGCAGCCTCCTCCGAGAGAGTCGGCGCATTTGTAGAGAGAGACGGAGGGACAGGCGCGGGGACAACATGTTGATGTTACGGTTGCGGTGGAGGAAATGGTGATGGTTTTATTGCAGAGATAGGAATCGGAAGAGCAGGGAGAATCGCAATTGCTTCCTATAGCGCAGCAGGCCGCGCCTTTGGAGGGGGATATTATGCAATATTGCGAGTTTGAACAACATATTCCTGTTCCGTTTATATCGAGACCTTTGAGTAGAGATTGAAATCAGCAAAGATTCCCTTGGGAAGTAGATCAATTGTGAAGACTCGCCTGCCTAACGAGAAAAACGTGTAAACAAATATTAAAAAATTGGGAATAGTTACAAGAATGTGAACCACTTTCACAGACCCCGCTATCTCTTCCTAATAACCTCCCCTCCTCCAACCCCATATAATACCTCGGACTCAATGCATTTCCCTCATTTCCCATTTCTACAGCTCCATATTGACCTCGTACCACATTAGCAAAGACTAAGCCTAGAATAATAAACAGTCGCAGCCGCGATCGCGAAAACATCGACATCAGCATGGCGAGATAACTGGATTATGTCTGTGTCGCAAACTTCAGGTGGAATAACCCTGCTGAGATATAGAGATGAAAGAAATTATGTATGTAACATCAGCTTGAAAAATTCAGCGCTTCATCGGGAAAAAGCAAATGTCTCCGCACACTGGTGATACACTGGTAGGTAGGTAGATATCAATGACTTCTGACAAATCCCCCGCGCAAAAATCAGCGACAGATCTGGGTAATCAACTAGCGATCCAATGTGCATGTGGTAAACATTTGAGTAAGATGAGCTTAACACCATACCCAGCCTCACATAGCCTTCCCATACTTCAATCCGAAAACTATGGTAAAAATTGCTCTCTTATCTAAGAATATCAGTTCTTCCTTCTTTGAACTCTTCTCAGAGGCTTGGGGATGGGCCAAAAGAGTCCTCAAATCTAGATGACAATGCATTATGCATATAAATCTGGATACAGAGAAATTATGACAGAATTAATGTTCCTGGTACTCGTATTTAGTAAAAAAGTTTACAAAGCATATGAAAACCGAAAATTCCCATTCTCGGCGTGAGTGGTTGGAATTTGATCATGTGAAGTGCTTTGAACAAAATATTGATGCATGGACAGCGAGCGCAATCGACGTTCAGGGATCGGAATAACTGAGAATTGTGCGACCGAACGCCAAGATTTCAACCCAACAACAACAAACAGCTTCCTCCAAGCAACTAGACAATGACGCTACAACTTCGAAGATAGTCACAGGAAAATCAATATCTTTGGAATAACGATATATAGAAATTGTCTACATACTCCAATAAACCTTCAAGATTTATGGCGCGCCCACGGTAAGTCATGCTCTGCTGTCTTTCCTTCGTTCCCTGTTCCGGAATCCACAGCTCTTCTACTCGAAATGTAACAACCACGTCGAATACATTGCGCACAGAGACGAATTTTGGATTGAGAAATGTTGAGATTCTGTATACGGCCGTATAAGCCTTGATCGATCTTCGAATCCCCATGGCGCATACTAGGAATTATGGGATAAATACTTGGTGGATGGAACAAGGCGATCGCAGTCAAATGCGATGAGAACTTTTTGGGTCCTGATCCATAAACTCAATCGCTGAGTGTTGCAGAACTCAGCTCGAAATCGACTATGTAACAAACATGGCTTGCCGGATATCGCTGGGTAGCTGCTCGTCTTGCGCATTGCCTAGGTTGATCTTAGATCAAATTGTCGCGGGCGCAAGTTAAGAATCTGCCATAACTGAACATCAACCCGAGTTTCGAGTTTTGCAAGACACACATTGAGCTTCAGGGTTTATTGTTACGAGATGAAGCAAACTGTGAACGGTCTCGGCGAAAGATGATCACGGAACATAAATGAAAGGGATGGTCTGAGATTACGAAATACCCATAAGATCAACATGCAGAGCTTTGGCGCAAGTTTTCAGGGTGGGCATTATGAAATGTCGCAAATTTCAACATAACTGGCCCCGGCATATCGTTTTAATGGTGACGAGCACCTTATATCTATCCAGGTGGTGATCTCAAGGGGATTTTCCTATCATATATGATTTCAGCAGGCGCATTCTTTCTTAGGTGGGCAAAGTTAGAACCCCTATGGATTATACAGAGAACTTCGCGCAGCCTCAAGATAGGTAACTTCGGGCTTGGTGATGGTTGAAAGTGCAGTGGGTGATATGGCAGCTTATCTTCTGGTACCAGGCTTGGCAGTTTCATAACCTATCTTCATTCAAGGTCATCATTCCTTAAATGCAGAGGCTTCCGGACTCTGGATGTAACCGTCGGTACTTTATGAAAGTCTTCGTTGCAATTGAACCCGACTGTTGCCACACAATCCTCAAGTCAACGCCACTATGTCAAAGTCGTGATCGTTAGGTAGTACTAGGGAGTTGAATTTACTTTACAACAAAACCATAATTATGATTTTAATCAAGAATATTGAATAACTGAATTTAACTCATTAATATCCTCATCACGATTTTCTATTTCACCCAGGGGAAATTTTCATGTTCCTCAAAAATCCCGATGTTCAGGCAGTAAGGCAATCACAAATAAGCGAGGGTTGAATCTCCCACAAACCCTTTAGCGCCTCAAGAATATTCGAGGTGGAAACTCTATCAAACTTGAGAAATTTCACCGACGTCGACAACTTGTAAATTCAACCACCACCGCCAACTCCACAATCAGCCATCGCAATCATGTCTGAAGGAGAAATCGAAGTCGAGGCCGTCTCCGGCTACCAAGTGCTCCCAAAGGAAGTCACTGAGGAGATTGGAAGCATCAAGGTACAACTCAATTGAAATGTTTCGATACATGGGGAAGATTCAGCTGACAATCTGCAGCTTTTCAACAAATGGAGCTACGAGGATGTTGAGATCCGCGACATCTCTTTGACGTAAGATTACCCAATGCGAAATATCTTGAGGAGGCAAGGATAGATGGAGGTGGAAAACACTCGACAGCAATTTTGGATTGATGGAATTACAAGAAGAGGGAAAGCTAATGCGATATCTTTTCAACAGCGATTACATTCAAATCAGAGCACCAGTCTACATCTCCCACTCCGCCGGTCGTTATGCGCAAAAGAGATTCAGAAAGGCCAACTGCCCAATCATTGAGCGTCTTACCAACTCCTTGATGATGAACGGTCGCAACAACGGAAAGAAGCTCATGGCTGTCCGCATTGTTGCCCACGCCTTCGAGATCGTACGTTCGACCAAATAAAGTTGAAATTTGGAATAAAACCTAATAATTGAAATTACAGATCCACATCATGACCGACCAAAACCCAATCCAAGTTGCCGTTGATGCTATCGTCAACTGCGGTCCTCGCGAAGATTCCACCCGTATCGGATCCGCCGGTACCGTCCGTCGTCAAGCCGTCGATGTCTCCCCTCTCCGCCGTGTCAACCAAGCTATTGCTCTCCTTACCATCGGTGCCCGTGAAGCTTCATTCAGAAACGTCAAGTCCATTGCCGAGTGCTTGGCTGAAGAATTGATCAACGCTGCTAAGGGAAGCAGTAACTCCTACGCCATCAAGAAGAAGGATGAGTTGGAGCGTGTCGCCAAGAGCAATCGTTAAATGGTCATATTCGGGGATTTTCTGTGGGGTGTTTCGATTTGCATTATGGATGGATGGGCGATTGGCTGCATTCCTGTCATATAAACGACTTTTATGAATGCAAAAAGTCAGGACACAATCGGAATAATGGATATATGCATTCAGTGATTTTGTGCCATCGGTCCAAGTGCACAAATTTTTATGGGACTATTGGCTTGAGATGGTTATAAGGCCTGATCATATACCATCTGGTGATTCTCTAGAATTTTGATACCTCCAGATACAAAAGCAAATTCGATAAACAAACCCGCACACTCTCAATTTTTACAGTGACATGATGACTCTAAATACTAGATAATGCTAACGAATTTGCAGCCAGACAGCTCTAATTTTAGACGTCCATCTCTGCGGATGCTAGGTCTCCTGCAATGCACCCGAAACACATTTTCTCCCGGCTAATGAATCAGACAGATGGATATCAACTTGATTCAAATACCTGTACTGGCCTTCCTAATCGCTAGGAAGTGACATAAAGTATATCGACAGCCCAATTAAAGTGCTTGTATCAGTACAATCATACCACAAATGAGGATTAGTGATTCTCTCATGCGTTTCCTTCTTTCCTTTAAGTCCAATTATCTATTAGAACTACCTAACCTAGCATGGTTCATTCATTAGTGTTGATGTACGGTGGTGTGATAATGTAATGGTTATGGTTATGGTTATGGTTATGGTTATGGTTATGGTTATGGTTATGGTTATGGTTATGGTTATGGTTATGGTTATGGTTATGGTTATGGTTATGGTTATGGTTATGGTTATGGTTACAGGGTATGGTTATGGTTATGGTTATGGTTATGGTTATGGTTA